GCAATTCGAGGTGACAACTCGGATATTATTAAGACACAGGAATCAAAAAACAAAAAAGTGAGACCGCAAGATGGGAAGATGTTCATGCAAGAGAATTAATTAATAAGTTTAACCCGTTTTGGAAGTCTGACTTGTAAAATATAATGCCCAAAGATTCATAAATTGCAACTGCAATCTGTATGTATACTTATACATATAATTTGTATAGCTTGCGCTGTATCGCATATTGCGTAGAAGAAAATATTAGCAATAATAATATTAATAATATAATATTAATATTATTAACAATACAATATTAGTATAGGCAAATTGTGAATTTCTACAATTGACCCTCGACTTCACCCTCGACATTGCCGATTGTAAAATGCGATAAAAATCGACCCTCGACTTTACCCTCGACCTCACTCTCGACCCTCGACTTACTAGCCTCGACCCTCGACCCTCGACCAAAACCCAAACTCAATCCAAATGGTGCTATTTTAAATTAAACAAACAGAAACAGACTGTGTGCGATAACAATGGCAATGTAAATAAATGTGGAAAATAGATCTTCAATTTACCTACTTACTAAACTAACTTGCCAGGTAAAAAACCCACACAGCGGGATTAAACTCACTATCTACTTTATGCAAACCTCGTTCAACGTTGAAATCCTCCGAGCTTCACGTGTTCCCTGAAACGAAACGCTCGAACCCAAAAGACAAACAAAGATCGCAGTCACGATATGAAATGCTGCCATTTCGTCAAGAACGCTGTCCCTGTTCGCTGACAGAACAAACTACTTGCTGTTCTTGCTCAGTGTTTTCAATTTATAGACGACGAGATTGCGGTGCATGTGGTCAATGGCAGAGATTATCAACAATCGCTCTCATTTTAACGGTTTTAATTACATGTCATCAGCATAATAAGCTCAGCAGGTCGAATACCGGTTTACGGGCCACCTTAATAATACTGTGTATACAAAAAGCGTATATCCATGACAGGTCTTAGAATTCGTTGAAAGATACGGTAAGTTGATTTAAACAGTGGGAATAAAGTAGGGATAAACCAATAAAGTTTGCGCACAACGTTCGCGAATCAGGAAATCTTTTTCCCCAAGGGCAAGGCATGACTGATAACAACGATAGTCACATGTTATGTCATTTTTTATACATGCGCAAATTTTTCGTTGACGTAAAAGTGAAATCGCATTCGATCTTTGTCAAAATGTGTTTGCTGCATGTAACAGATTCCCACATGCAAACGAAGTAGCTTAGCACGCGATATTTGCCAAAGAAAGTTCGGTCGTATACAACCAGCTTAAGCAACCACGTCCACGCTCATCGTGCATACGCTAGAAACTTCCCGGCGATTCGACATAAGAGCTTTCCTCGGCCAGGATCTAGAAGTCCGTAAGGCCGTTCTTATAGACGCTTGGAAGGCCGTGTATATCCATATTGTCGTATTGTTTTGAGGCCGTTCTTACAGTATGTAAACCTACCACCCTTCTATTAGCATGACTACGAGTGAAATAGCAGAAATACATTGTTCCGCCTTAATCCGTACATTGAAATACGTTCGTTAACGCCTGGTAGCAATAATACAGTAAAACAAAAATCAGACTATTTGAAATTTTATATATGTACCTGTACTCTGAAATGGCCATTTTCGAGGATCTAAAGCGATCAATATTCTCCAACCTCTACGCTTATCCTACACCCTGCACACTATTCCCAACAATGGTCGGGTTCATTGTATCGTTTTTCTGTAAACATACATAGCGAGTGAGACTGGGTAAACTTCGATTTTGGGAACGGACGCTAAGACAGTTATAGTGCATTAGTGTTATTAGCTAAGTATACGGTATTCGTCAAAGACCCTTAGGTCGAATCTTCGACAAGAAGTTATTTAAAGCCGCTACACAGCTTCCTCTTGTAAAACTTCATCTTGTATCTTCTTACACTGGACAAAATTATTTTCTTTAAATATTTCGCCAATGAGACGTTTAAGGCTATTCAAAACACTCCCTCGTAATTCGTGTTTTATCACACTAACACTCAGTCTCTCACTCGTGGTTTAAAAAATACTTAATTAAAGAGGTTAAGTAGTTCACTAAGTCAATCTTCCTGGCATCAATCAGCAGGAATAACACTGGTACACTAGAATGATCTAGAAATAACGCTTTGTCAGTACGATCCCAATCCACAAATCGTTTTGAAAAATTTTAAAGGCCGGAAAAAGTTTTAACTTCTGAAATATAGAAAACAGGAAATGGTTAATTTAGTTAAAAAAGTGAAATGTCGCGGAGGAAATGATTAATGTGGTTTGCTTGTAACATAATAATAAATGTTTACATCATAATAAGAGGTCCGGGCTTATTGAGAAACAGCCTTCCTATTTCCTAAACGATTATGCATTATTACTACTACATGAACATTTGAATTTATGTTATGTATCGTAAAAATCCGTTTTATGATTCAAGTTAGGCCAAGATGCAAGCTGCTGTTTTATTTGATGTTAAAATGTTAAAATCATTAGAATTTATATACATGTGTCTAAGCTTTTGTCGATCACCGACATCATCAAAGACCAATGATGTAATTTTGTATATGATCGAATTGTTTCCAAAATTCATGGAGTTTTGAACCCCTCGATCAGCTCATTTTTCCTTTCCATATGATTCAAAAGTTAGACTTGCGATGGCTTTTGTCTATAGTTTGATGGAAACTGGTTCAATGAAGAACAGTTTTATTCCGACAATTCTGAATGTTATGAACAATCCATCTATACATGGCGTATCATATAATTTTATTCCCTCTATAAGCAGTTTTAACAAAACCAAACATTGATGTCCGACCGACCTTGTGGCATTGGCTACAGCACAGAGATAGTGACGTCTTTGATATTTGTAATAGCCAAGGACCAATTTCTTGTTTATTTTAAAATCGCATTAGAAAAATGACTATATTTTGGAATCGCCGGAAACTGATGCAGTCATTTATTTACCAAGTCGCAGTAGGTGCGCAATAAATAGCTTTGCTTTTAAAGAAAAAATGGTATTACAGCGGCGTACCTCAGGGCTCTATATTAATGCCCAATGAATATTATTTTTAATGCATGTACCGCCTAGCTCCTTGAAACACTCAAAACGTTGGATAGTCGCTGAAGACATGCGCAAGGTGAACAGTATGCGTGCGTTGGACCCGAATTTGCATCAGTGCACAAAAATAATAGTCGAGTGGTTTTCGTTGCCCGAGAGAAAATTCTGAAGTGTCTATTAATAGAAAACCTTCGAAATTAGCTATTTTTGCTGAATATACTGGTCCTGAGAAAGTTACTGAAAGTCAAGATCTAATTAGCATTCTGGATAATCCGATAAAACAAGTATTCCAGTCAAAGACTTTAGGTACTTCTGTTTTAAAGATTTGTCATAAAAAATTACCCTGAGAATATTGATATGCATTAAACTATCTTCGGAATCTTTGGCACCAGACACTTAAAAATATGTTGATAAAACGACCGCGATATCGTTAAATGCTTCAACTTAAAGCTGTTCTAACTACCCCAGTTGCTCTTTTGCTTTCTATCATCTTTTAAACTTCATAGGTCGATAACGCCGATTCGATTTGCGATTCGAACTTTTTTGACGTTCCTTCGACGTCTTTGCGCGACCTTGGACGATTAAAACGACGCCGTTTTGTTTGGACTACGTCGTTTGAAGTGGACCAGCTCGTGACAGGCTTTGGCAGCACTTTTCAGCATGCGAATTATTAGAAAATACAAATCCAACTGATTAGATCTGTATCTCGAAGATGATTCGAAATTCAGGCACCTAATTTTTTATTCCAGCACTATGACTTTTTTTTCTCATCCTTTTGCTATCAACGAGTGATTCCGAGAATTCAAGATATTTTTAAGAAAAAAACTTTGATCTAATCAGTGGGATAAATCATATTTTCGGATAATTCGCGTGGGGAAAAGTGCTGCCGAAGTCTGGCACCAGCTTTTGGTATAAACATATATCATCTGGTTTAGGGGTATACCAGAGATAATAATCTAACAAACAGATGTGTGAGGCATGTTTTAATGAATTTGAGTCACCTTGTGGGTTGGTGTTAATGAAATACGGTAATTGATTCTTATATTAAAACCATTTGCTTGCGATATGACCAGTCAGGCTGTGTGAATATTTCAATCGTGGGCCCGTGCAGTAGCGATCAATTTTATTGAAAAACTAGAAATACATGCATGCAAAATCCCCTCGCATTCTCGTTTTAAACCGTCAAACGAATTTCAAAGAAGACGTTCAATCGTTCATCTCAGTCAGACAGACATCACATCTATTGCATTCCGACCAGGCTTGTCCTGACATACTCATGGACAATATTGAAGTCACGTTTGTCGAAAAGAATATACATTTTTTCTTCCAATAATCAATGGTGAAAAATTTCACACGCGATTATACAAAACTATATGTTATTGAAAATTACAGGATAATATATACTTTCAATGATATCAGTTGAAACCAGTTAATTGTTTATCAAAACATTAAAAATACTGTATGATGAGATCAAGGTCGATCCGGAGGTCGAGCCGGAAGGGGCATGCATTACTGCAACACAGAGGTTCGGAGTAATGATGGGAGCAATATAACAAGGATATAGTGCGATAAAAAATATTAATAAAATATAAGTTTACGTGAATGTTTTTCGTTTGTATGCCCGAAACATCTTCAGAACTAACAGTATAGAACTATATACATGTATGATGAATTCTTCAAAAACTAAGGCTCTATATAAATACGCGATTACGTTAACCTATCATGCTAGTCCATTATCCTTTATTACATGCATTTAAAACAATTAATAGACGATTTGCGCTTTGCCTTTAGACTTATTTTTGATCGAAGTATGGCTAGAAGAAAATAAATTACACAGCTAGAGAGATCTTACTTAAATTAGTGTAAATGCAAAGTTTGGCTGCGAAATTTTGTAAAATGCGGAAAATATAGCCATGCGAAGTTGGCAAATTTTGTATACTTTTGTATTACGTGCGGAAATGTGTAACAAAATTAGCTACACGCTTCCGGCCGTAAGACAAAAGTAAACATATTCGTGAACCTCGCATGGCTATATTTTCCGTAGTTTACAACAATTCGTAGTCAAACTTGGCAGTTTTACTTATTTTAGAAAGCTCTTTCAGAAAATGTCCTTTTTACCGCCGAGGTAAGAAATTTAGTCTAAAGCACAAGTCGTCCATTGATCATAATATTAATCAACTAATTGTGAACGTTAATTAAATAACCAGGTTTAGTTCATGAATATAATATTTCCGTTATTCTAAGAATTATTAAAATAGGTCACAGATTTTACAGGTTATAATATTTCTTTCCATATAAATAGCGATATATAAGGACAAAATATATAGGGAAAAATTTAAGCGAGTTGTCTGCAAATCTATTTTTCTCCATAAATTTGTTATTATATATATTAAAATACAATTAGGTCGTGCTCATACTTTCCAATTGAATACTAGAACTAGCGGTCTTTGACTCACAAACCGAGCAGCAACCGAAGCAACCCCTTAATACAGCAATCACAATGGCAATAATGAATGCGGTGCTACCAAATCCTACTCCGTACTTCCAAGCATTGCCTGAAGGAAATGTAAAATACAATATTGAAACATCGACTTAAATATTGCAATATTAATATTTCACGCGAAAATGTGGCTTATATATGAGTCTGGTTTGTTCTGTGTAGAAGTATGGGAAGTAGTCTAAATTTATCATGCATTCTGAGTGGGTCACTAAAAATTTTTAAAAAATATGCAATGGCTATATTCCTAATACTAACAATTCTACTTATATGCCATCTTAAATAATTAGTCACAAAGCAACTGTTTCCACTTGCAGAATTCTTTATTTTAATTACAACTTCAACTCAGGCAATTTCTGCCTATTTACAGAATTTGACGCGCACGCAAAACTTTAGCCGATACATAAATAACATAATAATTGTTTGTCTATGAAAAAAGTGGGGTCTACCCCCCCCGTCCCCAAGTTCCGCGGTCCCTGCGTTTGTCATTAGTCATTACGATATCACTTTTCCACCACCCACTCCCCATCTTTCTAGGACTGGCAATATCACTGTTGTCAGAATTCATGGCCCAAGAAGCAGGGATTATAAGTTATGATTTATGAAGTATTTCTTTTAGCCTAATTCCTTTACTGTTTCAAATTATTATATGACGGTTTGTTTGGGGAATTAACGAAGGAAGTATTAAATATACGACATATAAGTCAAAACTGGGAGAATTGCAAAACATTGCCGAAAGACCTAGTTCCGAATAATCGCATGTATGCAGCTGATCTGAGAAACAAAACGTTTCCATATCGGCGAATGGTTTTTTGCATTCACATTTGCATGTACAAACATGTTTGATTTGTCCTATACTGTATGGACTTTTAAAATAATATTAGAACTTCTCGTTAGATCTTTATTTTTGTGCTTTGTTCACTGAGAAAACAGCCACCTCAGCTTGTGTGACTTGCAAATACTGTACTTATAGTGGTCGGAAATATGCAAATCCAGGGTGTCCCCGATCACTCCGAAAGTACAGCCTGCTTAATTCATACCAAGATAGTAGCCAGTATAGCTAACACCACTTTTAAAATCGTTCCTGCCTGAGGATGGTCACTAAAGTCAATACACCGATGGGATATAGCGAATATAACGAAACTCCTTTTTTAGGAAACTCCTTTTCTATCAAATTGCTTAATAATAATATGCATGATCATGCAGTGACTGATTATTGCTTATATATGCTTTTCATTTACGCATTTTAGATCTTACGTCCGGCCCCATGCATGACAACAGAAACCACTCAATACAAGCAACCATCAAGTGCAGCATCTTTCCTCTTTATGAATGTGATTTATATTTACACATAGCTAATATTGCCAGATTTATAAAATCACATAACATAAATTTCTTATTTTCTTCGTAAATATTTTGGTTTTTTATACATGCATGCAGTTTATGTACCACAGTAACCGAACTTACTTGAGCTGCCTTCATTCTTCTTTCTATCTGGCAGTTTCTTACACGTTGGAGGAAAAGCGGAATAATTACCATGTGACGTGCACGTGATTATTTCAGGACCACCGGTTAACTCCCAACCAAATCCACAGGTAAACCTTACGTTTGTCCCATCATGAGGGGCGCGAGCATAGGTGAAAGAATAACTCCATCTCAGGGTGGAATTTTCCTTTAACTTTTCGTCTAAATACGTGAACAGCTTACGTTGAACAAGTTAAACTTTCTAATTCGTATCATTCACACAAGCCCTATTTATCAGCGACGGATTGTTCGAAAGGCGTTCAGTTTGAACGGTGGATAAGCTAAAGATTTAAAATATTCTTATATACGTTCTGTGAACCTACATCTTAGCCATTAAATATGTAATTCCAACAAAAATGAAATTGTTTCAATAACTTGTTCAATAAATAGATACTATTTTCCATTTTGAACTTCTCCTTCTAATTTTAGCGAAAATCAAAAACTGCTGGAAAGGCGAAAATGGGAAATTAAGTATTCCATAGGTACATTATTTACATATGATATAAAAGGGCAATAAAAATTTTCGTCACCAATGTCCTTTAAGCTAAACGTTTCGAACAATCGCATCACCTGGCTTTCATCAAGTGCACTTACCAAGTCTTGGACATATTCTCTTACAAATCAACGTATCACCCTGGTTCCAGTCTCCACCAAAATTGCATTTTCGTTCCACCCACTTAAAGATATTTTTATAGTCTGGATTGAGGTAATTCTTATTACAGAAATACTTCGTTGTTCGTCCTAGTCGAATATATGAAAACCATGTAAAGTTGTTGTAAGAAGAAGGCTATAGTAAGAGCAATAAAAACACAACACATAAAGCAGGCAGCATCCAACCTGGCAATGTTAAATTCCGCTCGGGATGCGTATTTGGCCATTTCAATGCATCACAGTATTTCACTTCAAATGTATGTAAATATAAAATACGAGTATAAGTGACTAAAGTGAGTTATCTTGTTTATACTATAAAGTATAGCACTCTCTGGACAGCTTACCTTGGGTTTTCGTGACATACGAAGCCTTAAATCGATTTTTTCTTCTCAAAGCATCGTCTTCAACGCAAGCAAACTTAACGGTTATGATATTACTAGAACTAAGAAACCATGCAGGAACGACAGATGGGGTTCCTCCTTCAAACCCGCCCAGTTTGCCCTTCTCGGAAGTGGTGTTGCCATCGTAGATTGTAACAAGGTCGTTGAAAAAACGTCCGCTAGTCAATTGCATTTCAGTAAAATTTAACATCACGTGCCCATTAGGAACTATTACGTGATAAATCTGCATAATCCCTCGGAGGTATGTTTCGGGATAATATGGAGAACATAAGGTGCCATTAGAACCGCCAAGGGTTACAATGCGATCTGAAAAAGATATTGAATCGAATCTAAATAAATATCTTGCACGGTTTCTCATGCAAGCAAATGATAATTAACAATTATTGAATGAGGTTGAACATGATATGAAGAATTATCAAGCCGAAGTTTGTATACATGTATGGTGATTGTTTTTTGAGTAGAAAGATAAAGAACGATAACTTTGCTTATTTACTCCGTTAAGATATTAATATAATGGTGCCTTGAGTTTCTCCTTGAGTTGACTTTCTAAATTACAAATTCGTGCATATATATGATACAAATAGTAAATACGATTACTATACATGCAGGGTGTCCCAAAAACCCCCAAACTATTGAAACCACCTATTGCTAAAATTTGTTTGCGAATTTTTGCTCGTGGGATTAACGCAATTTATAAAACGTTAAATATATATAGGCCTACAAAAATTTAAAGTTTGCTAGAAAATTAAGGACATCGAAGGTCATGGTGTTTAAGTTGTAAATTTAAATATTGTTAGCCATATTTGTAAAGCATATTGGTAATATCTGTCATTTGTGGGTATACAAACAAATTTTACTGTCATTCATTATGCACAAACATTTATTTATACATGCACTTGTGGGTCCCAACATGCAGGGTGCTTAGGCATTCAAATTCTAGCTATTACATTGTTATGGGTGATTTCAATAGTTTTGCGATTTTTTGGGACACCCTGTACAGGGTGTATAAAGAAACCCTAATAATTCCCATGCAGGGACCTACGATCTTTTGTTATTGAATAGAAGCGAACTTACATGAATACTACGTGGGTTGCAGTTTTTTTATACACCCTGTATAGACATGTGAAATCATGAATAATTAATGAGGTTATACCCAACCAAATTTCGTGAATTAGGTCACATCCACATCCTGGGAACCCCATACATATTAGATTGCTAAATATGCAAATCAGTTACAAACACCAGTGTTTGTATTGGAAAAATACGACCATAAAAAAAGAAAGTTCAACTCTTAAGTATTACCATCAGAGATAAACTTACGATTTCTTGCTTTTATATAAGTAATGTTTACAAGTGTTGTAAACAAATTGTGAAATGAATTTGTAATCAATATGATTTGAATAGATATGCTAGATTAGAATAGATCACTGAAATCAGTTACAAACTGACTATATAGGGCACTAGTATACAACACAGCCGCTCGTGTTGTAAACATTATACTTATTAATATAAAGCAAGAAATCGTAAATTTATCTGTGATGGTAATACTTAAGAGTTGAACTTTCTACACAGCTGAAACAGGCTCGTTGTTAATTGATCGTTGATTAAATGTAAGTTTCAATTCCGTTAATCACTTTCCCATTTAATTCTATTTAAAGTTGTGTTCATGAAATCACTCATTGATGTTTGATAAAGTGTGATAGTATCTTCAGCTGGATTTAAATAATTAGTCACGCTAAGAATTATACTGGCCAAGCTATATGTCCCTTGCGGCACACCTGTCCTAAAATTGATCCAACAAGATGTATATCCTATCAACTGCACCGTTGACATATGGCGACCAGGTAAAAATGCGATATAGCTAATCCAGTTCAGAAATATACGGGATGGATACTCAGCCTGGTTAAATGCTTTGGGACAATCTAATAAGCATACTGGAACTAATAATCTTGTTCCATGAAGAGATTTAAACCAATTTGGATAATAAACATTCAGGCGCACAAAGTTGAAGCTGTAACCACTTAATTGTAGTTGAAAAACTCGCTTCAATCTCGCTCGAAATCGGCGTAAAATTGGGCTCATGTAATTGTAGTCTCATAAAATTGGGTTCATGAAATTGTTCTCAGCGGCGGCGTCTTTGACTGGCTGAGTATTAGGGGAGGGTACGACATCAGGAGATTTCCATATTGTTTCTATAGATAAGCCCACTCGATCGATGTGTTAAAAATAGAACAGAGCGGAAGGCTTAAAGTATCAGGAAAGTCTCTCAGAGTCCAATTCGGAAAGGTATTTCGGGACCTGTGGTTTTACGTGGGTTGACATAAGCTAATTCTAGTTTGATATCGTCAAAAGCAACTAACTATAAAAGCAAGTTTCACCCATTCGAGCAAGAAATCAGTACGTGAGGTGCTTGACAAGTGTGATAATATACATTTCATGTAGCGAGGTTTTTTACTTTTTTTGAGCACTGTTAAGTACAAGATTTTCCGCATTGTTCGACTTGGCATTTATCAAGATAGCGTTGTTTAGCCTTATACTCAAGTCGAGAGAAGTCCAAATGGAAGTAAGAGTTAAATGGGTTGTTTACGAAGATTAACCAGATAATGGGTATTTCGACCACGTGTTGGTCTCTCGCTAATTGTCTCAAGTTAAATGAGCAAATCTCTATAGTTAATGTAATTAAAGTCACCAGCTAAGAATTAAGTAAATGCGTTATGAAAGATGACAAGAGTACTATCAAAAATTTGATTGGATGTAACTCATAAGAGTTTTATTATCACACCAAGGGAGATAGTAGACCACTCCAAGGACTGTGGAAATGTGATATTATTATAAGTATATGAAAACACAACCGGTCTCGGTGACAGTAAAGAGGTCAACGTCATTTGCTGTAATTATAGAGGACACTTCACTCAGTTCACTGTGCTTGTTTGCACGATTGCAAACACTTGCACGAAAGAGAAAGAAATTTGTCATCATCAATATAGGAAGACAGGAACGTGGAATCTCACCTTGATTTTTGGCTCAAAAATGCGCAGAGTATAATTTGAAGGATCTTAGATAATAGAGGGGACTTGGGAAAGAGTGTCCCAATCTCCAGGCCGACTTTTTTGAGCCTCAAGCTGTTAGCTTACGTGTGCCGGAGCCAATCTGATTTTCACTATTTGTACAAATGTTTTGAACGAACGATTGAGGGTATTATAGTGTTAGTTGAAGATGGCGCTGTTCCAGCGAAGATATACAATAGATATGTAATAGAGCTTACAGACTACAACAATGAATGATTTTCATTTTATTTAGAACCGCCTACAACCCGTATTTCATTAGTAATAACGCGAGTTGTAGTTGAAGATGCGAGTAGTCAGTTGCTGTTTTGATCGGGAATCTTTTACTGCGATTCTAAATTAAAGTTCTTGTCATACAGATCAACCCGATCGCAATCGATATAATCTTAAAAATGGGACAAGTCGCAGCGCTCGGAAGCTTTCGTCCATGCAATTAGATAATACTTTTCTCTGCTTTCTACAGAACGAAGCTATATATGCTATTGCATAGTTGAAACAGAAATGTATTGTAAAGTTCAGCCAATGAAAATCATTCTTGCGAGGAGCTGCGACACTAGCCCTTACAATTAACAAGCCTCTGTTTTTTCAACCCCAAGCCGTTAGCCTTGGAGCCTTTAATCACGTTTCGTCGAGCTCTCTATTTTTCAATCGATAATATTTTTAAGGAAATCCCTTAAGAGGTCAAATGCAACTTAACCAAGCTAGTGAGTTTGTATCCTAGTCCCTATTTTTAGTCCTGTTAGAAAAATTTTCATCATCCACCACAAGAATTTCGGTTGGAATTGAAAGATTGTGTAGGTTGTTGTATGGTTGTGTAACCCATCCTGTGATAGTCAAATGGATGGAGAGGGCACATATTGATAACAACAGTGTCTTGTACACTGAAATGTTTACCCTCTCTAAAGATTTGTAATAATAATAATTAATACAGCATACATCGGCAAAGGTAGCGCTGATATAGTTCTCTGCATTTCACTATGCAGCGATACCCATAAGTTCGTGTTTACCTCGTTAGATTCAATTTCAATAAATAAATAAAGTGACAAATAATAACGACATGACACCCCTCCCCCTTCTAATTATTGTTCCGACTACGCCACTGCCTATACTGTATTAACTTACCCGAGACAAAAGGTTTGAAGTTCAAACGAAACATCACACTTGCCCCATTAGTACGAATCGATATAAGCCTTTCACCGCTGGTCCCTCCTGTATTTCTAAAATATTTAGTTGTGCCAGAATCTTCTGATTTAATAGTCCCAAGAATCTCATTTCTGACCGGATATTTTGTTCGTTGGAACACTTCAATGGTGCCGTTTTCAGGAACTTTGATGTTTTTAAACGTCAATTCTATTGCAGCAGAATAGAAAATGTTGAATTCACACGAACGATTGACAGAGGAAAATTGGCCAGCTCTCCCCACGTATTCAATGAGACACACGTCTAACAAAAAGCAAAGTAAAAACAAATTATTGAATAAGATAATATAGAATGTGGATTAACAGATAAATATATGAGCTGGAATGTGGCGTTGAGAGTAAATGTATTGAAAAGACTGAAATTAAAAGCAGCAATTATTGGCTTTTTACAAAATTGGTCATCTCGCTCTATTATCACAAGATTAAACCATATGCTGCTATTTTTTTCGTGCTTTTCATAGGACATATCTGGCGATATTTAAAAAAAAATAATTAAATCATGCTGTCGCGGGTATGTAAAAATAATCAAATCATGCTGCTGTCCGTAATGCGAAATTTATTCACACGTGTCGTGAAGCTGTGCAAACATTTTAGAAGAAATGTTTTCGTTGACTGTTTCAAAGTACAAAGTAAAACTTTTATGAGTTATATACTGTAGTTATTCATAATGTGGTGACAAAACAAAATATTGAATCAGAAAACGTAATAGCAAACTAGTAAAAACAAACTGCAAGATCACTTGTCACTACCGCTGAATCAACAATCTTGCGCGGCAAAATTCGGAACCATTTCATCAGCAGTAATGTGGAAAAATATTAGAACAGCAATGTTATAGTACAGTATACTATTATTGGCAAACGTGCTTATATTTTTACCTGGAGATAGAGCTTTATGATCCAATAAGAATCGTCGTCCGACCGTTGTCTGATTACCTGATGTATTAACGACCACGCGAATGGCGCCACCTTTCGATTTTACAGAAACGAGTAACTGCTCTGTTCTATAGTATTTTGCAATGATACTGTTCCGGGTTGGGTCATAAATTGTGACGAGATCACCAGGGGACAGCAGTAACTCCTTGAATTTAAGAGAAACCACCTTTGTTTCGTCTTGGGCTGTGAAGTAAAACTCGCAGCTGCTGTTGCTAGGAAGATTGTCTGGATAACCAGGCGAAGAGAAACCGCTCTCAAAACTTTCCGATTCTTTGTAGAAAGGGCACATGCCTGTTGTTATATATAAGAGAATTGCAGGTGAGTTTGGGATTTTCAAGATGGCAGCCGAATGCTATCTGTTCGGCAAAATTAATAAATATTATTGGGGATGTTTTTATGTGATTTGATCATTTTCTCTTTTAAAAATAGGGGTTCTATTTCTATAGCTTTAATTTGAGCCTAAGTTTGTCTGTTTGCGTTTTAATTACAACCTAATATTGTTATCGTTCGTTAAAGCGTACACCACCTCAGACCTCAAATATTTTACAGTAGAACAATTAGGTTTCGAATAATACATCATTATAATCCATACGTACCGCTACTGTACGACATAAACCTTAAATCAAATGAGACGTTTTTAGTCTGTTCTATCTCAAACCAATTTCCCTTTTCCAGCGCCTCGAAGTTTCTCCTATAATGTCCCAAATCGTTCGACGTCAAGTTCCAAGTGTCGATTTTTCCTCTGGAACTTCTTAGTGTTACAACGACAAAGTTTTCGGGAGATATCACGAGTGATTCAAACCACAACCGAAGAAAAGTATCCTTTTTGGACCTGACAACGTGCAGACAAGTTTCTCTTGCGGAGGAAACACGCTGCTCCACCCCCACATCACTATAATACTCCTTTACACATGTGCCTAGTAATTAAAGAATAGCACGTTTCGGGTATATGTATAGTCCGAATTCATATTTCAGCGTTTCCTGCAATCTGATTGGCTACTCGAGCGGTCCGTATGAGGCCGTACGGACCGCGCGAGATTTAAAAGCACAGAGCCAACGTTAAATATGAATTCGGACCGCAAGAAAAAAAACTTTTATTTACCAGTTTAGTCGGTCCGTATAGGGAAATATTTCCCTCGGTCTCAAAAGCCTCTTTCGGCCTTCGGCCTCGGGCTGTTTTTGAGACCTTGGGAAATATTTCCCTATACGGACCTCAAATCTTGTAAATAACATATATATATTAAAACTCAGGAATCGTTATGTCTACATGCATGCTATGTTCGTGAGAAAAGATTGAAGAGTGCACAGTTTTCTGATCTACAAATACTAAGGCCTAAGTTATTATAATCATTAAACTTCATTATCATCTCATTATCTATTGTTCTAATTGCATTCGACGCGACCAAAATGCGACGTATAACCTGGACCTTTAAATTCATCTGCCTAATTTAATTGGAATTTTCTTCATGCTATAAGAGAATGTGTTTACTGCAAGCGCAAAGGGGCGCAAACGTAGACAAGGAGGAACTTAAGGTTTTACATGTGTTAGAAACACATGTCTTTAAACGAGGAACAGTAAAGGAAATTTTAAGTGAGATATAAAACCTGACTGTTCAGTGATTTTTACCTTGTAGAACTTCCCTAAATACAAACGCATATTTTCTCACACCATTAGAAGTTGAACTAGCATTTACAACGATCCTCACAGAAGAACTGTTTGTAGAGTTCATCTGAATTCCATCCCTTGGACCGGTAAGTGGACCAAGTAAAATGCTATTGTCGTTAGTGTCGTACATTGTGAAAACATCATTCGGGCCGAAGGACATATCTATGAAGCCGATCTGGATAAAATTCTTCTTTTTGTAAACATCTATGTAGTATTCACAGGTTAAATTAGCTTGATAATTATTAGGATAGCCTGGACTCTGGATCTCTACGTCGAAATGGAGAGATTTGTGGTTTGATATACAAGTATCTGCAAAGAAGACGACTAAATAATAGAATTTAATATGAACGGTAACTCCGAAAATGAACTTTAAAATCTTTAAAAAAATTTTGCCTAGCTTTCGACTATGCTTTAGACATAATGAGGAATGATGCTGGGTTACTTTTTGTTCCTAATCCACCTCTCGTTATAAACAAGTTTGTAAACCTGTACCTATAAAGCACCTTGGTTTCCTGAGGTACCTGGTTTCCTGTTTAACAACCTAACGGCTGTGTACATGGTCACAACATATATGGTGCTTGGTTGGTATATACAAAACCACAGAGAGTTTAAAACCATACCTGCGGGAATTCGCTTATAACGAAGCTTCACCCCTGTGTAACTGTTTCTTGACGTGTTTCCCGGATAGATAAATGAGATGTCTATTTTGTGCCTGGGAGTATAGAAGTTTCTCGACTCTAGGCGATTTTCACCAATTATGTATAAAAATGAGGCGAACGTAATAATGTAACCATCAGGAAGGCTTACATTCTCAAACTTCAGTTCAATTTTACCCGAACCAACGTCAATTTGGAATCGACACAGTGATTGGTTAAGAGCCAGGCGATTTGGAAAACCCGGTGTGGTAATTTCCCCTTGCGGATTATCAAATCGGTCGTCACACGAGGATCCTAAAAAAGAAGTGTTTTTATTTAGATTTTTTAGGCTACTCTGCGCACGGTAATGTTCTCGAGTGTTTTATTTTTGAGTTTCACGTTAGAAGTCTTATATTTACACTACATTCAATTTACTGGCACGGCAGGACTAAAATAGGTATCATTTCACCAGGCTGTGCCCGGCCTTTGTATTGGTAGTCTGAGTACTAATGATATTGGGTACGTGGGTACAAATTTTAGCCGTGCCGCACCTATAAATTGATTATTGTGGAAACGGGGCTGGAGTTGTCATGCATTCTTCATAACTACATTTCTGACACCCCCAATAATCGACCACTCACCACCGATGAGAAGGCTTTACAGTCGGTCCGAAAAGTTGAATGTTATTATTACGCTATTCTTATAAATTGTCTGTTGATAATGGTTTCAGAACAAATATAGCATGACCTGAATAAACTAAGTGAAGACGAGCATGCAAAAATTTGATTGAAAAACGTCATATTTTTTACAGGAACAGACCTGTTTAAATTTAGCCTTGAGGACTATTGATATTAATAATAAAATTTTAAGCTCCACTCGCCTTGCACGGGCGTCATTTGAACACCGACTATCAGGCAAAAGTAGAATATAACAGCATTCATTTTGATCCCAATGAATTTTAAACTTTGAAATACCAGGATAGAAAAAAAACTTTCTGCGGTTGAAGCCAAATTTCAGTTAAAATTGGGTGATCGCCTGAGTACCTAAAGCAAAACTGAAATTAGAACGAATAAGTTGTACTGATGTAATCTAATCAAAAATGAAAATTTAAATTTGAAAATTGAGGGAAGACACTAAAACACATACAGAGAGAGAATTTTATTTCTTCGGGGAAGTTTTCCCCTGCGGCAAGCGGATCGATGATTGACAACAAGCAGCTTGTTTAATCATATGGTGTAATTAATTGCCACATCGCGTTTGGTCCTGACAACTGTGGTCCTGAGTTCGCTATTAGCTAGTTCGCTATATCTTATGTTGTCGAAATCATTGGTCGAAAAAACAGACTATAGGAGTGTTGTCATTTTAAACGACTCCCTATTAGGGCCGTAACTAGAACGATAATTGGGAGGGTGTTTATTCATATATTCAGTCTTGCCCGACGGATTTCTATTGTAAGCTATTGCACTTACAAAAGAAACCCGTCGGGCAGAACTGAATATATGAATAAACACCCCCCCCCCAATTATCGTTCTAGTTACGGCACTGCTCCCTAACTATATTAATAATCATTATTAATAATCATTGACATGACTTTTTCATATTATTAGAGAATAATTCATATCATTAAGCTACGCGGCGATTGCATGCCGGCGAAGAATTTTGCATATTACTCTGACGGTTTTAGGTAATATTTGTATACGGCGGAATTAAAAAATAACTAGACATGAGATAGCACTATACTAAGCAGACACAATGCATGGCTGAAAAAGTGCCTGATTTTGATGATATATATCCCAATTATAAAGCTTTAGGGCAGTGTACAAATTCTTTGTTGACATTGTCAGCGTTTATTTATGATAATTCAACTTACAACAACAATACCGAGCATTCAAACAGCTAAAACTGGGTCAAATTTCATCTACAAATTCCGGCTTACTTATACGTGATCTGGACGCGTTTTTTCAGACGGAACGTGTATCACTCAAACAAGAGCGGTTAAGGCCTATGATTGGTTGTAAATACATATTCTAATGGGTCAAACTCACCTTAAATAAAGCGAAGATCGGAACAGGCAAGCAGCGCTACGATACTGAGTCCATAGTCCACCTCTATAGCAGCGGTTGTGATGTCTGGACTCTGGAACAGCGGCGGCTTTGCTACGCTACTTCACATTAATGCAATTTAACGAACTAGCAAAATTTGGAGATGAAATAAAACGGACGAAGTTGCTCAGTCTCTGTGGCGTATTTGACGGGCCGTCACGATAGGGCTATATGGGGGTCGACTTACACTTGCAATTTTTTAAAAAACTGATCAATCGACATGGACGAATAATCGACACGCGCAAATAATCGGCACGGGCAGTATGTGTCTACGTGACAACTCCAATAATTAAAAAGTTAGTCAAAAACGTTTTAAAATGTTCTTGATCCGAGAAATATAGCACAAACCCAAGACACATGTCAAGATGATAAAGACAACAACGTTACTATGTTTCGCGCACGGAAAACTGGTACTAGTGTACTGCCAGTGAATGCTATGTGCATGCTTCTTGTTGAAAGTTCATTGCTGATTCACGTCCACTCAACACTCTCAAAATTAAACATAATAGTACATTAAGCCATAATTTAGCCGATCTAGATCTTAAGATTCCCTATGCATATGCTTTGAGAAAACTCGCCTATATTTAGGATACTGGGGTTTTTAGGGCATTTTTATGTCGTACCAACAACAAAATTTTAAGCGATTATCGTGTTCTGGTTGCACGTCCAATATAGATGTATATGTATACGTATGTTTGTACAATATAATATCTATAATATGAATGTATACTGCTTTGTTCTTGTAATCTAAATTAGAAAAAATTAGGCAGTTACAACTTACAAGTGACTTACCAAAATGTTGCCAAAAGCAAACTAGATTAATTGCAACCTCGTACCCAGGGTAGTTTCGTGGCCGTGGAGCGGAGGGTAAAAGACCCTCGGTACGAGGTTGCTTTAACTGTTGTCTGTTGAGACTGAACCTTATGGACAAGTCATTTGCCAATGTTGAAAAGGATACACCCTTCTCATGCATGCACCCTCGGTTTTTAAAACTTCACTCTTCAGAATTGTTTTGTTTACTTAACGAATATCATAACCACTAACGAAATAAAAACCTACAAAAACTCGCTCTTAAGCTGTTTGGTGAAGTTGATAACGATTTCAAATTTGTTTATTGTTTTTTTCAACCATGAATGCTGCGAACATTTTCACACGCGACAGTTGTAGTGTCGAATCAGTGCATGAACTCTGAAGCATCAACAGTGCACACCACTTCCGTCAATAACAAAGTTAACAGTAGCGTTTCCAACCCACGGCCTGATCTGTTTTAAAAGAAAGGTCGAATTCTTATCTGTCGTACGTGAGACTACGTATGCAATTTTCACAAACGATTTCCACATTCGACACATGTATATATAGTCTTCCATTCGTTGTACAAATCTAAGATCTTTGCGGTAGACAGTTGGTACTGTTGCGATGATGACAATGAAGTAGTTATCGACATAACGTCTTAGCAGCCCTATAAGCCTCCTTTGATGTTTTTCTTGGTCGTAATAATTGTGACCACCGGCACTTTTGTCCAGCCAATAGAAGGCGCTGATACTGTCAATCATCATCACGCAAATATCGGTTCTCTCCCTGAGGATTTTTTCCAAATTCCTCACAGTCTCCAGCAGCTCCTCAGTGGAGCTGCATTTTGCGACAATCAGACGGGAAAGGCATGATTCAATCAGCGCTTGCATGTCGGCAACGCTTGCCATTGGCAAAGTTCTATCCGAAATACAGGACTTGATGCGTTCTTTTAATATTTCAACGAGACGAAGTATAAAGAAATGAAAATCCGTATCTACAAATATTACGCCAACATCTCGCCCTCCAAGCTCTATGCCGTTCCATGATTTTGGTAAAATGCAGTTGGCGATCAAGTGTAGCAATATTTGTGTTTTTCCAGAGCCTGAATCCCCATACAGTTCAATGACGTCCTTCACCTGGATGGGGCGAGGCATACTTCGGAACAGTTTCTTATCCAGCCCATCCAACAATCCCTTGCGTACAAGACGAGCAAACAGCTACATTGAAAGCAAGAATTCGCAGGGATAAAGAAAAACAGGTGTTGTTTAGAGACCCTCTAAGTTTAAAACGTCGGTCATAACCATGTCTCTAAACCTGGTTGAACTACTTCTAGTAAATAACTGATATTATTTAACTGTTATACTGTAAAATATTTCCATAGAGAAACATGTCTCGACTCTCCAGACCATCTGATTTATTTATGGTTAATTTTGATTCTCTTGGTGACAAAGCTTAGAACTTAAACTTGAAGTTTACATGTAACTTTTTGTCTCATTGATACTCAGGTCTCAGCATAAGCAGACATAAGCATACTGATTATTTCATGATTTAGACAGAGCAAAAATACAAAATAATGTTCATCAAAATTCTGGCACTATGCAATTTTTGGTACCATGGTGGAGAGCTAGGGGAACAATTTTCGTGTCAAATTTCCCATTCAGCAAAAAAATTGTGTGTTTAATGGTCAGACAAGACTGATTAAAGCATAGGCAGCCCAGGAAGCATGCGAAAATTATGTATGCATGTTTATATACTATATATATTATATGTGTATATAGTATATATAGTATATACATCTATATATAATATATATAGTATATATAGTATATAAATATGCATACATAATTTTCGCATGCTTCCTGGGCTGCCTATAATTAAAGCTTAAAGGTATGAAAACACTCAAAACAGTAAATGCTGGTATACTACAAACATTATTATGCAAACGAAATAAAAGTTCGCACTCTAGAAAATATATATAGTAACATGAAAATATACTAGACTAGAAAATATACTCACAAAGACACAAATATTTAAACACCTCAACATAAAATGATAAAATTGCTTACATTTGCTGCTGTTTCGGCGGCCATATTGGTTTTTGAACATTGACGCTGACCAATTTTACTGATGTCCGCTATTAGAAAGCAGCGCACAGAGTAAGGAAAAAATGGAGCAAGAAAGAAATAGATACTTACTCTGTGGGATAGAAATAATAGAATACAATCACCAGCGTACTGGTATCCCCCCTCATAAAAAATTGTCTCGGAGATGGCGTATTTACGACACTTTTCCTCGTTTCAGACTACTGCGAGGGAGTTTTTGTGCGCGGTCTCTACGAGCGAGATCCATAAGTGAGCTTGTCTGAGAGAAAAGCTTGTCTTCGAACTTGTTTTTGTTAATTTGTTCCTAGTTTCGATTGATCTTGCTTGAACGGTACATAAATCATAATACGGAAAAATGGGGTCCTGCTTCGCTGCTGGCCGTATTATTTCTATGGCAAGCACTGACTCAGGAACGTTTGATTTTGGAACTTCCAATCCCACAAGCATTACATAAAAGCTTCTTCCTCCCACTTCGACTGCGTTGTCGAAAAATTTCATAATGCACACAGTCCGCGTATATTTTACTTCAACGACATTCTATGACTATGATAAATCGAACTGGTATATAACGAGGTATATAACAACTGATAAAATCAACATATTCAATTTATCAGTAACATATTAATTCAATTACTATATCTGGATATCATTTATATATTTACAGTATCAAAGTTTGCCTTCGAGAATTATATATATATAACTGTGCGTGCAAGCAGGCACAGTTGAACATTTTCCGGCTTAAGTGACTCCACTGTTCCCTCTCCTTTACAGTCATATTAATTACACACAAATTGATATCAACAAATGCAATAAATACCTTATATGTATTACACAAATATATTACTTCTTATGTTGTTCGTATCTATATGCTCAAATTTATATACAAAAATTTAATAACGTATGCATTTCATATTAAATATTTACAATTAAAACTGAATAACGTTCAGCACTCGTGAGCCTTCCTTTTGGAGCGAAGCCCTGGTGCAGAACACAGTAACCTTAGCTGCAAATCCCGTATAAAAATACCTAAATTAGGGGCTGCTATAATTACTGAAGAATTACTATTAAAATACACATGCGTATAATTATATTGTCATCTTACATTATAAGAAAATTTGTTGCTTTCATTCCCGGACTAGTTCTTTTCGCATTTTTTACTTTGCCATTCTTTTTAAGAGTAAGTAGCCACTCATCCCTTTGATACCTCGCTAATGAGAATCTGGTATAACCACTCTTAAGACTGTATTCGTGGAATAACGAATTCTGACCTTTTCGCTTCTATTGGAAAACAGAAAAAATATATGTGATGATTACGACTTCGGAGTAAATTCCGTCTTAAGATAACCATAGACCGCGCCATTAGTGTATAATAAATGGCAGTCCCAAGCAGTATGGCCAGCAATAAAAAGTGCATTCCTAGCTATTATCGTAAGTCTGATTACGTATTGTCGTAAATCTGATTGTTAATTCAGTCTTTAATTTTTGCTTTTCAACAGGTCAAGCTAGACTTGCATGCTTCAGCATCAATGTGACTGACAACGACATGCAGTTAATGTATTAGTATGAATGGAAGAGGGGACTGATTTGCTATAAAAAAAGATGAATTAAATTAGCAGATGTCATAGTACGGCCTTAATATAAATATATACATACTTCTGTAATGACGTGTCCATTCATGTTAATAGCGACGTATCGTCGTGCAGCTAAGTTGTATAAACGAACTAAACTTGTTCCATATGTTTCCATTCGGAACAAAACTAAAGAAAAGGAGTGGATAAATGAATTTACGGAATATTAAAATTTAAGTGGGACATTCATGACTGATTTAATTGAAAGAATTTGAGTTATCCAGATGATATTTTTGCGCTTTAACGATTATTTTTCTACGTATGTATAATATAGCTATGACGCATAGTTTGACCCTGGTCTATTACCGTTAAATGAAAGTAATTGTTTATGAATTGAAATATCAAATATGCTGAGTTTAGATAAATATATTTTCTCAGTAAAGTTTGATTAAGGAATGGTCATGTAGATACAGAAAACAAAACAGCGATCTAAATTTTAGGGAGTTTCAAAACAGCCAAGCTTTAGATGAAGAGAATTATAGAACATTAAAATGCAGTTGAAGTTTATTGTCTACCGTAAACAGGCATTTATAAGTTATAGTAAAGAAACTGACTGCGAAATTAGCCTTTCTAGAAAAAGTCGATATAACGGTTAAAGAGGCTCCACAAGCTCATTCAGTCAATAAAAAGTCATAAAATGAGACCACAGTAATTATAGGTAGAGCGCCATTGTGGAAAAATTAAGATTCGAGGGTATTCTACAGACCACTTTCATAAACAGCTGTGGACTATTTTAATCTCCTTCTATTTACTTTGGCTCCCTCAGCGAATATTCCGTAAAAGCAAAACAAACTTTGGTGTGGTCGAATGTGTAAATGTTTACCACAAATTTTCTGAATGTGTCGCATTGCTCGAATATTTGGCGATTTACGTTTGGCAATTACACGTTTTGGAATAGAAAACACTGACCGCACCGACACCTTTCAAGGAAAACAATTCGTCCGCGCCTTATACAAGATTTTGCCGCCAGGGTAGTTCCTATTGACTATATTATAGATAAGAGCTTTCTTATACCTGATGCAACACAATGGGTTCTAATTGGTTTAATTAAAGACAAAGGAAATGTCGCAATATATAAGTTTGTCAAATTTCATACAGTCACTCTTTTTGAACTATAGGCAGCTAGCAAGATAGATAAAATTTTCAAGGAACATTAAACATCCGATGGTCGTTTGTCGGGAGGATTTTGGTTGCATGAATATCTATACTCGCGGCAACTGCACGGCAGTCTCGCATCTATACTCGCTGCCTGTCAAAAAATACTTCTGGAATAGTTAGCATTTAAATTAATTCAAATTAGCATTTTATATTTGTGGTAGTTTGGCATAAACAAACAAGGTTGTCAATCAACTTAGTATTGAGGTTTTGTTTTAAACATGCAGAATGACCAAATCGGAATTCTCAAAAACCGATTCAAGGCAAGATAAACGGCCTTCTATAAATGCTGTCGTTGAGATCTTCGAGCCATTTTCAGTCACCATTTCAGTAAGAATCGCGACAATTCCATGATTGTTAATGATATATTGATATATGAACGATATTCTCACAGTGCTCTACTTCAAACATATTATCATGCACATTATCTATTATATTGATGGACTTGATTTATGACAAATAGGGAGTCAAAATTATTCCATCAAAACGAGGTCGTCATATTATTTGCATTGATGGCCCAAATTCCACCCTTTTTTAAAGAAGCACATTTGCTGTTTAGCAGAAAGGTATAGTTTTCATTAAAAACGTATTAATGCTATTGATATATAATATCTAATATAATAAACCTAATAATGCAATTGGTACACTTAGAAAGTGTAAACGGATAACGGTACCAATCTTTTTTAAGTACCTATATGCATGTGCATGCAGCACTTTAATTTATCCATATCAAAAGCATTTTGTATTATATAGTCACCACAATTTACATATATCTTAATGATTGTATAGCAAATCCTTGAAGTCCTCAATGACACATACCAAACACTTCTATCGGTGCTTTGAAAAAAGCGTTTGGCGTCCATTTCCACTTATGTGACTCAATTGAGTCATCATTATTTTGAACTTGTTTGCATGTACACATAGATGTGTCTAAAATACTGCATGTACAATGATACCACTGCCATTTATGAAGTTATTATCAGAGAGTTAGTATAGTCAATCATACGACCGATGTAAATGTGATTATTATGGATTGCGTGATCTTTTTTGGCTTGAATTCAACTGCAAAAAATGTGCGAGGCATCACACTGATTGCATGTCTATATATAACATGACTGCATGCTTGATCACTCAATTATTAAGGGGAATAAAAACACAAACTAAAGGCAAAAATACAGGCACAAATCAACTGAGCATGTTAAACGTCCAATCAGTTAAGATTAGTTGTTTTAGATGTTTCTTACCAGTTTTATACACAATATTCATACAGATATACAACAAATTTAGAAGACATAAAATGGACCTATTTGTCACTAATTTTGACCGTTGTTTTTACGTCTATTCATGAAAAAACAATGCATACATGGCGGTTGGCGAAACTCAACACGGAGTTCCCATCCGATTCTAAATTTGGAGCGTTATTTTTAGTCCGAGATACTATTATAGCCACAGAAGCCCGATGCGATTCCTGTGGAGAAGGTAATAATTCAGTCCTAACCACAGAGCACGAGATTTACATGAAGTATATGTTTGATATATAGCGACCGCCACATCCCTTCTCACGATTAAAATGGCTGCATGCAGCGACCGATTGTGTGTTTATGTTGATTTTCATTATGAATCTTTATTGCCGAAAAGAAAGCAGAACAAATAGAACAACACGCTAATTTACGTTGCGTGTTATAACAAACTTATATCGTACTGAGGCGAAAACAATTAAAAATTTTGTTTGTTTTTAAATCACACATTGCTGTTATAGGTTTTAGTTGAAGACGAATTCAGGCAAAATATAGCGATAGTAATGAAGCCGTGACTAAACTTGTTTTTTATGGACACCGCGTTGTGTCCTGCATATAATGCCCCACCTTTACGTTTTGCCCTAAACAACCAATGAACGATGCAATTATTTACGATTATCAGTGCCAAAGCACGGCAATCGATAATTACTATAATTGCTATCCTTAAACTCAGATTATCGTATTCATCAAACAAGACTAAAATACTTTAATTGTATAGTATATATATTATCACTGATGTTCAGCTTGTATTGATTAGAACTCATAACGAAAACGGACAAGTTATAACATAACTTTAAACAGGTGAATTTAGGTTAGTAAAAAATCGAACTTTTTCTGAGGTATGTCGTCATTTTGTTCTCTATATTCATCTCTATATATGGCGAGCATACAAATTGAACTGGTGTGAATTTGAATCGGTAATTTTAAAGCGTGTTTATACTTCAAGCAAAGGAGTGGTTTCCGCTGGAGGAAAAAAACAAGGGTGTTGGTTCATCCGGAGTTTGTACTCTATGCCCAAATATTTTAGCTCGTTTGTTTGTAATTAATTATCTTTGTATTTAAAATTATATATTTGATCGGTAATTTGAAAATGACATGAAAGATCGTGAGTAATATGAAATAAGCCAGGTGACATCCGCATCACTCATCTCTTATATACGTGGTAATTGGTGATCTATCATTCTTTTTATAGGCTCGAGGACAGGTAGTCAGGTTGCCACGGCTAAAAACGATGTGAATATCGGGGGAAAGTTGAAAAATAATTTCGATCCACAAACCATTGCATGCGTGGCAGTTCGCCAGATTCGGTAACAAATTATCACAATCTTGGCAAGAAATGAGTTCATTCCTGTTATAATTAAAGCTTAAACATCTAATCCTATTATTGCATACGATAAAGTAACTTTAAATCGCCAGACTCACCGTTGCCATTAGTGTTATGTGTTCCGCTAACTTTGCCATCCTTCGAGACTTGTAGGAAGTAACGGTATTTATGATAGATTCGGACAATTCTGATATTCGTTTGAGCCTCGGACGCGCGTGCGCTCGCCGTTGCAAGAGTCGATCTCTTTTCTCGTTTGTGTTCGAAAGTGTTTTCAAACGACGTGCCTTCGGAGCTCCATCGTGCCTCTACGTCTCTGTCACGAGGTCTAGGCAACGGTAACGACGAACCTTGAAACATGAGTGTTCCAAGCAGAATGGCAATTATAAATCTCATAGGACCATTAGGTTCGTGACAGCGCCTGTGGAGAGAGAAAATACAATTTGTTCATATGTACATTTCCGTGTCATAGCAATGCGAAATATTGCAAAGATGCAAAGCTTAGCAAATACAGTGATAGGTAAATACACAAAGAGAAATTAGAGACGTATACGCACACAACGGGTTAAAGGTAATTGTAAAGAATTCAGTTTAGCCACTCGGCCGTCTACTTGCTCTTCCCAGATAGGTATAGCCTCTGTCAAGTCTAGCTCTCTTTAACGCGCTGTGACGTCATGCAGAATGAGTTATAGATCACGAGATGATGATTGAGTCATAGCTTTATCACAAAGCAGCAGGCTCTGCCTCGACCCTCAGCGCCGTGGTTGTGAGGGAGCTATTTTTTGTTTACGCCAGCTTGCCATAGCAATGCGAACGCAAAATAACATTCTCGTTTCTTCCAATCTTGTCCCGGGATTATAAAAAGTCTACACTAATTTAATTAAGAAGCTCAAAAGGTCAATCGGGAAGATATCCTAGAATTTTCAACACGTCTGAGATGAATCGACCACTGGAACATATACCCATTATAGGGGAATTGTGTATATGACTTTTGTTCGCAGTTTTAAAAATTCTTGCGGGTTTTTTCATATTGTTCACACATTTTATAGAACACACGCAAAGGGCTAAAAATAATAAAGGTTATGGTTATTATATTAAGTGGGCGGAGAACAAATGGAATACGAACCAGTCGTGAATTGATCAGCGGTAATTTATTATACATGGAATTAAGTCTTTGTGTTTGTGTGATTTATCAGCAATTATATAAAATGAAATGAAATGTTATAATTTTGACTAGTTCAGTAAGATCGCATTTCCCATGTGTTAAACACTTTAACTGTCAACAGATAATCAGCTGAAATAATGTAATTATCTATTGTTTCTAATGCACTCGGCACGCTTAAGATAGGCCTTACTGTATTGGTACAAATTAACGTGACTTACGTTGCTATTTTGGCATTGGAAAGTATTCTCCTCGATTTCCTATGATATTAGTTTCGAAATTCGAAATGTATTCAGGATGTATACCCTGAAATTTAAAGAATTTCTTTCTCCGAAACCATACTGTCAATTCGCCAGTGGATATGAATGTTATGTCCTTATTTGTACTGATTAGGATAACCGGCCTATATAATGTGGTGTGAAGCGCATAACAAAGATAGCAATTCAAATTTTAGAAGCGTATTGCTGCAGCGTGTTCTCTTTTAATCAATTTACTTAGTAAATACAGAGTACGATAGTGAGACAGTTTTATGATATAAAAGCTTACTAATCTAACTCACATATATGAAAAACAAGTCGTGTTCATTCTAAAATTCTTTAACAGTAAACAATATATTAAAGAAAGGAACGGAGGAAACTCCTCGTTACAATGGTATTGCTATCTCATGATTTGAGCCAACGACACACAATTAGGTCGCAGAATTCTGGCAACAGTTTCGACTTCATACCAAAGTCTTTGGAATGCAGTCGCCAGTGGGAACGGAATTTTTGCTTCTTATGTGTTTTAATATAGCTCAAATCTTATCCTAACTCGACCTGAGCCTTCCCGCCATTCGTGTTCATGCAAGAGTCCTCTCTTAATCAAGGGAAATAATTTTTCTAAAATAGCAAATTCATGCAAACACCCAATCAATATCAGGAACCGTCATCGTGGAATTTTTGTGACCTGAATTTCATCAATTTCATCTCCCACTTAGTAGGTGTAAATGGGTGCTTAAAATTTTAGCTGGACACACCCGTAAAAGTTAGGAATGTTACCCGACCTCAATTCAGTATTACTAGAACTTTCCACCTCAAAGAAACTCGTATAGGAGTCTTTAATCTCTAGTAATACAAAACTTTTTGAATCACAGAAAGAACCCTTGGATGATGCATGTACTATATAATCGTCTCCGTCAACCATGTATGCACTTCCTTGAATAAAAAGCAGCTAAATTTTAAATATTAATAATTATATTTATTTCCTTACATACATATACACACTCTGGATTCCCAAATTCGAATATTGTATAATTGTGGTTTTTCAACTGCAAAAATTCCCCCCACGGGAAATGGTCTTTATACCCACTTCCTTAAATACTTGTTATAAAATCAATGAATTATCATTCTGTAATATTAAGTGCCTCGTATCCTCACACAGAGGCGCTGCATGGGTTCGAAATGCCTACAAAAAAGCATTTTGTTTTGAAGAGAAATAACGATTCTTTATAGATGCGCCAGTCAGATATGTATATAAAAGTTATATTACGGTGGCAAAGCAATTTGTATGCAAGGAAAATAACGATCATGGTCGTGCACTTTTTAATATGTAATTAAGATTAAGACTGCTAACATCTATAGAATGTGACAATGACAAAACGTCTTGGTTATCATAAAATATTATATCCTCATATTATGACATACATTCCAAATTCTTATAAGGCACCAGTCCACCACTAATCCGAAGCCTAAGCCGGCTTAAGCGAGTCTATACAACTGTAAATGCATGCATGTGAATGCATTTAACAAGGGTCAAGGACATGGTTGCTCTGTCGTGGTTTTAATTGCCAAAACGAATATGTTTTCCTTAGCATTGCATAATCCCAGTATAGTCGATGAACGAATCATAGTCTCTACCGTGATTCGAGTTTCTCAAATCTTTTTCTCATTTCTCACAACAACGTGCCTTACTCCATTTTAAAGATTTAAAGCTATTAACGTAAAGTCATATAGAAGGCAACAACTCGAAATAAAAAGGACCTTTTCTTTTACGGAGAACACGGCCAGACTGGTCCTGTTGTATTTCGGTACAGACAGATTACTGGTATTTTAGAGTGTTTCAAGAACTCTGCATTCAAGTACATCGTTATTTACATCTGCCTAGCACAGGAAATGCAGTTTCACCGCTATATTCTTAACGAAATACTCTCTTTCAATTTAAAATATGACCGGTTTGACCATTTTAGCCGCTTAATGGAAAGCGCCCTAAGTGTCCCTTATACAGATGGTTTAGAAGGTGATGACTTTTGCCGTCATGACCGTTGCAATATACCAATGTTTAAGAGCTATGCGCTGAAGCAATTTAAACAATAACGTACGACTGAAATTAATATATAGGTTCAATCAAGCATCATGAAGACTTCAAGAGAAAACGAGAATCTCTTATTTCGCTAATTTATAGTGTAGCGTGAGAAAAACAACGTTACACTCTAACCATGTATGGAAAGTCGTAATTATCGAAGCAACGAGTGAGCCGCGATTCGACACATCTCTAGTGTAGAGAGATTAATGTCGCAGTTATTCAACAGCTTATATGTTAAGAGCATTAGCGGCAAGAGATTAAATTCAAATTAAGATTGTTCTCTTTATAATCTTAGGTAGCATAACAAAACAGTATATGAAAACACGTTGATTAAAAAATTAATATCGAACTAATAATATACCTTTTGTCCTTGTAGTGCGTTCACCTTAGACTGTATCGTCCATGGGCCGCTTACGAACGTGTATAGAGCTCTAACGATACGATACAACGGTTGTGTAAGTCTCTTATTACGGCGAGCTTTGTGCTGCTTTGATGTTCCTTTTGTCGTCGGTTAATTACTAAGAGAGTGAGAAAATTAATGTCACCAGGTCGCCTGTATACGCAGTCAATGTGGCATTCCTACCAGCGTGCGACAGTCTATTGGCAGAAGGACAACAAACGTTTCAAAGGCATTGTCTTTATATACAAGATACTAGCCAGGCATATGATTGCCCCGGTGTAGCTTCCGGTAATGCATATAGACGAGACGCTTTGGAAGATGCGCTTGAACGCCTACAAAGACTATTTTATGAGGAGACAATTAAGCGAATTGCGAATGGGGATACTTGATTACTTCCCGAAAAACAAACAGAATTATTCGATGTATCTCGGTAGTACCACCCTTGTGGAGTTGACCAACGGTGACAGAAAATGCATCCAAGAATGCTGATTGTCAAATTTGTTTGGTATTATTGACCTTTTGTAAATAAGTATGCGAATCAAATCTACATGTATATTGTCCGTGTTTGCGAGGAGTGACACTAGGATCAATTTAGTAGGTTTTATAGTACGTTTGAACAGTTTACAGTACATCCACGAGAACAATATAGCATCAGCTAGCGAAAAGTAGTTAATATAGGTGACTAATCTTCCAATGAAATGACACTTTAAGAAAGGAAAAGGTGGAATGAAGCAATCTATCTTTCCTTGACAACGTTGAATAGTGAGTAGTCATAGTGAGTAGGCACGCAGCTTGAACATAATTTATACTACAGATTTCTTATACAAATCTACACAGCTACAGGTTGACCAGTTCGAACTGCTGCATGGGCTATTGATTCGAGCAGTGTTAACTAAAAATGTCTCTGACCTACGGAAACGTGATTTCTCAGACTGCAGGAATGGTGAAAAAGCCAGCTGACCAATTTCCTAGCAATATTTCTGACCCAGTACAGATCCATTCTTTTCTAAACTTATTCTTAGTGCGAGAATTGCATCACAGCGAAAGAAAAAGATACTGGCAATCAGAAGGCGGTGACGAAAGATTAAAAAAAATAATAATAAAATAAGCCGTTTAAAACTACTGAAAAAAGAAGTACGTGACACGAAAGAAAGTGTCACGGATTAATCTTCCTTTTGAAAGGCCACTGTTGACCTGCTTTCCGTAGAAAAGGTTATGAAAACGACGATTTGTCGCTATCAAATGTCCCTATAGGAGCTGCCTATATAAAATAGACATTAAATTTCTCGACATTTCGACGTAAGTGCCTTCGTCAGGGGGAATTACATAGCTATTAACTCTTTGTCGGAGACTCTCCTACCGAAGGTCCTCAGATCGAAACGTTGAGAGGTTTTTTGTCTTTCAGAGCAGTTGTCATCCCACATTTGATGAGAAATTATTCAATGCTGCATGCAACAGCCACGCTACTCTCAGGTTGTCTTTGGACCCGTGAAAATAAGTGCTAATGCAAAATTTCAAAGATATTAACAGTACAGTATTCATTCAACATGGGCAAGATAGTCCTCAACATGTCGTTTCACCAAAAGCAGTTAAACAATTGCGTAAAATATATGTACAAGAAGGCTCTTTCACGTTGCGACCGCGATGGCCCTCGTTCGTCCCCTCAGATCGAAACGTCGAGAGGGTTTTCTTTGATGACAAGTTATGTGAAAACACTACCACGCTGCTTCCTGATTATCAACGAACACATCTAAGGCTTCAATATACATGCCCCTATCCCCTCCTGTTATGCTACAATCCTGGCCAAAACATTGACGATACTCTGTGTTAATTCACACTACAGTCAGCAGTCGCGGGATTTATTTCAAATTTCTCCCCCTTTCCCCCACAAATCAATGTTGAGTGATGTGTCATAACTCATTCAAGCATTCAGCATAGATGCAACATTGATTAGGGGTGGGGGGAAGTGAAAATCGACATAGAAATATTGATGCTTTGCATAAAAAAGTACAAAGTATAGTCGATGGTTTTGGCCAGGATTGTAGCTCTTAGCTATTTATCCTCCATTCGTTAAATACCCGTTCCGATTATACAAGAGCGATTTTCTGGCCATCAACTGGACAAAGGGCAATGATTTGTGATTGCAGTTTGGGTAATTCATGGTGACAAAAATTCCCGAAGTTCCGTCATTAAAGTACACTCAAAACGCCCACAGCAAATAAATTTCGGCAAAAGCTTCAATTAAATTATAATTCTCCGGGTTCGGTTTTTGAGTGATTTCATCCCTTGCTAACTTTAGCAGTGGGTACGGCTAACTTGATTTTCCTTATTCAAACAGATGACTAAAAAATAATTTGTGTATATATACTTCCTAGAGTTGTTAACACTATATATGGTAGCTACATATAGATTACATACTCTGGCATACATTCTGTAAATTTATGGCCGTAATTAGAAAAGTATAATTCAATGATAAGCCGGATGTTTTACTTTTGATATACCAATATCAATTATGCTCCTTTAACAAGTGTTTCAGAATCCAAAACTCGATCATTCCCTCTCAATCTCTTTCGCTTTATTTTAGTCTTATCTATATATTCCGGGATAGATTTGATGTGGATACATATCTTCATATGTTAATGATTGTTGCGAGTAGGCGTATTTTGCAACATTCCCTTGTTAAATTCGAACTATAAATTAATATTGAATTAATGATCATGAAATACCAACCCAATACAATTAGAATATTCGATCCAATATCAAGCCTGATGATTACAATAGTACTTGAAGCCACAACGATAGATTAATAAAGGCAAGTAGATCTTCAAATTTTCCTCTGCTATCAGTTTTTGGAGAAACTTTTTTGTACCTTTAGCCTTGTGGTTTTGACCCAGTAACTGCAATTTCCAGTTTTTGGTTTAAATTTATTTTGTAGTTCGAGTTTTAGCTAATTGCTTTCAGTTCATATGGAGTAGAATTGTTATAGGAAAATTATATAACCGTTATCGGAAAATGAAATTGACCCCGAAAACGGCGAATATTTGCAGTCTTGAAATCATTTTCACGGTAATACGCTGTGGAAAAAGCTAAATTTAAGCTGACAATGGCATAGACTACTTTACGGCATCGTGCGTTACGCGGCAGCCAGGCGGGAAATAATCCCAGCAAGGAACCTTATTAATTCAAGTAGCTAATAATTGCGAGCAATTAACGATACGAGACGCCGGATATCGACCGGAAATCGAGGCACTGCGATCGAAGTGAACGAAAATCACGCAAGTGTTAATTTGCGACCTCCTGTTTGTGGTTGCTAAACGAGGTCTAATTCCGATGAACTATGTTCGCGACGGATGTGCAGTTGAACGTGCATACTGTGTCACGGAAGCGGCATTTTCCTATTTGGAAAGTTGTGCAAGCATTGGTATGGCTGCCATGCACGTTTTAGCAACAGGAGACCGCGTCGCAATGGAGATTGTAATAGCCAATAAAAATTGCAGAAATATTCAATGATGGTGGCTAATTGTTCCATAAATTTTCATTCAAGTATTGATTCAATCTTATCGCACAGTCAAACCTCGCTATATCCGCGAAGCTTAGGAGAATTGCGGTGTTAGAGAAAGTTAGTAAGTTGAACACGTGTCGCATGAAGATCGATATTTGCCGCATAAGTCATGTTTTTCCACTCAGGTATCCTACTATTTAGACTACAAGAGGGCCGGATGGGTCGTGAGAAAATTCATGCAATCAGGCACTGTTTCATTGCAAAAAGCATTGTTCTAGAATTTTTTCCTACTAACGGAGGACTGTATACCACACCATCGTGTATAGTAATAGCACGTTGGTAAGTACTAAGTAGTCATATTTGATGGTAAGTAGTCATAATTCATATCCAAATTCGTTCCCAGGGTCAAGCCCAGGATGCATAGCGCCAGACTTATTCCTAGTACTCCTTAGCGCGCCTTGCATTCTTGTGACGTCACCAGTTTGAACGCGCGGGAGAGTACAAAATGTTTTTAATTCTTAATTCAAAATGGCGGCAAGAAAATTTTTTTCAACCAACACTGATCCAAAAATATTTGGATCAGGAACAAAATAAGGGCAACTTTTTGAAATCTCAACATTTTGTGGGCCTCTCAACGTGGGCTGCATAATTAACAGCGCGCGCTTACAAGGCCTGGGACTAGGCTGGCATAGCGCAGAAAACTCTGGAAAAGATGGAATATGTCACTATGTGAATAAAACCGTTTGTTGTGACAATATTTCGGTTAAGATTTCTTAATTGTGATGGTGCAATTTTATGGTGCTACTTTAGCCTGGTTTATAATACATTCGATTTATTGGCACGGAATGGAATAAATTTTTTTGATGTTTGGTAAAAATTCAACGAATGTTCCGGGCCAAACAAAACATGTACAATATTTGTAAATATTTTGATAAAATATATCGATAGAAAATAAGGAACATGTAGTCATGTACGTAGTACGATATAGAAAATAACATTTCCGGAGAATTCATTCAATATTTCTTAGATACTGTGGGGTAAAAATATTGTAATATACGCAATGTCATTCTGACATTTTATTAGACAAGAGGCCCACGCGTGGCCGTCTTAAAATCCCAATGCTACCGCGCGATCAACGCGAGTGGGCATTTTATAATTTTCCCTAGGGAGAACATAGCAATGAAAATTCACGTAGTATGGTATAAAAACATTCCCTATAGGGAAAGTATGAAATTTGATGCCTGTTGCTATTGCTTTCCCCAGCAACGCGCCCATAACGGCATTTCAGAGAAATTTCCTCAAAAGTTCATTGAAAGATTCATCAATTTGCCCTAAGATTTGTACAATATCTTCAGTGAAGCCGGAGGATCGAATATTGTGGTAGTCGGGAATTTAGGGATGCCACCTGAATACTTCCCGCATAAACATTTCCCGCATGATGCATTATTTCTTGAATCTAAATTTAATTTTTGTTAGTGTCTGGAAGGGCATGTCGTTCAACAATTTTACCTTCAAAAATAGAATTATATTTTCATTGTGTGTTAAAACGGTGGTGCGTTAAAATTTTCAGGTGGAAAAATTTTAAGAAATGCGTGCAGCGGTATATATGAATCCATAAAATTTACAGTCCAGTTTTGAACACGCGAACATTGTGATACAAAAAATGAAGAGAAGTTACTTAATAACTGGGCAGTTTATTTCGTAATGCTCAGTCGTTTATACTTTTAGGACAGACATTTTTTTCAACACATATTCGACTGTGGTCGTGAAAATATTGTGCATGAAATTGCAAGTTAATCATAAGCATATACATGAATATAGTTTTCGTTGTTATTCGCAAGCGCAGGTCAAAGTCAGAGAAAGACTGGGATTAAGACGCTCATGATTGGGCGAGGAAAAATATTTTGTAGTTTATTATAACTGAACTGTCAATTTAATACATGTTTCCAAGGTTTGAAATTTGAAAAATTGATACACTGTACATTGTAAAAAGGGTGAACTATGTAAATATTCCTAAATATACAAATATGAGATTGCTTTTAGGATGGGATGTTTTGGGTTCAAACTAATCCATAGCATTTCTGCGCTCTTCAAGTAACCCTGTTAGTATTTCACAGGTGTTGGAGTAAATTTCAAAATTTCGCCGGTGGTACATACCCCTGGGCGCCTCAAGCCACCTCAGACCTTCTGCCCCACGTCGGAAGGACTTCACCCCATTTAATTTTTATACCCATTCGCCTATGTAGGTTATGAGGTTAATTTTAGATGTAATTCCTTGCCTTTGAAGGGTCACTTATTTTATGTCAGAAAATGCTTTATATAGAATGTTTAGTTTTGTTCCTTGCCCAAGTTGATTTTGCAGGGTCGCTTTTTTAAAAATAAAAAAACGACCAGTACCTATAAGTGACATATATAGTTTGTGACATATATAGTGACATATAATTTTTTTAAGTAATTAAATAATGACGGTATCAGAAAACGTGTGACACCGCGTTTTCAGTTTTCGAGTTCAATTAATAAGGGAGTTTCATTTTGTAATATATATATTCACATGAATTTTAAAGTGGTATAATTTTAAAGTGGTTGTCCGTTTATATGTACCTCAGTACTCTTTGCTTTTCGCGATTCACAATTTTTTCTCAAATCATCTTTTCGCTCGCGAAAAAACTGGAACCTCCTAAATTCCTTGTTTAAAGTCAGGAAGGAAAAAACGAATTCACCGTTTGGTAAACGCAACGGTTTTATATTCCTTTTGGCCGTTGGTAAAGCGAATTTTATTGCTACGTATGATCTTTAACTTAGGGCGTTACCTGTAAAGGAAGCGTGGCGTTAAGAGAGCCCTAGCTTACTCTCTGGTGAGTATAGTGAATTATGCCATAGTAACATAGGCAACGTATAACGTCGTAGCGGTAATACCTGTTAGTGTTAGCCGCGTTGTTTAGATAGCTGTTACTCTAGGTACATTGTGAATTATGTCATTATAACATAGGATAGCGTTATAGCGTAAGGTTATATAATAGCACGCAGAAATACCTGTTAGGCGAGGTGTTTTTTCCCATATTATATTAGAGCATAACCAGCGTGCGACGTTTACATGTACATATTCTCCTGACGGTGAGGCATCACCACACATATGTAAAAGAATATTGTCTTCTGGCGTTTGCCACGACGATACGAGGGGTACTGGCGTTTTCCCAAAGAGAGAGGCGGGTTCCTGAACGAGTGGCAATAACGGAACGCCTTCGCGCTATATACGTAGGCACAAAGTGCCCTTTTTCCCACAGAGGCACGGCCTTACTTTTCCGAAAAGGGTGGGGGACAGTATGTCAGCTTGTATAAGCAAGGAAACTCCTCAGCGAAAGACCGTGGTGTGTCAAAGCAAGATAAAGGTTATGAAAGAGGCCTTTCAGTTACGTAAACGTCCTCTATTATGTTGGTCTTCACCAAAATGTTTCACTCTTTCGCTCGGTGCAAACTTTATGTTCTTATGTTTGTTTTATATATTCTCTTATTGAAGTATATGGGCGGGTAATTTATCATGTACACACATACAAAAAATACGACGAGTTAAATGAATCAGCTAATTTACATATGTTATAGGCGTAACTTTAAAATTATTAAAAAGACAAAGCATTATGTAACATAAGAAACTATGCTCTTACCCCCGAAATGTTCCTCCGCGCTCAGCCAGAATATTTCTATACAGTTCGGGGAAAATATTCCCTGAAATTCGTCCGCAGTTCGTGTAATAATAACTTGTAATCGCAACTATACGATGCCTGGGTTGCTTCTGTATTCAAACAATATACGATATTGTGAAATGATAATTGTCTTTATATTTGAAAGACTCCAACGTGGCTCTGAGGCAATTTTCCAGTTAAGCTAGTTCCTGCATGGGCAAAAAGCATTCATTTAAGAATTCTCTTTATTGTCTGCTCTGCTTCGCGGCACCGTTTGATACCATCATCTTGTCGACCAATCAGCTCGGCTATCTCTACATATAACGCGGAAGAAGGCGAAGCTTTAACGTTTTTAAACATTTCCGAAAGAATTCGTTCAGTAGATAACAGAGTCCTAGTTGTCGTTGTAGCGATATCCGACATTGTTTTAATGTCATATTTTCATCTGTTTCGAGCAACCTTGTTTATGAAATGAACAAACGGTATACATAGAAAATACAACAGTCAATCTATTGTGTATTGTGTTCACGTTCGTAGAAGCAAGCCAAATCGAGTTTGGCAGGAATAGGCTGGCATTATTGACGGTAACCACAAGTGGCTTCTATAAGCAAGTACTTGGATCACTCAGTCATTCAGTCACCAATTCATTAAGGTGTCGAAAATGTATTATTGATACGTTCCGAGCGTGGGGAGTGTAATCGTGCATCCCTACATTTACGTAAAATTTCTTGAAGGACGTCCAAGTTTACAGCGAAGGACGCATAGCCATAGAGAGGCAAAAAGGCACTTCTTCACTGTTCATGCAATCAGGACACGAGCTGTTTCAGTTGTCTACTCGCATTGCCCCATTGACCAAAAATGCTATTACAAATTACCAACATTATTAAATCAAACTTCGCTAAGGGATATGGGCAGTCACGACTGGAATCGCAAAGGAAATAAAGCAATGACCGTTTGTAAGGTTTGATGGGGTCAGTATACGCGCATCATACTTCAATTTATAGAAAAACAGTCAGCTGGCATTTTTTACGACTATCATGGGTTGTCGGAAAGTGCTGCTTGCCAGGTATTCTTGGATTTTATATGACGTCATATATTCCTTTAGCAGTCAACTCTAAGTCAAGACAATAATCACAATATAATCGCAACTAATTTCACACTGCATGTATATGTGTTGGCTTATTACTTCGCATGCATATGCCGTATGCTCACACTTAAAGCGGACTTTCGCTTGATACAGTATGAAAATGATAGGTTAATGCTGTCAATTAGATCATTACAATGATTATGTAATGTTGATAATGAACGATCTTCGTGTTCTAGAATATTTATTATTATAAATCCTTCCAACTGTAGAGTTGAAGCCAATATAGCGGCCATGTTGAATGGCCCCGCCTATACAGCTCATTTGCTGTTGCGTAAATAAATAGTTGCACGTTCGTGGAAAAGGAAAAATATTTTTGAGATGATAATTCATCATGGAAAAGCCTCTTATCCTTCCAAAATTTGCGGGTGAATAACCATTCAGCATGGCGGCTATCACTAGCTTCCCAGGTCAAACAATATATATTTGCTTTCCTGGCTACCTCTTTTAAAAACCAAAAAGTTTAGCCTAATCTAGCTGACACATTCAAAAATCCGGCTACAAAATCGTGTCACAGAGTATAGGAAGCGTTATCCAGTTTTATACGCCTTTATTCTAAAAGGTCGCTCACACTCAAACTTTTTAAGTGGAGAGCTTAATCAGCTTGGAATTTTGCTAGGATGTATGGTATTCCATGCACTTGACTCAGTTAACTGAGGGCTCGTTCTGATGTTTTTACCTAATTTAAAAATCTTATCGTCGATTAAGTTAAGACTCTCGTTGACCAGCATGATGGCGAAATTCAAGTTCCACGTCTAACTCAATGAGTTTGAGTGAGTTTCAAAAAACGGACATTAATATGACTCAACTCCATGCATGGTGTACTGAAATATTATTCAAAGTCTAGTATACTCATCGGATGCGGCAATATTTTGCCATTTCACGAAACTAAAATATGCCAGACAAGAAGGGACGTTCAAGGGCTCTGATGTGAAATAACGATATATAATAAAGATCTTTGCATCTTTAATAAACGCCCTGGAGCCTTTCCATATAATTATTATAATATAATAAAACATAGATAAGTGCGACTCAATATACATTCCTATGGTAATCACTTCCATGTATATTTAAGTGGGTTTGTTTATATAAGTACATGTTTGCACAAAACGATATATCAAAAACGTTTTGAAATATATCATGCAGACAAGATATTCTTAAGTGCTGTTCTTGAGACATTGCACTTCACGTACCACACCTTGAAGTTTAATAACGAAAATCACACGAACGTGATTGAGTCTATGAGACGTTGAGAGACCATACAATGTGATAGTGTGCGTTCATTTAGTAACAACGTATCATATATTTTTTGTAGAAAATAGTGAATTGTTTTTTTTTACGTCCTGTCCGTTATGCGGAACAACGCATTAAAAATCAATTCAGTATATAATGAACTAAGGGGGTCGGTAAGTAGGCTAAGTAGTTAAGTGGGAGGTTTTCATTTTCCAAGACGCAACTAACACAATATCAATAACGTCATGCACAATTTGAACGAAAGCTAGCTCTAGGGCTTGTTTGTATGTATAGTCTAACATCAACCGTCAGTATTCTCCCTATCAACAAACCTATTAACCCATTGTAAATTATTGGCACAAAAAGCAATATTATTTTACCTACTTTTATTACCGTTGGTTAGCGCTTGGCCTTTTAAGCTCAAGAGGTCCAAGATTTTCTTCGCACGTCTATGGCTTCTTGGCGGTAACTCTTGTGGCATCAACAGCGAATCGACTATAGAGGTGGTAGAACTGTCGTTTAGACTTTATCGGGGAAATTTACGGCCGTATAGATGAACAGTAACTTCTTTTTTCATGAACTGTTTTGCAATTTATAGAGGAGATTTGTTGGCTGTGGTTCAGTGTAAGGAGGCTTCGCACTCTGCATGCAATCCAGGAGTCGTTCATTTATTTAACGACCGTTGGGATGGCTTAAACCTAGTTAAAGCACTTTGGCATATTGGCAACGTTTTGTCTATATATGGCATCTTAATCCTCTAATCAGTTTTGTCCTTACTTGGTCGTATAATAAAGTATGAATTTGAAGTTAAGTGCGTTTGAAGTAGACATTACCATCTTCAGGTTCAATGTGCGAGTGGATTTTCCCTTTGAGCTGTTTGGACTTGTGAAATGTCCTGGCATCTCTAAAAATGGTATAGATGATGAATTAATTGCCATTGGGTCCGCCTTTACTTCAGAACACGAGGTGTCCAGCCAAATTTCTTTCATTTTGGCTGCAAGAAAACCTTCGAGCGAATTCTTTCAGGGTACATAAAAATGTCCAGACTATTTTACGCTAAACTAAGTGTCATGATGAAGCGGACAGATCACATATATTCACACAAGTAATTTTTTATGCATTGCATGAAAATGATTTATCTCGACAAGTAATTAGTAATACATAACATACGATGATTAAAAAAATTAGAAGATGTTCTATATAACACAGCTGCGGTGAGATATATTAGGTGGCCCAGAAAAAAACCTACTGTGAATAATTGTATACATAAAAATTCGTAGCAACTTCAATGCCACAACGCTGTGATCGACCCTCACAACCATGCATATAGCATCAGGTTTTCAAAAACACAATGCAACGATAATTTTATACATGCATGTACCTAGACTTTTTACGCGTATCCGTGTTTGGCTCAGCCTCAGCGTTACAATATTTTACATTACAATACTTTACAAAAGTCGCTTTTGATAGCTTTCGCTTTTCGCTCGAGACACCGACTGGCATGTTCTAAAAAATGAATTTCCAAATTCTCGCTTTTTTATACCCCTCTAAAGGCCTAGTGAAAAAAATGATGGCTCCAATATCATGAAAATTTGCTGCATATAACGACTGTAATTTAACAGGAGTTGCCTTTGAGAAAATCATGCATTTCATTTATTTAAAATATTAATCTTGTTCCCTTTGTATTAAAATTTCTCAGGGCTAATTGATATCCCTATAATATACCTCATGCAAACTGTAACCGTAAAAAAATAGCCTAGACATTAGAATCTTATTTCGACTATGTTACCTTAATTAAATTACGGATTTTTCACTTATCTCTGCATGTGAATTATAGAATAAAAATTAAATCAGTCATCAAAAAAACGTAAAGAATATATCAGGGGGTTAATTTTTGCCTTTATAGGCATCTAAGTGCATTTACAAACTACTTAAGATTTTTATGTTCAATGATCTGATCAGATTGAAAACAATTTCAATGTCTGAGACAATTGCTATAGCCTATACCTATAATTAATATTCTTAGTGCAAAATTTTGTGAATATTAGTTAATTGGATATCTTTATATACAGGGTTTATAAAAAAAAGTACACCTATTGAAATGAAGCTTCTGTTGGAATTTGAATGCATGATTATAATGCACTGGTAAATACCAAAAAGTAGTTAGGTTAAGGCATTCAAACCTGAGCGTCCGCTTTTCATTTTAAATTTGGCATAATAATAAAGCATTCAAATTCTAACAAAAGATTGATATTAATAGGGGGTACTTTTTTTCATACACTCTGCAAATTTCATCTAACTCGCCTATTTCCTATTACGACTTGAAGAATTCTTTGAAAATTTAATCCGAAACATAAATCAAATCTACTTGCATGCAAAACCTTACAAAAAAAAACCCATCTCAAACCATTGCTCCTTTGGCTTGCGTGCGCTATATTATTTTATTTGGTCTTACCAAAATCTTTCCGGACAAAATAGAATGATTAAATTGTGGATTTGTGAAGCAGAATTGTAAAATTTTAAGGCACAACTTTTTACCATCTAAAACCAAACACAAATGATAAAAAAAATCAAGCTGCTTGTGGTGATATATGCATGCATGAGATGCCAAATGACCCCCAGGAGGCAAAAACAATACAATTTTTAATAACTTTTTAATCTCAAATCGTAACCTGGTATTTCTGAAGCAGACTAATTTACTCTTTTCGAAAGCCTCTTCACATGTGAGCTTAATCCTATCCGAAATGCTATCATTAGGGCAACCCCCCTTGACGTATTCTAATTTAGCTTTGCAAGATCTTTAAGTACGATAACCAATTTGCCTATTATGTCGATCACTAAGAATTATTTTCTCTTGCTTATTTACAACCGCTTAGAAACTATTTTTTTATAAAATAACATGTATATATTAACGCGGATTCTGATTGTTCGAAGCCCGTGATTGGACCCATCCAAACCCCGAAATTTAATTAGCTTATGCAAATCAAACTTGGAAGACTACATTGTTGTTATATTTTCCGTGTTTGGAGGCCTGGTCCAAACTGAGAATGTTGTTTGAGTTAAGAAAAGCTCGCAAAACCACTTGCCTTTGCCTCGTGTTTCGCGCCCGTCTTCAGAAAAAGTAATTATGTACTAACATTGTGAAATCATGAATTGTTAATGCCCAACCAAATTTCGTGAATGCACATGCACACCCTGTATATGCCACATACAAATTCAATACAATACGGCCGCGAGTGTTGTAAACAACTTCTGAAATGAATTTGTAATAAATTAGATTTTAATTGCTAAGCAAATCAGTTACAAACACTAGTGGTTGTAACTGATTTGCATATCTATTTAAATCGTATTACTCGGGCTACCGTAGGACTGGTAAACCGAGTTGAAAAATGGGCTCGGTTTTTTCTTTTGCGTCGCGAGTTTACGAAAATCACGCGTGGACAGCACGAAGTCTTCGAACGAATCGAAATCGCCCCAGGACACCCGCGCGAGTGTCACAAACATACCATGCATGTTACTACAAGATAACTGTAGCCCAAGTGAACGCCTGAGTAGGCGTCTTGTTTATTACAAATTCATTTCACAAGTTGTTCACCGCAGCGCTCGTAATTGTATATTCAATACACCACGGCCGCTCATGTTGTAAACATTATACAAATAATCGTATACCTTGGTCTAGGCGAAGATAAGATTTCCAGTGTGCGTTTGCCTGTTCTTTGCTGCTTGTCTCCACTGCAATCAGACTCAACATCACTGATATCAGAATAGGAATAATTCAAGTCTGACGTAGAGTTGTTGCTAGTATCTTTATCAAATAACACAGGACTTGAGGATTTTGGCGATGAACTATGAAGAGGAGGGTTAACCGACTTTGTTCTGCTCTTTCTCCTCTTCAGTTCTTTTCCTCGACCAATACCATTGCTCCCTGATGGTCCTGGCAAAGTGTCACTTGCCGCAACTGTAGTTGATGTATAGGAATCCTTATTGTTTCCATCATCTTGTATTCTTGCCGGCTCATTCTTTGACTGTCTCGTCGTGGCAACTGTTTCCTTTCCTTCAGCTTTTTTCGGAACTTCACTTTTAACCTTTCTGGGGGTTTTTTTACCAGCATCACTTCCTCTCTTCAGCATGATACTTGAATCTTTCATGTTTTTCATCAGTTCGTGTAAGTCCTTTAGAAGCGTTTTAAAACCTTCAGTCATCTCGGTCTCTTCCGTTAATCTTTGCTGAAAATGATACAACACAAGCAGTGTGATCTAGAGATGCACTACACACACAGTCTACACATAGTAGCAAAATAGACGTACTTTCGTTGCGTCGAGTTCATTTTTCGCAATTGCCATCCCATTCGCCGGATAACTATGATTACAAAGTACCAATCAGTGGGGTCGATATATATCTTAAGATTGCTGATAACCTTATTCCATAACAAATGCTTAGACTGTCTCACATATACAGTGACTATAGGAAAGGTTGCTTGCTTAACCATCTAAATTCATGAATGATGACTATTCATTAAGCTTGAAAATATTTATACAGAAAATGTACAAAACCCTTGCAATCCTGCATCGCCGCCATGTTGGAATCGAAATGGTTTCACCACTTGGACATTCTGCTCTCTTCCTTCAGCAGACTTCACTTTCAATTCCAACTCCTGAAAGTCATAATTTTTCATTTATTTTAAATTCACTAAATCAATTAGTTCACTTCTGCCTGTCTTTGAATTCGCATGTTGTTAAAACCATGCAGGAGCACACGTTAAGAAGGTAAGTCGCCATATCGCTATAAAATGCATGTCAACACACCTTTACTTCCAATGAATACTGCAGTTTAATTTTCGCCAAATCTTGTTCCAGTTTTTCAACAAGTGCTTGCGACTCTGCAAACTTTATGCCAGCCTAGAGGGCGAGAGATACATTGCCATTGACATGAAATATCATGTCTACATCATATACCAATGACTGTATACATCACCTTTTCCAGTGCCATTTCCATTTGAGTAACCTGCCCACTTGCATTATCGTAATACTTCATTATTTTATCAAATTCCTCTCTAATATTCTCGTTCTCTTGGTTCTTATCTCTTAGTTCGGTTGTAAGTTCCGACGCCTTTCTTTCGAAGTGTACTTTTTCCTGAAATTTATCATATAAAGGCATACATGAAAAAAGAATTCCACATGTCTAGCACAGTATTCTCTTTTTATCTAAGATAAAAAAAGAAGACGACTGCTAAAACAACAAAAGTCATCTATCCCTTAGAATCCCCTCCCCCCCCCTGCCTTTTACGCAATACGATATATGTTACCGTGTCAACCTTGTCCCATCGATATCATGCATGGTTATATCGGACAATATAGAAACACTCTGATGATGTCTTGGAACTAACTTTCCCAAACACAACATGCGAGATTGTCAACTGATCTTACGACACAACACAATGAACAACACAATTGACACAACTGATCTTTCAACATACCATTGAATAAAATGTTGTCTTAAAGTTAACTGATCTGATATATTACTATGAAATATTTTAACTAACGAAAATATTCTTTCTTACTTCAGCAGTAGCCTGTAAGCTGTCCTGAAGCCACTTGATTCTATATAAAAAGTGATAACAAGGAAATCTCGTCATTGGTCTTTTCATGCATGCATGCATGCAGGGCTGATTACCAGGCACTTCTTTGCTGAAAGCTGAATTCAGCCAATCATTTGACTCCCCTCATGAGAGACTTCAAATTATTTTTGTGAAATCATGAATAACCATGTGAAATCACGTTTACCTAACCAAATTTCGTGAATTAGATCACATGCAAATCAGTTACAAAAACTAGTGGTTGTATCGGAAAAATACAACTACTACTGTTTGTAACTAATTTGCATGTCTATTCAAATCCTATTTATTACAAATTCATTTCACAAGTTGCAACTAATTTCTCCACCTGTCTTTGAGACTGTCTACTTCTTTTCGCTTCGCTGTTATCTCCTCTTGCGTCGCCGATGCCAGTTTTGTTGCTGTTTATAGAACAGAATACACTAATTTTAAAAACAACATACAGGCATGTATTTAAAGGAATAGCGCACAAATTTACAGTTTCTTCCCAAATAATAATTCTACCTTAGGTTGAAATTCGATATATTTCATTTTATCTAAATTTTGTTATGATAAAAGGATGCTAATGAACCAGTGAATTCCAGTACGAAATACAGACAGTAGATAAACTGTATAACGGGAATTGGCAAGTTTTTTCGCGTCCTAATATACTGTGCAAATTTGCTAACTTTATTTACCAGAATATCAAAACTGAGTAAAGTTACTGAAAAATACCGTGTGCTGTATCAGGAGAACAATTTGCGTTTGTAACATACCATTATATTAATTCGCAATATAACATATAAAAATGTTAGTTGGTTGTAGTGTACATACACCTCTACATACAATACAATACCTTTTTCATTGGCTTCCCTCTTTGCCTCAAGAACTTTCCTTGTCATTGCGAGGTCGTGCTGTGAGCCTGTAGTGAAACAACAAAAAACAATTAATGGCAAATCTTCTGAAAGAGTAATAAACAAATTAATTTTATTTATTTATTGTTGTTATAATTGTTATTTCCTTAAAAAACAAGACCTGAGAAATAAAAGTTATACCTTTAAGACGTGATAAAAGTTTGGTAATTTCTTTATCTTTCTCACTTTGCTTGCCATTCATTAGGGTCACTAATGAATCTCTTTCTTCTCTCAATTTAGTCAATTCTACAACTTTATTTTCGACTTCTCTCACAGCTTTGTTTCGATCTTCCATGATCACTTCCAATTCATTACTTCGCACTTCAAGTTTTGTTTCCATCGATCGAAAAGTCGCTTCCATTTCGGCTAAAACTTGTATCTTTGATTCGAGGTTTTGGGCGAGAGCATCTCGAGTTCCTTTCAGCTTCTCATTTTCCTGAACTTTCTCTTCTAGAAACCCAACAATTTGTTGTCTTTCAACAAGCAGAGATTCCCCGACAAGATGTTTCTGAAACAAAAGTTCTGCCAATTTCGATTCCTGTTTGTTGAACACTTCTAGACTCTTTTCTCTTGCATCCAGTTCAACCTGGAGACTGTTTATAACGTCTTTCGCGCGAGTTAAATCATCTACGTTTTCTCTCACCATATTGGATAAACGAGATTTTTCATCCTGTATACGCAACATTTTCTCACTTAAATTTTTAAAATTGGTGTTCAACTCTTCTTTTTCAGCCAATATGGCAGATTTTTCATCCTGACTTTTATCGATTCTTTCTCTCAATCTTCTACATTCCTCCATTAATTTTAAAACTTCGTCAGTCTTATGTTTCAGTTCTTCTTTTAGTGTCAACAGTTGTTTACGACATTCATTATGGTTGTTCTCCATTCTTTCAAATAGTTCGCTACCTTTATCTTTCTCAAGTGATGAAATTTTGTCAGTTTTAAGCTTTAGTTCAGCTTCATGTTCTTTCTTTATACGCGTTATATCTTCTTCTCTCTCTTCAACAGTTTCTTTCAGCTGTACAATTTTACCCAGAAGTTCTTTTTCATTATCTTTGTGCTTTTCGTCGACATTTCTTAATTTTAGTGCTAATTCCTTTACTTCGTCTTCGGACGCTGTCTTAATTTCAAGCATATTGTTCGACAGTTGTTCTTTCTCAGCTCTAAGGTTTTCTAACTGGTTTTCCAATTTCTTGCGAAGGACAACATCTTTATTGCGCTAATGCATGGAAAAGATATATTATAAAATCTTTCTGTTTCAAGCAAAAAAATAAATGCCTGCCTGTAGCCATTTTTTTCCCCGTGCTACTTTTTAGATTCCCTTCATTTAAAGTCTACTTCTTGTGGATAAGATAATACACATGAACACTGTAAAGGACTGTTCACACAATCCAATTCTATTGGATCCAATTCACTTCTGACGTATGGAATATAGTGGGTTATTGATGAGGCAATAGTACATTGGCTTCGGTGGGTTTGCTGCTCATATACATTACAAGACAACAGACTAGTATAAAACATCCATCAAAAGTGAATTGGATGGATCGTGTGAACAGACCTTAAAAACAGCAAACAATTTAAAATTTGTTACCTAAGATTCATTGATTGGCCCAATTTTTTATTGTTTAAAACGATTAAAAACGTGGTTAAATTACAACCAATATATTACTTTATTTTACCAATCCGAGACAACCAAATTCAAATTAATATTTGTTCAACAATCTTTTTTCGAAAATTTGTTTAAAAATAACTCTTAAACAACAATAAACTTCGTACTTGGATTTCATGTTTTTTATTCTTATCATGAAGTTCCACGCGATATGCTTCGATGTTTTCTTCCAGTGTAGCTATCACTTTTTCGTGATCATCAATCGTTTTCTCATATTTTAACCTATATTAAGAAAAGCACATCTGAAATAAAAATAATTTAAATAGGCGGGGGGAAATAGACAATTTGCCACATATATAGACTGTTTCTTTTATCTTGCATAGAAAAAAACATAAAACAATTAGTATAAAATTCGTTAAATTCACAAAGTTTGGCGTTATGCAGAAAGTTAAAAAGTTGTAAAATGGAAAAAAAAGACTTGTGTAAAGTTGGCAAATTTTGTATACTTTTGTATTACCAAGGATATTGTTACATACAATGCAATTTTAGGCGGAAATGGTAACAATTTTCGAACGAAATACAGAAGTACAAGAGTTTAAAAATTCTGAGAGTACATGCATATTTTCCAAGCCAATATTTTCCACACTTCTAACATGCATTTTCAACCGAATTCTGCAATTCTTCTGATTTAAGCATGCTCTTTTTTGGATATATGATGGTTCATTTACTGCAAAGATTGATGATGCATGGTTTCTTTACAACAACAGATTAAAAATTAATCTTACTATTAATTAGTCCTTTATAGAAATACCCAAACGTTAATCCGGCGTTATATTGGAAATTAAATTCCTCAAAAATACTCCCTCTTATATATCACACACCTATTCTCGTTGATATCACGAACTAGTTCAGTAATTCGACTTCGTTCCGTCAAGGTTCTATTTGCTGCAATATCTAGAGACTTCGCATGATCTGTTTCCGAGTCGACGAGTCTACAAGAAAACGCCAATGAAATGATAGCAAAATAGAAAAATTCCTAAACAACAAATCGTGAATAATCAGGTGCAAAAACACGCTTACTTGGTTTCATATTCACGGATTAAGTTCGTTTTGTCCAGCTCGTGTGCTTCTTTCAGATTTTGAAGTTGTTGCTCGATCTAAAGAGAATGATGAGCTCATATTTCACTCAGCCATCCGGTATAAAGTAGATATCCTCAATGCAACGACTAATTTACATGAGGTCGCAATGAACATCCTTATATACACGCCATAGAGGACTCAGATAGTTTGATTCAAATACACGAGGCAAAGCAAACCTCTTGATTCTTGACGATCAGATCAGAGATATTTCTATCATCGTCTGTGAGAATACTTGACAACACTTGAGTCAGAAATTCTTCAGTATACAAGGAATGGTTATCAGTGGTAACTCCAGTTAGCATGTTAGTACTTCCTCTCTTACTTTCTTCATTTTTTAAAACATTAAAAACCTTCAACAATGCACTTTGTGCTTGTGTCAGTTTTTCTTTGTCGACCTTTACCCGTTTGTCGCAAACAGAAATTTCCTATAGGGAATAATGACATAGACAGATGGAATTAGTCAAACCACAGTTACCTATATCAGCGTAGAGTGCATTGATGCATATACACAATGATTATATGATTAAAAAATAAAAAAGCATGTTTTCTTCATGAAATTGTTTGCTTGAAAGTTTGATATGTGATTATGAGATACCTATTAAAATCCAAAATGCCCTAGGACAACGCTATATATTTACTAGTATATTATATTAATTATATTATATATATTTAACTTGCCTCGTTTCGCATTTCCAGCGTCTTGCTGTTTTGTTGCAGAGCAGCCTGTAACTGGTAGATCAACTGTTGTTGACTTAAAGATTCTTGTTGTCTGTATTAAGAGATGTAAAAATGTAGTGATCGACGCATTTTCGTTTAAAAATTGTAGTATTCGCTGTACGAACCTACCTTAAAGTAAGCAGTTCATCCCGTCCACTGATGGTTTCATTCAGTTTGTGTTCTAAATCTTTGACCAAATTGGAGAAATGTCGTTCCTGTTGCTTACAAACTTCCGTCACCTGTGGATTGGAATATATATCTATATAATCTATGTGTTCTTTTAGAATGTAACCTGTAGCAGATTTGGTTTGGAAACTCGTCAGGTATCGGCAAGTCTTTGCCCTGTCCATTTGTCTGTGTTTATAGAAACGTGCCCCCTTTTTCCATAATCAAGTGATCGCCCATTGTTACAGCATCACTCCGTCGCATTGTTAAAAGATTAATAACAAAAAGCTCAAATAAAACTCTAAACTCTTATAATCTCGACTTGGAATCCTGGCGCGGGCTATATAGACCTTTAAAAATTTAGTTTGCGGGCAAAGTATGTTCCTGATTGGCATCGCATTGACCAATCAGATGACGCATGCTTTGTCCGCAAACTGCGTCATAGATCCTTTATGAAGTCTATATATGGACCTTTAATAATCAACTCTGCTCAACCCACCCGTTTTCATAACAGAATAAAATTTACATATCAAGTTTATTTTACACGACAAATAAAAAGACGTTTTATATTTATCTTTTTCGTAACTATGGATCAAATCATTTTGATTAAAATGCGAATGAAGTTGGAAATGCGAAAAGATTAGTATAACGAAAGAAAGAGTATAGCTAGTTTAATTTCCTCCTTCTATGGCTACCCAGTATAGTTCTAATGCTGTCTTTACAACACCAAGTTACGTAATGTGACATGCTGCATGGATTTAGTCGACCTGCGATCTCGGAGATAAAAGTCATTACCAGAAAGCCAGCTGCGACCAATGTGGTGAGATTCGTTTTTGCATAATTTTTTTCTCACTAAACAGGGCAGTTGGCTGTCTTTCGTTATGCCGACCAAAAGGATATTTTCTAAGCACGAAAGCAGAAGAGTACGGAGCTTTATACTAACAGCAAGAAATGTATGGTGTGCTGTTCAAAACCCCCCACCCTCTCCCAAAATAAACTCTACCTACAGCGTTAAGTTTTGACTTTAAATCTTCAATCACTTTCTGTTGTTCAGCTTCACCGGTTCCTAAACTCTCGTCCATATTTAAATCCATCAAAGAGAACTGCACTCGCTGCCTCTCAGGAGTTGGCGACGAACGACGCCTGGAAGAATCAGCCAGGGACTCGGTAATTGATCGAGATTCCTTTCCATTTAATTCGTCCTGGAGTTTGACGATCTCCAGGTTTTTCTTCAGCACATCTTGCCTAAAATGATTCATATACCTCTGACTTTGTGAATATGTTTATATTTAAACGCCGAATAACACTAATTCGAAAAACACTGACTGAGAGTGTTTTCAAAATTGTCATGCAATTGAAATAATCAATGGAAATTATTATATATAGATTATTTCTTAAAACCTGAATGCAAAATGCGCATATATATGTGACTTCTATGGCATATACAGGGTGTCTCAAAAAAACCGAAAACTATTGAAATCATTCATTGTTAAAATATGAATGCCGTGTGCACGAATTTTACCCCGTGGGGATTTAATGCAACTCAGTAAAATGCTAAATGCTTTGTGTTGCTGAGGAAAAGCAAACATTTACACACCTGTGGGTCCCAACAGAGTGCTATAGGCATTCAAACTTTAACAATTACATTGTTATGCGTTTTTTGAAAGGTTTTCGTTTTTTTTGAGACACCCTGTATAGGCATTTGGCATATAGGCTAAACAAATGTTACAAATATTTCAGTTCAAAATATTGGAATGACTGTGATGTAAAACGTATTTCCAGAAAATTACAATCATATGCATGATGACATGCATGCTCAAAATCTCAATTTCCGCTTAAATTATTAAAGTCATATTATATATAGCCATGCACGGCCCAACATTATAGGAAGAAATGTTAGCTTCTTATAGAAATATCTTCAGTCAGATGTTGAAATATTATATTTCCAGTAAATTACAATAAGGTATGATAAAAATCTCAATTTCCGTCACCACTTAAATTATTAAAGTCATATAATATAGCAATGGCCCAACATTATAGGAAGAAATGTTTGCTTCTTATAGAAATATCTTCAGTGAAATGTTGAAATGTTGTATTTCCAGTAAATTACAATAAGATATGATAAAAATCTCAATTTCCGTCACCACTTAAATTATTAAAGTCATGTAATATAGCTACGGCCCAACATTATAGGAAGAAATGTCAGCTTCTTATAAAAATATCTTCAGTCAGATGTTGAAATGTTGTACTTCTAGTAAATTACAATAAAATATGATAAAAATCTCAATTTTCATCACCGCTTAAATTATAAAAGTCGTATCATTTTGTATAACTACAGCCCAACATTACAGGAAGGGATGTAATTCTGCTACAGAAAAATCTACATCACGATCATTATCAACTTGATTCCAAAAATAGTCCGTATGCTGACGATTACGAGAAATGATGATTAGATAAGAACTTATGTATTGAGATGTAATGATTACATTTCATTTCAAGGCATTATGGCCTTTCAGAAATCGCTGATGTTGGCCGGTGTGCTGCAGTTAGGCCACCAACTTCTAGCGTCGTGTGAGAATTTTGCAAAAAATAAATTTTGTTTCATTGAGATGAATTCTGGTACGTTAACTGCAAAAGTTTCGAGAAGCCTTTTATGTACATTGAGAAGTTCTATTTTTCTCAGAAATACTATAGTATACTACAATTCACCAAATTGGATATCTGAATACTACACTGCAAACCAACTATATCAAGCGTCATTTTAAGTTCACTATAGCTTCCCCGATCCCGTTTCGTCCATTATATTCCATTTAATTTTGGCATTCATCGCAATTAAAAAGTTACGAAAGCCGTGTCCACAGAAGACCCTGGGGACGAGGTTGAGCATGTTAAATCCTAGTTAACTTATAGAAATACACAACTCTGATTGGCCAATTCTGTCCTTATTTCTGTCCTTAACAACAGTTAAAAGTTAACTAGTCTTTTATACAACTGCCCGAGCAGTGGCGTATACGTAACTAGAACGATAATTGTCGGGCAGAACTGAATACATGAATATACACTCCCTCCCCCAATTATCGTCTAGTTATGCGTCAGTGTATGAGGTCGATCTACCTGATCATAAATTGTCGAGCCGATTTTTGCTACATATACCTATAGATTTCTGCAATAGATTTTCTGAAGTGGTGATTTACGTACATTAATGGAAATATACATATATATTAACTGGCTGATTTCAAGTCCAAACAATACAATATGTAGTATGTCTTTACACTAAATTTTAGTAAAAACATCAGCTCCAAGGAGGTTTTTTTAAGCATCGTGCAGGTATTCGACCTTTATGCTTTAAATTATTTTTAGCTGTAGCTATGTCGTTCGTGTGTGTCCAATGGTTGTCCAATGGTTGCTTACCTCAGAATTTGAATCTGTTCCGTGAGATGCGAATCTTTGCCAAGCTTTACAGAATTTACATAGAACAGAAAAACCAAATTGTGTTGCAATAATTAAACCAAATGTTCAATCCATTTTCAGCGATAGGATTTGAATGATATTTTGTACATTTCAAAAGCAATAAAATTCAAACACTCTTCAATTATTTGACCGGACTTCAAGACCCTAAATTATTTATTTCAAATTCAAGGCATTATGATTAATTGAAGAAAATTCATGGTTTGTACTAACCATGGAGTGAGGATAATATAGATCACTTTGCAAGAGAAATTTTGGACTGTGTTCAAATGGTAAAAACAGATAAAATTATATAACTGCACAATTTTGGGCAAATACTTGTGCAAACAGAAGGTCAAAAAGGATGAATCTCAGACTAGTTCTATATTTGTTCAGTGTTATGTGAACAGAGTGTTTGGCATGCAGTACCAAACAAATTCGCGATCGAGATGGAGCATGCAGTTATTTTGGACAGTTTAGACAAAACAGGGCAAACATGTTAATTTCCCATTTCAAAAAGCATTAATGAAACAAAAATGAAAACGGAGACAAAAATGAAGTCATGATAGAATGTAAAATATTAATCTGAAAATATTTATAAACCTTGTTTAAAACAGTAAGCATTTGCTATCAACCATTGCTTTTCAATGCCAAACGATGAATGTTAAAATGTAATGAAGGCTTTATGAATTGCATTGCATATAATAAAGATAAAGGTGAAAGTAGGAAAGTGAAAATGGGACTAACCTGTGACTGCATGTCATGCAGCTTCTCCTCTCTTCAATTAAAAAATAAGGTTAATTAAACATCTTTAAAATATTTTTTTACAAGCTCAACTCTTATTGATATCTTAAATGGCATACTGTAATATAACTATATTACATTTTCACTGTATGTGAAACTTGTAGGTTTCATGTGACGTATCAAAACAAGAACCAGTAATAAACTAAATTCATTGTGTGTGTTGGCTTTGTGTTTTTGCAATAAAAAATGTGCAGTTTCATTCCATTTGCTTACTCCTGTGCAGTACAAGTGCAAACATTTGACGTTGATTCCAATTTATTATATGTAAATTATATGTATATCATGGATGAAAACACCAAATGAAACCCTCCAAGGCTCCAACTTGTTGTTTGTACTGGTTATGGATTTAAGGTTATTTATGTTGTGAATCGTAAGCATTAAAATCAAGGCTTTAACAGCGTATCAGTTCCTCGAGAAACAGCTCGTCTGAAATGTCATCTGCAGTTTTGAACCTATTTATATAATTATATTACAATTCATATGCGGCTTGATTTAAGTAAAACCTATTGTGGCAAACAACTGTACTGAAGAATGTACCTTTGCTTGGTGTTTTATGGTACAAATTATTAACTTGATATCCCAGTAACAGTAATAAATTATCCAAAATTTAAAAAATAAAAATTTGCCGCCATATTTGAAATGTTTGCACAAATTCGAGACTGCGTTCTCCGAACGCGGTATTCAATTAGGCGATGCTTCATGTTAGCCTTTGTTAGCCTGCCTGACTATTTTAAAGTCAAACCACAGGTCAAACCACAAACGCACTTGTTATTCATTTCACCTAAGCAACCATGTGGAGAGGAAATTTAAACCTAAAGTATACATACAGAGGTCACAAGAGAACGTATTTTCTGTAATAATACCAGTCAGTTACGATAGCCTTTTATTAAAAATAAGGAACAAAAGGTGAACGTATATCGCTGCTATATGGTAGTAGAGGGAACAGTGATCTCCATACCCCCGTTGCTGCCAGCGTTGGGGGGGGGGGGCGGAGGGAGAAATTACTTCCACTGCACCTGTGCCCCCCCCCCCTACCCATATTTAATCCTCGCAGCTGGCGATGAGCTCAACATATTCAGATATCTTATCAGACATCTTGTCCGGTCAATATAATTACATCAGTCGCCAGCCGAACTCATAGTTCAGCCAATTATTTATTCCGAAACTTCGAGCTCTTTGCACTTCCTACATAGCACACAAAAAAATACTTAGCTTTCAGTTTATGGAGATTCGCCGTTTCTAGAACGATGCCGATTTAATAATTGATCCATATCGCGCTCTTATATTGCATAAATGTCATGTTAATCCCTCCCCCCCTTCAGTTTAATAGATACGGTGTACAATGTACATCAGTGTAATTTGTTTTTCTATGTACGCAAAGTATGCAGAAGTGACCGTACCTTGTGTTATGAAGGATTTGCTTAAAACTCTGGCGATAGCTACTGCCATTCCATCAGGATCGGCATAGTATTAAAACGGCCATTAAACTTTGTTGAAATTGCCTTTGCGAATTCGTTCCCTTTGATGTGCGCCAACTTGTATTTTATAAGGTGAGTCATTATTAGTGTAGACCCGACGTGGTCGGAATAGCAGGCGGGAAATACTTCGATTTAATCTAGGCCGGGTCTGATAAAAACTGGGAAAACATAATCCTGCATACAGCATACCTTCCAAATTATAAATTGATCGCTGAATTGAGGCTGCTGCCCCCAAAGGGAAAAATTACAAAGCACATTCCTTATCAGTCTTGTAGTGTATAAATCCTGATTCCTGAGTGACAAAAATTACGAGTATTTATACGATTGAGAGAGAGAATTCTCGAGTTGAGAATTTTCAATCTCCCCCACCGTCAATAAACCATTTCATTGAAGCGCTCAGCCAAAATGTTTTAGGTGTGTTTGCGTCCTAAGGGCAGTCAACTAGCTCACTACTCTCACATCCAATCATACTATTCATACATGGGTATGTAGCACAATATTAGCCACAAGGTGAATGTATTTTCCTGTTTATGGGCAACTGAAAAACAATCAATATGATCTGATATTACTTTAGCTCTATCATCTACTTGTGTTAATGCCCTTGGATATTAGCTCTTTTTTATCTCATCACATCTTCACATATTGAACCACATGTTGTGCATTTGTACGTAATTTTTATGCGTTTGCTTTCTTTTTTTTTCGACTTATACAAGCGTGCAAGTAAGTAACATGTTGAATTGACTACGTTTTAGGTTGCTTGTTTCTAGGTTACTGGCCTACTCATTCCTCCTTCATTCCCGGCTGAACTATTAAAAATGTGCCAATTATAATCGGCCTTGCCCTGGGGCCTCTTTGAATGTATTTTGTATTTTCGCGATGAGATTGCGTATCAAGAGGCCTAGGGACTAAGCTGCCAATAATATTCGTTTGGCTGAATAACAACAAAAAAATAGTTGCGTCACGGTGACGTGTGTTCATTAAACTTATATAAACGCAGGTTAGAAAATTAGCCTATTAATCGCTATCCATAAGGAAATGACATCGTCATTCAGCATTTCCATCATAATCATCATTAAGGTTAGTCAACTGCTTTGTGTTATAAAGAGTAATTCATTTCTTTCATCTATATTATATATTATAATAACATAAATATTATGTATCCAACAGAATTAAAGTTTTGCTGTAATAAATCAACTGAATCTCATTTTGATTAACTCCGTGATTAATTTGATTCACGCATTTTCCATATCCAGTGAACTTAAAGGGAATAACCATGCAGTTTGCGGACTTCATGCATTCTCTTTCCGGTGACCTCATCCAGGATTTCATTTGACATGAACTTAGAAATATCATGCTATTTTTCATGCATAGGAACTTTATTTGTACAAATATAAAAGTGATTAACTTTCACTATCGTTCAGTAGTGACAGAATGGGAAAAACGGCATCGTGTGTTTTAAAGTTAACTACAAATTATCTATAGCCGAAACGTAGTTAAGTAGTTAGTCAACTCGGATTTGAATATTTGGTCAACAGTTTAATCATTTCCACGCGTTTCAAAGTTATCCGAAATTGCGACGATAAAACTTGCACAAGCCGCAAGATCAAAAATACATAAATTCCAGACATGTTTGCAAAAGTAGGGAGCGCCCGCAGATAACGCGAGTTCAAATGCCAACTTCTTAAAACTACTGCGTCAATCGTTGCAAATGCTAGCTTATCTATCGAATTGTGTGCCTGATAAAAATAAAACATATGCATCTCGTTGTCTGGGATCTTTACATAAAATATGTCAGTATATATGTCTTATATGATAGCTACTTCTTCGCCTCAGATTCATCCAGAAAAGACTTTTATATATAAGCAACGCATTTCCAGATTCGTTTGGTCGATAATATACGCTATAAACTTCAGCTATTACAAAGCGGTTGGGTAATCCTAGGTCGGAGGTTATTAATGGGGATATCATTTTGGGATATTTGTCTTTAAATATGATCAGATCTCGGTTGAAATGATGCTGTACAACACAATACATATCTAGGTTAATCTTGCATCATAGGCTAATATGCGGAAGATGAGGGGGGGAGAGAGGGGATTGGGGGGAGAGAGGGGGAGGGAAGTCAGGGAACCTAACTTCAGTCTGATGACGTAGTTTTACATGCCAGCCGGATATTATACAAATCGAATATCGCGATTATGGGTATCAATTGACTGTATCGATGATATCCTGATTGAAGCGGCTTGGTTGTAAAGATATTTTGGCCGACGATGTCAATCGTATGGAGGGGAGCCTTGATCAGTTGGATGGGCGCATAGTCGTGGGTCGTATAGTCTCTCAGTTTTCAGTGTTGGTAAGAGAAACCACTGCCAATAAACATGACGGGCGCCAGTTTCCTGCGATAGGCTTATGCTGGAACCACTCTCGGAGCCACAACAGCGGGTGTTGCCGTGTTGGAGTCTCATGGAGTGATTCTCGAGAAAACTGAAACTGAGACCGTGTTAAACCCAGCGCTGTTTTTAGCCGATGGTCAAATTCTTGAAACTCGGGTAGCTATACTGAGTTGATGTTGAAGGAGGCAAAACCACGTATTACCACTTTAAAAGTGGTAGAACATCACCGAGGATTTAATGGACTCACACTTCGTTCTTCCCATAGGCCAAAACAATGCATTTAAACAATGAGATGACGTGTTTCTCAACTGATTATCAACAGTAGACAATATAGATTTTTGGATATATATAGTTTTTAGTGCGTGTTTGGCGTATGAGAAGGACGATGTTTTCATCCTGGAAAAGATGTCCCTATCAATGACCCCCTAGCTATTCTATCCGCTATTAATTAATATCAGCGGAACCCATTGTTAAAAAAGTCTTTAAATCAAATCGTGTGTTTTGTCGTGGGAAGATATATTGCAGCCGAGTTAAAAAATAATCTCTCTGCAGTAGACGCAACTTTTCAACACACGGTTCTGATCTCAGCTCGGATTACCACAATTCCATGCACGCCATCGTTAATTTGCTTTTGTAATGATGCCCTGAGAAAAGTTCAGGTATCTCTTGACCTAGATTACGAGGACCAATGAACGGTTCACCTCAAGTAGTAACAACTAACAAGTTAATGTTAGGGAGCTCAGGGGCCCCGAAGCAATTTTTAAAGAGGTTGGGGCAGAATTTTACTCTACGGAGTGCACTATCATTTTGATATTATATAGCCATGATCGTATAGGCAGAGGGAGTCGGGACAAGTTCTCTGGCCTGCCCCACGTAGTTCCGGCGACTTTGTGGGGGCTCGAGATTTCCTGGCATGTTTCAAACAGGAGAAAGCTCTGTCTGCGAAAATAAAAAAGTCGGTCTACATTTGGCAAAAATAGCACCTTTGAGTTTTTTCAACGTTTATTAATTTACAGTTAATTGTGTTTACTTGAATCACTTCGAGAACATTCTAGACGCCAACGTCAAAACACTGACGGAGACATTTTGAGTTTAGATTTTCGGCGGCTGTTCCACTATTCGTATCTCTGCTCTATCAATACCCATTCATTACCATTTTCTAAAATAAGCTTCGACTGTATTTTAAGAGCGTCGCCCCGTGCGCATGCAGCCTTGCCTGAATGACATTCGCGTGCGTCTTTTGTCAGTATTGGCATTTCATGATTGATTACACTCTTTTTTAACCCAACTGTTTTCTCAAATGTTGACGCTTTGCGTGGTTCGAAAATTAATCAAACAATTTTACTGTCATAGCTACACCGGTTTTGTTTAAGTTTCGAATCCCCTGCCTTAATATATCCACCATCTGTTTATTCTATTTATTCTCTGTTTACAAATTACTGCACCCTGCGTCCAAGCCCAGTTTCCGAAACTGACGTAGGACCAATATGGCGATAATTAAAAACTTCTCAAGTTACATCGTGATATTAAATGCGCTGTCTCAATGATTGTGTGCTCAAAGCCTGGCAAGCGTTTCGGATTGGCAAAGCAACCTATCTTCATTGAAAATTTGAAACCAAGAGTATTTCATTCAACTTATTTGGTATGTATATTCCACCGTATAGTCTCCAAGTTTACATTATAAATAATACCTGCAAGAAGCAGCCCAGATTGCATTTAGTAATCTCAAATTCCGACAGTTTAAACTGTAGATCGATGATTTGTTTCTTGGATTAATTGATAAATATAATGATTTGATCTTCGAAACCAACGTCTTATCAGACATATCGATGAATGGGTACATGTTATATACTATTGTTTTTCGTTGGCTTAAGTTAGATTACTCAAAATTTTCTGATGTTTCGTAAAGATCAGGTCGATGCATGTCCACAGCCGTTTTCGTTTAAACCGGAATCGCTTTATAACGTATACAACATGTATAATTCAATATCACGATTTACCATGCTCAATAATTGATTATTTTGAACAACGATTAACGACAAAATGTGGGATGTCTCTCGCTTCAATCAAGAGGCAAGGTAAAAAAATATTTAAAACTTCTTTTCGAAATTATTAGAAACTGACAAGTGATAACATAAGCTTTGAAGTGCTATAATACTTTCGTAATACGGTGATAGATTAAATAATGATCTAGCCTACGTCGTTTAGATGTAGCCTTAATTGCTACAACAGGCTTTCACGTTACGAAATATGTATATACTGATCACCGCTCAGGACACTGGGGCTCAGGACACACACTATCTTTACGTTCGATCATTTGACTTACATATTTCTGTTATATTGTATAATTATAATTGCGTTGTACTGCAGCGTTTTGATGCTCTAAAACACAGGTTTTGAACTGGAAAGAAACGTTAAAAGTTAGACCATAATAGCCAGCATTGTTGTTTATTGTCAGTAATCTGAACGCCTGAGCACTAGGTTGAACCTATATCTGCGTAAATAATTGGAATCGAATGCTCACAATTTTACTTTAACCGCCGCGCTTGAGTTTAATATTAGCGAGTTTGAGCAAGGAAACGAAGTACGAAGACGAAGACGTGTTTCGGCCGAGGTAGACTGGGAATAGTAGTCTTCGTCTTAAGGAGTCTTCGTGCAGCGGGATATTTGAATTCAGCAGTTCTGTCAAAGTTATACGACTACGAACACGGTACTAATTTTGTAAACATGAACAGAGCTGAATACGAGATGGCTATTTTAGCAATGTTTTCAGAAAATACTTTGGAAGTGGAAGATGTTATGCTTCTTTACGGTTAAACATCTCAAACAACATTTATATTCCATACAAGAACTATTCAAGGTTTGATTAACTTGAAAACTTCGTTCTGACCACAACGAACTTTGTCAAGATATTCGTTCTAAACCAGGACAACAAGACGAAGACGTTAAACTCTCACCGCTGACCTTAAGCGGAGCATACGCAGACGTTAAAAAATTGTGAAATTTGTCTTCGTCTTCGTACTTCGTTGCCTCGCTCAAACTCCCTATTGGTCATCCCACACTCATGACGAGATTGCACTGCATGGGAGCAATGCATAGCCACAGCTATACTGAGGCCAGGCCTAGGCTTTGCTTCGATCAAACCAGCTTTTCGTATAGTATGACTGTGAACGCACTTTATATCATATAGCTATTCTAATAATAATAATAATAATAATAATAATAATGGCTTTAATGCAGCTTACCTACATAGTAGCTTTACATCTGCATAACTAATTTTCCGTATATTGGGGCCCTGTCGAAGATTGTATATATATATATACGCCATAAAGAAATCAAATTCAAAACTAGGCCACGCGGGGCCAGGCCTGTAGTCTGAAACACGGTTTCTTTATAATTTATAATGGTCCTATCTTATACATGAACCATGTAAGGACACTGAAGACGCCTGTGAATGAATTTATCGTTCAGCGTATTTAACTAACAGTAACGCTATCACAAATATGTATATGCATGCTCCTTCGAGCTAGCCCAGGCAAAAAAGTTAATTTCAGAAAGGAGGGATTAGTTGATCTTTCTTTCTAAAAGTCGGTGATTAAAAATAATTAACTGCATTTATGAACTTCCACATGCATGGCGAGACAATCTGCATGGGTAAGCTTATTTTAGCAAAGTTAAAACGGCTCAGTCGAGAAAAATCTTTGCAATAATATCATTTATTCATGCAGCTCTGGCAAAATTATAGGAGCTGTTTTGCTTGAGATTTTAATCTTAAAAAACATCACAATCAAGCACAAACTGACTGCAGGCGTAAACAGAAAAAATATCAGGCACCCAATCGATAAACCGAACATTTCGATTTGTTCTCTGCGAGAAATGATTACCTGATAAACGTGGTTTAACAAAAAATTAAGGTTTTGCGTGCCTAAAATTGATCAGTTTCTGAAAAAATACCAAGAATATATTTTCCGTTTTAATCAAAGCCAAACGAGGCGTTTCCAGAAAGAACTCAAAGACGTTTTCGTATGTAGCTATATATAACTTTTATATCTCTGTAAGGCGGTTTATCTATATGTTGGCTGTGGTTATCCACGTATAGCTGTGCAAATCAGTCACTGTTGATTCTCTGTCAAATGCTGACAAATGCTGATCTCGAGTGCAATAATAAGTTATAGGTAGCCTGTTTTCAAACGAAGTAAATTAATGCAACTTGTAGTTCTAAAACGAAAAGCAACGCAGCGACTTGCACAATAATACTAAAAGCAAGCACAAAGCTCTGAGGTTTTGGGGTGTATATTTGTATACTAAAATATGATTTAGCTATGGCACATATATGAGAGTCGGAAACAATGACCATGCGAAAAATATTTCGATCCAAATAATTAATAGATAAAAAACCCATTAGGCGCTCTATGTGATAATAGTCACTTGAAAGACGACCGCAACTCGGTCACGACACTAGACATGCATTACACCTCGTCTACTTCAAAAAACAAGTGTTTGCGAAAGAATATTGTTTACATTCCAATCGCAAGAATTGGCAGTGATATAGTCTACCTGCGGTTTTGAAGTAGTTTTCTACAAGGGAATTTGCTTGCCCTCATCGTGCAAAGAAATCTAACAGCAGATGTTGGGTTTGCATCCCATGTTTTCTAACAAAAGATAAAAGCTTATCATGGAAAAGGCTTTATTATAAATGAATACGATATCTGGACATGGTCCTGTTTTGTTTCCTATATTTCAATCATGCAGTGGGAAAATCATCTATAAACGCGTATGCACAGGAAATATAGAACTATAAAAGGTGTTAAAGGAAACCTTCAATAAACAGTTTCTGAATGTATCAACAACAAATAAAACTATTGTTTCTAGGTCGGATAATCCATAGCAGGCGGGTGCAGGAAGCTGTTTTAGAATAGCTTAGTGTGATTCATAGACAAATAGACACATTGAGGTAGGCCAACGTTTGGAGCAAAAACCCGCGTCATTTGAATTTTAAGAATTATTATCTCTAGAGTGAGTAGGCGAAACTTTGTGTTTGTGCTTTTACAGTGAATATAAAATACGATCACGTGAAACTAAACCAATCAGATGAAGCTAAAAAAAATATGTAGATTTTACCGGATATCTTTTAGGAAAGTGCACGAATAAGATTGTGTACGGAAGAGGAGATAGGTATATGCAGATTTCACGCCGGGATTAAATGAGGCCGAAACGGTCATTAATATTGCAAAAAGTGAAAAAATGAAAAAAGTTTTCTCTGTTTTAGAACTATCGCTAATATTTAGACTTCCATTCTCTTAAAAACTTTCCAGTTTCGCAATGTTGAGCAGGTCACTTTAGTTTACCACTTGTGGAAAAGTGCCTGACATATACAGACTTGGTACCGAGATGATAGTGTAGGAATCTTCATATAAAAATCCCAAATCTTACAGTTTACCATAAACCTTACAGAGAGCTCAGAGAGCTTAGGTAGGCTATCCAACTATGGAATGCAACAAGTCCTTGACTTGTAGACTTGTTCATGATAATTTGCATTGGCGATTTTGGTTTCCACATCTATTCATGTCGAAAAGACTAAAGACATGCACCAAGCCCATTAGCCTATAGGGGCTAACTGAATGCACGGGAAAGAGAGCGCTAAGATGGGATTTTCAAGCTATATTGACTTAGGAAGACATTTTAGCGTATAAGATTTTGAGAAAGGAAACCGAGTTTAAAGGCTACGAGGTGGGAAGGAAGGAGACAGCCTCCCTGTTCCCTTTGTTTTGATTCGGGCAAAAAGCTTTCGCAGATTCGGGCGAAACAGAAATAACGAGTTGTGAGAAGAGTAAGAAATTTAAGCGACTTTAATTGGTCCTGTTCAGAGACGTTTAAGTCCATACGCCGTATTGTAATTATGTTTTTTTCATTTGCTTTGTTTATAATTATGTTTTTTTCCTTTGGCTTGTTTGTATTTTATAGAAAAATAACAAAAACTGAAGAACCTAGTGTGCGGCTAAAATTCCAATTTCAGAAATTCTGAATGTATGTTATTTTATCTCGGTCGAACCTTTTCCCTTGGTCGCCTAAACAGCGAACTTAAGTTCAAAAAGAAGTGGATAAATCTTTGTGGTGTAAATAGCCAGAGGGCCCCTCAGTATTGTGTACATTTTAGGATGTGATAACTAAAAGCCGTTTGTTTAAAATCCGAAGACATTTCCGACAGTTGATAACAATATAGGAAACGAATCTTTATGAAATCATCAATATTGAAATAGCTATTGTGCGAGGCACATGGCGTGCTGTCTCGAATGCTCCGGAAAATACGGAATTGGGAGTGGAAAATTAAACAGGAAATTGTACCCAGCCCACATCAACAATATAAACTGAGTCTATGAGTAAGCATTTTAGTGTCAATCATACTTGTTAGTCGGGACGGATTCAAATGATAATTGCTTGGAGGATCTGACCGAGGGGTGAGTGGAAATTGAAGCTATGCAGTATGTATGGAAATATGTATAGTAAAATACACAGGAATTCAGCGGAAATATAGAGTGAATTGTAAAAAATGCGATTGCTGACGCGCCACACGAGCAACGTCGTACCGGCTCTGACCCTTGTTCCATTTTTTACACAATAATACAAAGAATTAAATTGTAATTCGCCTGCTTTCAGCCTTCTATGGAAATTTGATTGCCCTTCGATACTTTCCATTGTTTTATATCATAAAATTGATAAACAATCCTTTGGCACCTTTGCAAAATCTTTGCCACTTTGCATTCCATTTGCCTGTAAATCACGTTTTAGCTCAATATGAATGAACTTGTATTTGGGACAAGAATAATATTTGCTAACCCTAGTTGATATTATCCTATATAGGAAAATTTAGCGTTCTAACGTCAAGCGCCAAAGTATAAGTTAAACTGATATTTGCCACGATTTGTTTGTGCTATATAAATGCAAATTGTTATTTTTTGTTTTGTTCAATGATCCTTGAGCTTGACGAACTGATGACAACTAGCACTAGCAGCGTCATTCACTCCTTGGCGGACGTTTTTTTCCGTCTATTTTCTTATACCGATAAGGTTTTGTATTAGTTGGATATATGGTACTGTTGTTGGGCCCTATAGTGCGAAGGGAAATGTGCAGGAAATAATTTGCCGTATATGAACCCCACGCTTTTGTCATAGAAACTAAATCTGTTGAACCCAAAAAATGAAAACGCGAAAGCTCCTAGGAGGAACTGATATGAAATTCCTCAGTTCTGAGCAATTTTTACTATTCATATTTTATTGCGCAACTGTAATAATCATGCATGGATTATTTTGTCGTCGTTTGTGGCGGATCATGCATCATCAACTACGTCATTGAATGCGTCAATTAACTGCCTGAAACGAAAACTTCTGGACGTTTCAGCATAATTTAATAGAATTAAATAGGTGAGGTCTTACTTAGCTTTTAGATTTCATTCCTAGCTTGTAAATATAATTAGTAGAGTAATAATTTGATTTTAATACGAAGTTTGTAATCATTGCGTAATTCAGCTTTTGCTGCGATGCAATTTGAATAAACCTCAATCTCTAGCTCAATCTCATAATTAGAGACTTCTTCAGGGGAGTTAATATGGACGTTCTCTGTAACACCCTCGACGAATGCTCTTAGGTCGAAAAGTCGAGAGCTTTCTTGTATATCTTTTCCAGTCGCTAAAGCAGCGATAATGACAAGTTATTTGAAGAAGCTGTCACCGGCTGCCCTTGTTAATATCAAATATATTGAATCATAATTTACCGTGTATAGCGACTTTAGTTTATGCAGTCTTGCTGTGGCAATTTTTCGTTTGCGACAATGTTCTGACAAACAAACTTGGTGGAGAAGGAAATTTACGATGCGCTCGCTATTATTGAACCCACGTTTTATATAGGCGTACGAAATCGATCCATCTGATTGCTTTTGGGATTTAAATGGTGGATTTCTGATTTTCATCACATGTTTTATTTACAGATACCGCAATATTTGATGCAGCATGGCCGCTTTCAACTTAACCAGTAATCACACTGAAGAATCTTTGCCTTTGAAGAAGACCGACATTGACATTACGCCTTTCGTATTTGGTCTTTTCATTGCATTCATGACCGTAATTCTGAATGGATTTCTCCTTGTTGTCCTAGCCAAAGAACGAAAATCATTTATGCATATGCGAGTCACCTACTACATTATCAACCTAGGAATCGCAGACTTTCTTACTGGTGCAATAATTCTATTCCTGGTTATAACGCGTTTATTCCAGATACCATTGTCATCAACATCTGAAGAAATTTTGGTCATCTTTAACTGGATAACAATGCAGTGTTCATTCTATACTCTGGTATTGATGTCCGTCGACCGCCTCGTCATAGTCCTGTATTCAATGTCTTGGTCTGGCATTCTCACAGTGAGGAGGACAATTATCAGCACTGCCATTGTCTGGGTGTTGTCAGTCACCGGTGGCATAATCATGCACTTTTACCAAGTGGAAACTCGATTGGCGATTTTGGGTATCGTGCAATTATCAATCCTCGTCTTCATAGTCAACAGTTTGTTTATTTATCCGGTGCTGAGAAAACGCGAGAAAGGAAGGTTCGTCACAAAAGTGAGCGCAAGTCAGACGGTTTATAGTGAACGAGTGCTCTATCCTTTACCTTATGATAACATGTCAAGGGTCGTGATGATACTGATTGTGGTATTGATGATAACTCAACTACCGTTTGTTATCTGCATGGAAATGCGGTTGATTAAAAGACTATGTGGTGATGGTGTTCTGGAGTTTGCTCGCACCAAGCTCTTTACCATTATCTATTTGTACGCGCAGTCTTTTGCGTGCTTGAACTTCGCAATAAACCCGGTCGTGTATGCTTGGAGAATAAAGAAGTACCGCGAGGCTTTTGCTAATTGTCTTTGTTGGTAGAGACAGTCTTTGTTTCGAGTTCAAGATATCGTTATGCGGACGTTCTCACGACTCGTTGGTTGATACAATCTGTGATATAACCTTCAACATCAGTGACGACAATTTTCACGCATTGATATCGTCTAACAAGATCAAAATCTTGCCTTATATTTAGTCATTCCGGAAAGAAGATTCAATCACCCCCATTCGCATGGATAAATGGCAACCACTGACATATACTATGACTTGATATTGCATTGAATTCGCCATGATAAATAAAAGGGCTAAACTGAGTGCATGAAAGAGTTGAGAGGAAGGATATCTTGTGAATAGCACATATACATGAGCTTGTGTGTTAGTTTGATGCCCTTGGCTTGAGTGTTTTTCTTTCCACATCTTCACGCCACTTTATATATATATATATAGGTAGTTCAAATATGGTGCCCTCTTCGAGGCCGGGATATTATTAGTATAGTAGAGTATCAACTTGTGAAATATAGATTAAAGTTCCTAATACTTCGGAACGTTAGGTTAATTTATAACGGTAGTTTGGAATGTTAGTCTCGCTAGTTCTTCATATCGAAATAAACTGGGATAAATATTATGGGTAATATACAGATACAACAAGCGAAGACGATAGGTACACAAAAACAATATATGTGGAAGACCGAATGAAATAACATTGTAATAACAAATGTATTGAGAAAAAATAATCTGGAACTTTTGTAATCACTTCTAATACACAAACACAATATGGCGATGCATTTCTTCCGAAACAATTGCGTTCACGCGGATCTATATTTTACTGCTGCTTTTACTGCATCATTACCTGTGGCAAATTGTTATCAGTCGGAAAAATGAACTAAAAGTGTGTACGTCCGCAATATTTCCCGTGTGGTTTGGCGTAGCCAATAGTCAGTGCAGTTCATTTGTTACCATGGGAAAGATGGTGTACGTCTTTTTCTTCCTGGATACATAAAACCACTAATTTCCTTTTTAACTACCTTGAATTTATCCAAAGAAAATGTAGCGGTCTCTGCTATTCTATAATAATGAAAAGGCAGCTTGTCCACAGGCAAAAAGGTTTAAAATTTTACAAAGATCGAGTCGTTCTTTTTCACATTTTACACGTACGTATTGTCAATCGTCTGACAAATTTGTTTGCAACGAAAAATATTCGATCGATTTCTGCTTGCGAAAATATTGGCAAAAACTAACTAAAAAACTCTACACGCACAAACTACGAGGACAGTTTGCTGTATTAACGAAGTATTTATAAGATGAATTTTAATTCCCAAATTAGCTACGTGTACCTATACAATGAAAAATGCATCGTTCATGTTATCTAAACAATGGTCATTGGTCAAGTTCCAATGGCGGACACTTTGGAGTGCAACTGTTGGTTACCACTTACCAACTTCTATACTATAAACCCAAGTGCCAGAAGCCTTTTCGTTTTAGAAAATTTTATTTCTCAAAAGCTCTATTTCTCAAACCAATTTTATAATATTTTAGAGGTAAAATGTTTTCACGTTAAAATTGATAACCTAGTGTCTTTCAAAGGACTTTACAGTAGCTGCAACACTCAAAAAGTGAACTACATGTTTCCGACTCGGAAACTAAATCTCTACATTTATTTCTTTTTGGGATTTTTTCAAGAATTATCAGAAAATTTGCAGGCATCTCTGAGTCGAGATTCTTTAGAGTAATACACCCAGTAGTTCATGCCTTCAGTGTCCGCCAAAGGTTGCATGGCTGATGTTAATTGCGTCATTCATGCATGCTCGGTAGCAACACGTCTTACTCTCGAAAAAAAGAGCAGACATGCTTAAATTTCTTAAAGATTTCGGAACATCAATGATTGCTTATATTACTTGTCCTGAAACCTATGCTATATACTCTCATACTATTTCGTATTTTTCTACGGAAAACAAAATCTCGCTGGAGAATTTCACAGGCATTCCGTCTTCGACAATATTGATATCTTTGATCTACGAAGAATGCATCGAACAATTAATATGTAGAATATATCATTTACTCATGCCACGGGCTCGTGCTGTGTATAATGTGTGCCGAAACGCCAGCATGCACCGAAATTCGCAGCAAAATTTAAAAACCAGTGTATATAGATAAGTTTGTTTTTAATATGAACACCATAGTTCTGCTTTTTTTGTCTAAATGAACTATATAGCTACTATGGATAAAATTTTTTTTGCAAGTTACCAGTTGATGAATCACGCACAGTAGCATAATGGCACACACGCATGCACGTCATCTTTACTCGTAATTATGGAGAATAAAATACTAACCTTTAGATCGCAGAATGATTTTGTTGATCCAAATGAAACGTGAACGGGGAAGAAATCGTCGGGATGACCGGATACCGAGAATTCCATTGCTCCTGATTTATTTGATTCGTCTATGACTGGAATTTGCCATTCTAGCACCGAGCGTTTGTGGTCATAATGATAATCACCCTCGATTTCACCCACGACAGGTGCGCCCACACCATGCCTAACGTGATACAATATGCATAAGAAATATGTTAAACGATTACACTTGCACGAGCTGTTACTCTCCTGCTACAGCTTGTTACATACGTAACACTACTCTTGCCTTAGGAATTTATTTTTTAATAACAATAATAATAACAATGACTATCAATGGATTAAGGTACATTTTTTTGTTTCTCCTAAATGGCATGCAAAACTTTGCCGCGATATTATTTATTATATCTTGTCTTTTTAAACCTATATTGCATGTGATTCTTTAATGTTGAAAAACGAAATTATGATGATTGTCATTTATGTACCTGAAGCAATTAAGCAGTCCTTGACAACTCGGAGATTGGATGTACAGTCGGTGGTGCGAAGGAATGTACAAAATACGAAGTACTTACGGTACTGGGATTGTTATTGTGACATCCTTCAACTCCATTTCTTCCTGTTGTAATTCATACTCGATGTTAACATCGCATTGTCCGTCATTTTCAGAGGGCCAGCAGTTAACTGAATCAAACATAGAAAAATTTATATACTTTAATACAACATATTTTAAATGTGTACAACATTTCCACAACGCCTCCAACCATATAGACTTCCCATTGACAGCACAATGGATGGTACTAGTAATTTCCATGATGTGTTGAACCCTGGCAACACTTACTTGTTAAGGGAATCAGCGATTCATCTTTTGTTTGAAGACGCCACTTTAGTACGCCGATGTCTGCGTTGAGTGGAAAGGCCTTTCCGGATTGTTTGAGACCAAGCACAGACTCCTGGTTGAATAACTTCTTGTCCACATTTGGGTGGGTCTGCGGACAACAGAATTTTATTAAACAATTAATACACCGTGAAGAATAAGATGGGGAAAGATGCCCGAGAGATGCATGGTTATAGATGCATGGTTATTGTCAAAGGTATTTCTTGTGATTAGAGTGAAAACATCGACATTGCATACCGCCCATGCAAGTACGTACGTACGGGGGTTAGTCGCACTAAACCCATTTAGTTTAAACGATTAAATACAGTATGTATATTTACGATTGTGGCTGGCCACTGTATTCTACGATTGTGTGATTTGAAAAGCACTATTGTTGAAATGGTTGCGGGCCTGATAAGGTATGCACATTGAGTAAAATTACACATCTTGCTATAATCCTTTATCAGCAATGAATAAATTTGTCGCTATTTGACATTGTTTGATCTCATTTCTGTTAGTTCTTTCTAACTTACGGTTTCAAGATGTGACGTCATTATACAAGGCGGATGCATAAAATTGTTGAAACCAAAATCACAAACCTGTAGCTGAAATCCTAATTTATCATCGTTATCAACAGCGATAGTAATGCGGCCATACTCTGCTTCAGTTATCCGAAGAAGAATCAAGCCTCGAACTTCCATATTTTGTAGACCACCATCTCTGCCAGCAGTTAAAGAGATCTTCTCGTCTACCTTGATATGCACACTAAATGAAGTATAACAACAGTCAGACGTTTAGTGATACAGCGCTAATAAATGACAACATTGTCGGTATATGAGGACACTAATTGGAATAACTGTTGAACATTAAAACTGATTATTGCCACCACTGAATGTATTAGTTTATGGTGAAAATTATCAAATTATTACTGAGTGAAAATTATCAAAAGATTTGTTACCAAAGTGCAGAGTTTTTCATAGCAAGAGGAAACGGTATAATGAATGATACAGTACTTTGATGTAATCGTCAAGCGGTCATTCTTACCCTGATGTTGGTACGGCAGATTGCGCAGGTTTTGCAGCAGGAGCACGCTTTCCAGATGACGTCAGGATATCTAAACAAACAAAAACACACAGAATATATAAATCTCTGGAATGTGGGTGAAGTACATGTAGCTAGATTTGCCAAAATTGAGTACACTGGCAGCCATTAAAATGGCCGCATTCCACTCTGGAGTACAATAACATGAGGAATAGTGCTTAGTATGCAAAACACAATGGAGATAAATATCTGAGTGCTGTGACATTCCAGCTTCCTATAATTATGTATATGTTAGAATTACATTTAGCTAACTCCCCGTACCTGTGCCTTCTGAACGTAATTTATCAACAAAATGATCAACATCTTTTCCTTTGCTTCCTAATTTCATTGCTTTATTGCTGCCCACAGGTCTAAAATAGAGGGAATAAAGACGTTACCTGTTGCAAACTGTTAGCTGATAGATAACGTTGGGTATATGTCGCCGTATGGAAATTCTTACTGGGTATGATAGTTACGTATAGGAACTTCGTATGCAAAGGTACAAGAAATACTATATTGATATTTACAAAAAATATCTCGTAGACGTGTGATCTATGTAAAGTCCCCTATTGAGCTCACTGAAAATTTGCTTAACGCGGGAGAGTTAATTAACATCAGAAACTACAGCAGTGCGCTTATTTTAAAGCGCCAAAATAAAAAGAAAACAGTGAATACTACACTGCAATTCCAAACCTGGCTGGTCTTGATGGTTTGGATACGACAGGTTCTGTTGGTGTGATCTCTACAGAAATATTCGAGTCGTTTGACTTTCCATTGCCACCAAATCCAGTCATGGATGACCGTGCAGTTGGTTTGCCTTTGGCTGCTGCGAGTCTGGCTGCTTGAAGTTCTTTAGCTTTTCTTTTCATCAACTCCTTAGCTTCGCGTTGTTGAGTCTAAACGTAGTGTCGAACTGTTATTAGTTGCAAGCCGACAATCAGCATGGATTTAGTTCAATCCCATGATTTTTCGCTGCGTTTGTCAGTTTAGAAGAGTACTGCTGGTGAGTTAGTTACACCGAGGTAGCCAGTTTGAAGAATAACCCCGATACGCAAATTTAAAGTTTTTATAATTTCTGTATGAATTTATTTTACAAATCAATTGTTTCACAGTCAGGTTCGATTTATGAGATTCGCTTTGTGTAGTATAGGATGCTTATAAATAGCAATTTTTTAAACAGCAAAATAACAAAACAGCATTAAATCACCATTGAAGCTATGGAATCATTTTTATCATTCCAACAAAAAATAATTAAAAACTGTACAGGCTTGCAAAAAAATTTTCTTGCAAAAACTGATTCAGTTTACCTCAATAACAGCCTGGAAGACCTTTTCTTCATGGCTGTCCATATCTGTAAACGTGCGAATTTGTGCAAGATTTACGTTTTCACGGTATCCAAGTGCGACGATTTCATCGAATGCAAATATTAATTCAAATGACTTCTCAACCACTTCTGCCTCTTCTACAGCTCGACAATATTCTGGAATCTAAATAAACAGGATTATTTGGACAATCAGGGATCTGAGAAGGTAAGGTATAAGTATAACTGAGATGGCTGCTTAGTGATGAAAGTAGATGCCGTTGAATTTTTAAAAACGGAAGTAAACTGATCTAATGGAGAAAAGGCCATTTCGGGACCAAGGATTGATTTCCACCTTTGGTGCCCAATTTCTCTGAAAGACTCTGGAGGCAATTTCAATGCAGTCATTCTGATAATGATGTGACACAAAGTTTTGTTGGCCCATTAGTTTTGCAGAGCCAATCAAACCTTTTGTGACATTTGTCATAATTTCCCTGCCTCCCAACATCATTTCTCTGCCTGCAAACACAAACTTACCACTCTTGAAAATAAACGCAATGTTTCTAAATCTTCTAAGATGTTACTAGCTTTAGTTGTGATTAACAACATGTAAAGTTTATCCAAGGGTTGATACACGTAGCGCACACTTTCTGTTTCCACAAATGTATGCTGTTTTCCTGTGTTCATCAGTTTTGGAAACGCTCCAAGCAAACCTTCAACTCTGGATCGACTCATTTCAACAAACTGTCTTGAAATGATCGCTATACAACATAAAAAATTAATTATGTCCATGTGCAAGTCCATTCTTAATTTACACTTTTAATGCACAATAATGATAGAGAGTCGCTTATAGAATTCAGTATATATATACTATATAGAGTGAGCAAAGTTGTCTTTTTAAAACAAAATGTATGTTCACTTATAATACATGTATCATTTACAGCATATACAAGTTTTTTAAAAATTATAGATTAATAGGGTAGATTTATATAAAAAAAGGGTTTTTTAACACTGCCTTAAACTTTATACAACACAAATACATCATTTTAAAACAGAATATTTTAAAAAACAGAAACAAAAACACTCAATACTCTAATTTGTAAAATCAAAATATTAAAATTCCATACCCTTTCCAGCTTTGGTGCAGATTGCAGCTGCAAGCAGAACCTAAAAATATATTATTGATTAAATAGCTATAGGGCTCTGCAGAGGACCTGATGTTGCAACGAAGCTACAAGGTGATAAAAAAGACAGATATGCAAAAGCAGCAGAAAAATCAGTCAATAAGTTTTCTAAAGATTTTTCTCTGTACCACCATTAAATTTAATTTAAACTTAAATAATACAAATTAACATAAATTAACTTAAATTAATTTACTTAACTTAATAAAATTAAGTCATTTGACAGAATGTATTCAAATAAAACTGAAGTATGAAACATTTCTCATCCAACATTCATAAGATTGTTTTGAACATTAGGTCATTATCACACTTAATTGGGGTTGTAGTTTTGCTACGTGAATCTTGTTTAATTGATTATTATAAGATTCTAGCAAAAAATCATGATTGAGTCCCCACTTTGTACATATCAGATCCACAATAGAAATTCCTGTACGTACAATCTTATGTTATTGGTTGTTACTGTTACTAGCCTGTTAGGTTATAAAAAAGTAGAATACAAAGAACAGCCTCTACGTTTTATTATTGCAAACATCAAATATTTAATCAATTTTAAATTAACTTCATTCAAATCTATTCACATCTGACTATTCCAGGAAAAAATTCCCTCTGCAAGAATTTTGATTTCATGAGACAATTCAAGGAGTTGACAGTCAAAAAGTCATTTATGAACAAGGGTAATAGCTCTGAATCATTAAATGCACAACTACTTAAGATTCACTATATTACACATATAAATGCAGTTTTCATACAATTTATCACCACAGAATTTGTAGTTGTTGACTTGTATAAAAATATCTGCATTATTTCATTCATGTCATGAAAATGAAATCTCTATTGATTCCTTAACCTGCGTAGAACCTAACTGCAAAGATCAGACGATGCAACTTTACTTCTTATATCATACATCTCTTCATATCATACAAGTACACACACCGTATAAACGTTATAGTTCTATTTCCCAATCAAAAGGAGCATTTTACCTTTCGAACAATCGAACACCGACATACATTCGATAATTCGACCAAAATTTTATCATTTTCTTTTGCGTTTTAGCAAAAATCGAACACTTACCATTTTGCAAGCGATATTCCGTTTACGTTTTCAGTCTTAAATGCCCTTTTCAACGATCAATAACACGTTATTTTACAAATACAAAGTAGAAATTTCAGCCATTTATGTCCACGTCTGCATGAGGATCATCATCCTAGTTACCAGGACTTTGAATAAACGACCGGTCCATGAAAGCCAACTCAATACTTTGTGTAAGCACATCAAATTCATCAAGACAAAGGGTTGATTCAACCGATTCAACCATGCCCTCTGAACCATGCCCAGGGACCTTGCATTGAAAAGAAGGCCCCGTTTACGATAAACCGCTTTGGCTGGTCACGATATCTTCGTTTGCCTTTAAAGGACAATGGCTAGTAGAAAAGGCTTATCAGTTTGTTCGATAGATTTGGTATATTTATTTCGATCGCTGATAGTAAAATTTTTTACTGCCTTTTTCAAAATTTACGCGTCGATATTAAACTATAATTAATGCAATTACAGATTACCGATCCCGATTACCGGATAGAATAATATACAAAGGTTGACAAAAGTTTGCAAAACTTTTATTCTGATAAATTTGAGGTAATTATAGGTTTGTCGAACATTTAATTATCTTACTGTATCTCTAATTAGGTTCTCAAAATATGAAAAATGCAATACACAATTACAATTCGCAAAAACTTCTAATATTATGGAAATGTTAACGTTAATTTAATTGCAATCCATATAATGAAGAATAAAGAGACAGTACTGCAAACAGTTCAGCATTAAAATTGATAAATAATTGAAGAATCTCGAAACAAAAAGTCCTCTGTGCGTGGCTTGTGAATATACGTCGGATTGCTTATATAAAGCCAAACTAGCCTGTGAAGTTAAGTTGATTCAGAGGCGCTGGAGGCAGTTTAGGGCGGCGGGAACAGAGTTTTAGAAAAGGGCATATTCATTTTACGCTCGCAACCACACGAAGAGAAAACTCAAATTTACAAGTACATTCAAACTTGAAAATCCACGGGAGAACGCATTTTCAATAATATTACCGGTTAGTTTTTATGTGAAAAGTAGGAATCATGACTAAATGTTGAATTTATGATATTTTTACATGGTAGCAAAGGGCACAGGCTGCCCCCGCCCGCCCCCGTAAGCAAAGGGTAGTGGGGGCAGCTGCCCCCGTGGTTCCGGCGCCCCTGAGTTGATTAGTTCAAAATGAAGTTGAATAGAGTTTTCAGTAATCCCCACGGAAACATGTTGTGGAGATGATCGGGACACCTAGGTGGACGAAGAAAAAATTACGCAACTTATATAGTTAGCCCGACTCAAAATAACCATGCCTAAAATTATTGCAACGAATGTTACAACACTGCGACGAATTTGGGAATTCCTGACTGCATTACACTTGATTTAACCATATTTGCACGGTTTTCACTTCCGATCACTATAGGCCGCAGAAAGGGGCACTCACGACACAAAATAGAACAAATTTAATCGTCCCAAAGCAAGCCAGGGCAATATCATTCCAAGCAAAGGGCACTTTTACTTTTAAAAAGGACAAATTTTCCCGTTGGTCGAAAAGTCACACCCTCAACTCAGTTACACGGGCCATGCTAACCACTTCATTCTGTAGCACGTTTAGTTAAAGTGACGGAAGTGAAAACTCCTATCGGGTCGCCTAAAATCTGGGGTAAAATGTAGATTTTTGAAAAAAACGATGCACTGTTGTCATTCACCAAATTAAATCAAAGCTTGCTAATTCCAGTACGGTGTTGTAAGCATAATTTTTAGTTTTTAAAAATGTATATGTCTTCCTAGTTTGGACGAAATGATCAGAAATAACGACTGAAAACATGCCTAAAGTCTTAAAACAAGAGCAAAGCCTAGAAATGAAGCTTTAATGTATTACTCGTGTCAAAAACGTCTCCATGCAAAGAAGTGATGTAAGCCCAAAACTTTTCGTGATTTCACTCTTTGGTTTCCGACTCTTCACTAAAACAAAACAAAAAAAGAATTTGTATTTAAATGGCGTTTCTAATTTGTATTGATTTGTATTTAAAACATTACAACGTATTCCAGAATTGACTATCAACTTTACAGTTACAGAGGTCTTGTTTGACAGAACTTGGCATATAAACGAGACAAGATCGAGACAGTTGTCTGAAAGCTGTTTTACGTCTTAAACTTAGTCGAGCTATTCTTATTATAGTGCACGTACAGCGCTGAAAGTAATCTTGAACTAAGAGATTTTTCAATAATCTGCGCATATTTACCTCGCCACTTCTTTTTTCTTCGTCTCTTCCTTCTATATAATTGCGTATAAACAAAGGTGAAATCAGTAATAATAAATTAGTCACAATCATACTTTCCAACAGACATGTGTCGCCAAATAAAAATTTCAACTAACATTTAAAAAATTCGAATTTACATACCTCTTTGATCTTATCTTGTTTCTTGTCATCTTCTTTACTATCTCCCTCATCGTTTTCATCCCCCTCTTTACTTTTATCTTCTTCATCCTTTTTATCTTCTTCATCCTTTTCATCTTCTTCATCTTGCTCTTCTTTTGTATCCTCGTCATCTTTTTTATCTTTATCATTCTCATCCCTTTCAGCTTCTTCTTCCTGAACATCCGCTGTTGGTTCGTCTGTTTTCTTTTTGCGGGCAGTTTCATCTTCCTACGCAATGACAGTAATGGGACATTAGGGGAAAGTTCATCTTTAAGTTAATTTTCCGCGTACATAATGTTAAATCACTGTCTATTAACTAAGCTACATCCACCTCTATCAAGACCCCTCCAGCGGTCCTCCATTCTTACCCTCTCGTCAATAATATTACCTTGGAGCCTGGGAGGCAACATGCTGCTATCAAGATGAAAGGAAGGATAACGACAACTGCATACAACACCCACAACCATGGCCGTTCCTTTGTGGCTTCCATCAAGTTACTCACAATACTGCCCTGTTAATCAAGATCGAGAAAACAACAATTGGATGTCACGTAATAACTATAAGATTGCTACTTTCTAGGAAACTCCGTGAATGACGATTGATCAATAGTTTACCTCGCCTGAGATGATACTTTCCTTTGTAGCTTTAAGTGCCCAACTACAAAAGAAATCATACAGATACTTAAACGAACTTGCATAATATCTATGTGTTTTGAAGACATTTCTGTATGCGATTGTGGTATTGTACATGCATGATCGTTGAGAATTGATTCAGAAACAATGTACACAGTACATTTTACCATACAAAATTAAAAATTGCTTGTTTTCTCGCGGCTGTAATAACAGGTCACAAGCCACTTATTTTTAGACATTTTCAACTGTCAGTAGGCAGTTTGAGAAGAAATATAAAGCCAAACTGTCGCTCATGACTAGGGCACTGAGTCCCCTGACCACAGAATCGCGTATCTGAATTGTGTTATACTTTCCAGCTTACAAAAAGCTCAAATTGATATAGTAGACATTCAGGTACACAGTGTAGTCTCACTCCCAAGTGCCTAGGGACCTAAAAAAGTTTGTGTAATAGCCATATCAAACCTCTCTTCAGCAAGCTTCTCAGCCACAGAAATATCATCCGTGATCAGCAAATTATCAAATAGAATATCTTCGGTCATCGACCACAATTCAAAACCAATAGCTGCCTGCAATTCAAAAAAGCAAATGTTTACAAAAATACAGTAGACAGGAAAATATTTTAGCAAAAAAAGACTATAATGAAGGATATAGGAACTGTTTCTCCTTCAGTTAAGGCAGCAGCACAATTTCATACTGGCTATGTATATAAAATGTTGTTGATCACGTATAGGCGTTGGGATTTTACGGTGGGGATTTTGCGACTCAAATTCTAATGATGTCTACTGTATTTCGTTTCCTGCATGAATCTTCAATAGACAAATTTAAGATATAACAACGTTTAATCATGTTTTATATACATACCACTGTGGTCATACGGAAAGGCTCTTTATCCTCAAAGAAATCGGGATTTGGTATCTGTCTCGGTTTCCATATGCCCTTTAAAATATATAAAAATCAGTTACGTCCGACTTATTCGAGCGATCGTGGGCAATCATGTCCAAACTATGCCACTTAAAACACGGGTGTAGGAAGACCGTAAATTCCTATGCGTTTGTGGGATTAGATCACCTGATAGGTTATATGAAAAATCTAACAGGAACTATGTTTCGAGCAAATTAGAAAAATATGACTATGTTTTCGAGCAAATTAGAAAAATATCATATGCTCAAGACATGGAAGAACTCGGTAAAGTTGCGTTCACACACAGCAAGCGTACAGCATAGCAAATAGCTTGATACTCGATTTTTCTTCATCCCGCCCCAACATTTTATCTTGATGCCGTATTGTACCTGGTAATTTGGATTTGTAATAAGTGGCGCACTCCATTTTCCCTTGAAATCTGGATTATCGATCGTCGGTCTCTCCCATTCACCACAACCAACTTTCTCGCATTTAGGATTAGCTATAAAAAAACGGAAAGATTACCAATGATGAGTCAGTAAAAGCTGCCAAACTACTTACAAACATAAAAGTTTTGAACTTTGAACTTTGAGCGCGAAAGGGATGATGGATTATTCCTCTTCACAGGCTAAGAACATTGCTTTTAGGGCAAAAAGATTCTGTTGTGAATCTACTTAAGTACTTTCAGGTATTCTTACTAAGCTGAGTTTCCTCATGAACCTTAATACGCAACCCTATCGTCTCTCATGCGCTCGGGGTTTAAGGTGTATTGCTAAATTGGGAACTCGAGTGCCAACTAAGAGAGTATGTTCATACCAATCTGAGGTGGTTCCCATTCTCCATCTTCCTCATCATCCCAATCATCCGGTTTCACAGCCTTTGGGTCTGGAATGTATCTTGGTTCATCATCTAACCAATCAGCGGGTTTCTATAAAAAGTGTGTACATTGCAATTAAAACAAATACGCGACCAACCAAACCTGGTGCCGCATGCTATATCAGGATTTTACCTAGCAAAACCTTTCATTACTAAATTTAGTCTGCTCCCGCATTGAATTGCATCCAAGACCAAGTTATTGGTTAGATCCTAGTGGAACACGCTTTTGATAGATTTTCCCGCTACTTTGGTTTAAATTTTATAAACTTGTCACAAATTTATCATATATAACAATAAGGTAATAGCGACAGGAGAGAGAAGGAGACAAATCCCGATTGACACATTTTAATTTTTTAAAGATAACTTATACTGCATATTGCATGTCTCTATACCTTGGGATCAGGGTCTGGGATTGTTGCTGGAGCATCTTCATCCCAGTCCTCTGGTTTCTCAGCATCTGGGTCCGGAATCTTCTCGCGCTCGTCCCAGGTTTCCGGCTTGGAATCGTTTGGATCCTCAATTTCAGCAGGCGGGTTAACAGGAGGCCGGACATCCGTCAATAAACTTCCAGTGGAGATGCTGCTCCCGTCAAGAGATATCTCGAAGCTGTTGTCTGGCTGCAAAACGAGGCGAAGGAGATGCGGCTTCTTGTCATCGAAGATGTGATCAAACTTTCCACTTGGTGTCTTCGCATGTTTCTCCTCGTATTCTCCTGTGTTCGGGTTCTTATGACGGAAAATGAAGTGAAGCTGGGAAGAAACAAACCAGAAATTAGTTCCAAGAAAACAGTGCTTTTGACAGGACATACCATACTGGCCCTACCTTCTCAGAGGCTACGTTGATTAAAGCCCGTTAAAAACGTCGAACTATTCATGTGCCTAATGTTGCACAAAAAAAGTCCGACGTCTGAAACAGGCCTAAGGTTGGAACATGATCAGAATAAAATCACCAAAGTATGGTGTCACGTGCATCTTACCTTCTTATCCATGCCGCATTTATCAGGTCCAAACATGATAGTGTATCCAGATTTGTCTTGAAACTCACTCTGTAACACATAACAATGCTTACTACAGATATAGAAGCTATAAAATATTTGTATGCCAATCCAAACCAATTCAAACAAGAATATAAACTTTTGTACTCAAGTTAGTTTGGTTAAATTCGCTTATAGAGAAGTTAACCTTGTGAATTTTATTCCACCCTATCATGGTAGCATTATACCATAAACAATGTGTCAATAATTTTGTACAAAAAATGAAATACATAGATGGCAGGTGCTGTTCTTACAAGATTCAGTGTGGAAGTTTTGCTTATGAGCTTCAGATATGCACCACCACACTCCATTGGCACCTGGAACTTGACTTCATATCTGCAAAGAAAAAATTACATTAAATGGTACTCACATCAATCTCATATGAACTATTGAACTACAGTATGTCATATGAACTATTGAACTATATCATATGAACTATTGAACTATATCATATGAACTAATGAACTATATCATATGAACTATTGAACTATATCATATGAACTAATGAACTATATCATATGAACTAATGAACTATATCATATGAACTATTGAACTACATCATATGAACTAATGAACTATAATATCATATGAACTATTGAACTATATCATATGAACTATTGAACTATATCATATGAACTAATGAACTATATCATATGAACTAATGAACTATATCATATGAACTAATGAACTATATCATATGAACTAATGAACTATATCATATGAACTAATGAACTATATCATATGAACTATTGAACTATATCATATGAACCAATGAACTATATCATATGAACTATTGAACTATATCATATGAACTAATGAACTATATCATATGCACTATTGAACTATATCATATGAACTATTGAACTATATCATATGAACTATTTTGAACTATATCATATGAACTATTTTGAACTATATCATATGAACTATTTTGAAGAAACTTACTGAACTATGAGTGGGTATTCATTAAACTCAAAATCTTCCTTCAAGGCAACGGAAATAGCATGATGCTTTGCTTTGGACTAAAAGACATATTGAGAAAATTTTTTAATGGTTTGTTGTCAATAAGGAAACAAAAACAAAAAAATTGGAGTTCATTTATCAAATAATAAGTTAACAGAACAACAATATTACAACTCTAAGAAAGGTATAATTATGAAGATATTTACTTTTAATACAAGACCAAGATCACCCGGCAAAGACTGTTCAGACGGTTCTTCCACAGACCATTTGCCTAAGAAACAGTGCACTCATTAGATTTAGATACTAAGCTGGAAATACTAAGTCCAAGAGCCTGAGATTCTATTGTAGTTATTACAGCTAAAAGGGACCTATAGGCAGAAACTTAAAGTGCCCCACAGTGGTGTACATGTTATTGCTGTTACAAGCATCTTACATTTTTACATTAAATCTATCATATGCAACATATAATATAATTTCCATTATTTGTAAAAAATATATGTATACAGTCACATTAGATAGCAATGACTTCTACCACTTTAACATAATTAATGTAACAAGGTAACATAATTAATCATCCTGGCAATTATGTATTACCATCATATTTTGATATTGCACTATCCACTCCATCTTTCTTTGCCTCAGACACAACCCATCTAATAGGAAACAACCATTGCTCAACACCATATAAACAAAAGAAAGCCTACATGCGATCATGGGAACTAAGCAAGAAGTATTCTGATTACCGTACATTTCAAAGCAATGAAACATGACAGCAGAACCTATTTCCACTGCATACACGTTAGTTATCATACAGTACCTGCCTAATGTTTTGCATTTTACCACAAGTAAGAAGTAGCTTGGGGTCTAGGTACAATTACCTCAAATGCATATAGTAAAACTATTGGTTTACAATACCTTTCTTTGAACTTTTCTTTTGAAATAAATGCATCAAAAAAGTAGGCACTTGCAACTTCTGGTACTGAATATCCTTCCTGATGATTAAGAAAAAAAATATATAATGTTAATATAAAACCCACATGCAAAGTCAAATGTTTGACAATTTTGCAAAACTTAACAAAATATGTTAACTTTGTTGTACTAAACACACAGTGTATATATGTGTATATATATCTAATGAAAATTGTTTGGTATTTTGCTCTGATGTTGAATGGGTGCTAAACAATACAACTGTGTATTGCAGAAAAACTATGTCTTTTACAGGGTGACACAAACAAACTACTGAACAAAAGATCAGAGATCTTCGCCAAGTGCTGCCACCGAGAAAAATTCTTGGCAGGAAATTTTAAACGCACGCACAAACAAGAAAGTCGAATGTCAACATATATATAAAGATATATATATATATATATATATATACACACGTATGCTGTATGCTGTATGTAATTCAATTCTATCACAAGGTTCAAATGTGAAAGTGAAATTTAAGGTCCAAATATGACACAATAATGACAAGAAGAGTCAAAAATAAGCACAATATAAAAGTACATATAAAAGGACCAAAATATTACAGTTAAGAAGACTATTGAAAAGGCAATATTAGAAGAATGTGACAAAAGTTGATTCTTCAATTAATTCCATTGGGCAAGGAATAATTCCCAACAAGCCACTGGATCTTATAAATGCTAATTGACATTAGCTCTGGTAGTCTATACAAGCTAACCAAATCTTTAAGCAGTAAAAAAGCACTAGCATCAACTCAATAGTTTGCTCAACCATTTTCAAGAAGGAAATTTGGTCTCCAAATTCCAAAAGCATGGAATCAATTTTGACAGCTAGTTGCCATATAGCATGCTATGAAACACACAAGGAACTATGAAATATTGCACAGGAGAGAATTTAATAGGAATGACTTCTAAAACTTTGCCTTATTGACAGTCTTGTCATTGTCAGAATACTACCAGAATAATACATTGTCCCTCTTCAATATCATGCATGCAAGGGCATTGTTTGATATTCCAATTGCATAACTCAAAGAGAAAAAATTTCAAAACTGAAAAATGGCTATAAAATTTCTCTTTAAACGAAGGTCATTCAACAGGTCCTAATTAAGATTTTTGTATTATTATACAATAAAATTTATATTTCTACACCAGCTGCTTCTATTGTAGTGTTATAAAAGTTCAGCAATGTATTTAAATTATGCTATAAAAAGACCATTTTATGGAAACGTGTCTTTGCCGATGAATGGCTATTGGTATTTCATATGATATCATTCATACAATTCGAGAAAATTCTTAAATCTAAGCGGGGAGAAAACTAGCAATGAACACTGCACAAATATATGAATATAAAATACTTGCACACAAAGCATATAGAAAACAGGCTCGACAATACACAATTTATACACGCTTACTGCTTCATTTTCACTTTTCTCATCTTCATCCGCTAATGTACTATCACTCAGCAATGCAATGCATAGACAAGTAAGTCCAAACGCGAAGAGAAATCCCCTAAAACCCATGTTTTCAACTTGAAAGAGCAAACTATTAATAATTCTAGCTAACATGTGCATATTACCAAAAGAGCGAGCAACTTTTCTTCTAGGGGGAATGAAAACGAGTACAAAATTGTGACGCGCGAATGCGTGGTGTGTTTTGATTGGCTGAAAGATTTCGTAGAAGTGGGCAACCTCTCCGGGTACGCGGTTGCAAGTAGGAGTCCAGAAAACGCCCTTCAGATGCGAATCAGCTGTCTTTTAGCCAAAAAAGCACTTCATCTATAACAGGTTTTCTTTAAAAGCTAATATAAGGAGCAGTGTGTCTGCAAATTCAAACAACTTGACAACAACAGCTGCAAAAAATATACAAAAGAACTTTTGGCGAAAGTGTTCTTGTATAGGCAGAAATAAAAGAAAGCTGATGTTTTGTGGAACTGAATGTGGAAAGAGAAGTCTAGATTACGTTCAGTGACAAAATGACAAGGAAAAGGCGACCCCCAAAAAGTTTATTTGGACTTATTTTGACTTTACTTGGCTGCAGATTGCTCTTTTTGTTCCCTACGTATGCCCACTTACACAGTCCAAAAGTGCTCCTGAAAGCTGGTGTCCTTCTATCTCGGAATGATTCCTACACCCCTGGTGATTTCTACACAACTATATCTAAGGCCAGTAAGTTGGGGGATGGAGGAACATGTCCCAGCAGGACCCAGCAGGTTTTGGAATAAGTGGGACAAAACCCAAATTGCGTTTTCAAATATTTCATGGATGCCAGTAGTTCGTGGGACTATTCTCAATATTATCGGTGACTTTGCCCAATGATTTGGCCAATACAGTATATGTAATTCGCGCAGAGGTCCTATGATAAAGAGTAGATATCAGATATGATATCTCCAGAGGTATTTGCCTGAGGTATTCTCCAAACACCCGTGGATTTTAAGGCGTCACAGCCTTGGTCTTTTCAGGCTAGGAATTTGATAAATCTCAATTCTGGTGCCTTATGCAGTTCAGCGTTGGAAACCCGCTGTTAACAGCACAACCTGCGATTAACGCCCGCGCCTGAGTGTAAACTGATATGGCGTCCTCGTCAATGGAAAACAACGAAGGAGCAAATGAGCTGGTGAGTTCTATTACAAATCATTTACTTATCGTAACTCATACACGCAGTACAGAGCTTTTCTACTCTTTTCAACATAGCTGTATGAAATACTGCTTTATCTTTTTTTAACACAGTACAAAACCTTGCACATATGACACGAATCTAAGAGCAAATGAAGTGTAAAAATAAGCTTTATGAAAGACAGATTTTTGTGTTTATGTTTATAACTTACAAAATTCCAGGACGAAATATGTTTGAAATAGAACTTTTTTTAATATTAGGTTAGCAAATGCATAATAGGAGAATATTATTAGACCAGTCCGTTCATAACTGCCAGGAGAGTTTAATACATTCCATTTGTTATATTAAATTTTTCATTATTAAACGATGCTCTTTGATCTGATTTAACTCTTAATAACTGTTCCATTTTTAATATTATATATACATGAAGAAACCTGCAAGCATTTCTTCTGTTGTTTATAAATGCTTTCGGGAATTAAACTTTCGATATTTGTAAGGGCATCTAACCATATATAATCGTGAATGTATATAAATGAATTGATACATCTTATTCAGGGCCTATCCTCCTATGGAATAATTATAAATGCAACACTCTCATGTCAATAGGACCGTTTTAGTAATTAAAAATGTAGACCTGCATTATACATAGGCTAATTGGGAATATGACTATTATTTTGTGCGATATTGAAGTTCCTGGGTTATATATTATGGACTGTATAGTAAGTGCTAACCTATATTTCTTAAGTCAGCCTACTGTATATGTGAAAATCTATGCCTCATAACCCCTAATATTAGTGCCACAAAGTACCAAACAATTAACTTGTTTTTTAAAAGGTCTTTTAATTAGCTGTGTTCGCAGTCTTGTTATTTGCTTGATTGTAAGTTTTATTTGTGCATGACCATATGTACAAGATTCATAAATATTTTTTATGGCAAACACTATGAAGTCATGAGCTTTTGAGTTATAATTTACAGTGTCTCTTTGTGTCATCAAGGTCACTGACTTTTTTATGTTTTCAAGCATTTATCACGAAATTGTTTCTTTATGCCTCAAATCTTCTGCTGATGATGGTTTGATAGCATGTGAACAATGGAAATAATATGTATTTCTGACTGGTTGTTTGAGGTTTATGATACTTGTAATCAAAGTTAATACACACTACAATATCACCTAAACATTTAATAATCCAGTGGTAATATTACAGTTCAAATTGGGGGTGATGATAAATGAATATGAAGGGCTGATTTTAACAGCAAATTGTAATTTTTAAAACCATTACCCGTTTATGTGCTACAAATTGATACAGCTTTGTATCTTTGTTACTAGTCCAAGAAGCTCTAAAAAAATTCCCATTTTCTTTTATTTAGAATGATAAAGACACTCAAGGGATAGGTGTGTGGAAATATTTGCTGTATTCATGCTTGCACTGTTCTGTCTGACCTTAAGTGCAAACTTAATACTTGTGATTATATAATATTACAAAGCCTACAATAATACAATACAATACAATAATACAAAGCATGGCTCACAAGGTATAAATATGTACATAATTGTCTCCCATAATATACAATATGTACATATATGCAATTTTTTTTGCTATATGCACTTGGAGCATTATATACATGTATGTAATCATACATATTCATAGCACATGCACTAATAAAATGTACTAAGAGCAGTATCTAGAGAAAATTAACAGCCTCTTTTGGTCGTAATTTTTTGCTTGTTTAAATCCTTGAACACTTGCACAGCATGCACAGTGTTTGCATGTGTAATTTATTCAACCAGGACAATTTACTTATCAGCTAGAACATAATCTTTATCCAATAGGGCTGGGAGATGATGTGATATTCAAAGAGACAATGGAACCAATGCTTACTGACAATCCAAATGAATTTCTATCTTCAGCAGTAGCAGATCAAGATCCACTGGTATCAGTGGTATGTATCACTTTCCCATCTTTACATCTGCTGTAAACACTTCCATAAAAAAAATTTAGGGTTGAGAAATGAAACTTTTACACTTACTGTAAGAATTTTTTATCTGCAGGTTGGAAACTCGAGTGGTAATGCAGACTCTGCTGAAATGTTAGGTTTTTATGGTGAGGAAGAAGTGAGGTATGATGAAACCTCAAGTGCAAGTCCTAACATTGACCCTGGAACAGCATCGACCAATCCTGTGGTAACGACCGTGCCACCTGCTGAAGGAGATTTGGTAAGTACAGTACATCTTTCAAAAGTTCTTAGTAAATTGGGACAGCACTGATTTTATACCAACTTAGTATAATGTAAATACCTGTTAGAATGTTTCCTTTAAAAAAATATTTCTGTTACTGTTTGTCCTATCCAATGGGATAGAAACCACATATTGATATGGAAGAGTGTGATTTTTTCCTACAAGCAATAAAATTATACTGTGATGTTATCTGACTGATATGTTTGTAATGTTAATTTATAGGTACCAAATGAATCATCAAATTTACCTGATGCAGCTCCAATAATGGGTATGTATTGATATACTTGTATTCAAGTTGCTCTGAATAATAAGTTTTATCTCAGAGACTCAGAGAGCCCAGTTTGTGATATTTGAAATAGATTTGAAATTGAAATTTGAAATTGAAATGGTTGCTGATTTGTTGTTTACAAGTCTTGAACCTTGAACGCCATGATGTAGTATATTTTCCAAGAAATATTTCCAGAATTTTAATGTAATGTTTACTGTCATGTTTACATATCAACAGGATTTTATATTCTCAGCAAATTGAATTTGTAGGCACCTGTGAATTCTGTGGCTTCTTTGGTGTCAAAGAGCAATTCTTCTCCAAATCAAAGAGGTTTTGCAAAGTGGAATGTGCTAAAAAGTACTCCGCATCAAACATTAAGAAAAGGAAAACAGATAGAATTACGCCCACTAAGAAAAGGACGGTTAGAAAACCAACTCCAAGTAAAAAGGTTTGTTCCGTTGTTAAGTACAATGTAAACAGTGAATAAGACGAGCGTTGTGCAGTTTACTGAAACTTGCATAGTTAGGTAATTGACTTCCTCACAGACGAACTTTACTACCGCGCGGAGGTGACCGTCGCTAGGAATCGCTAGGACTGTCGCGACCGTCCAAGTCAGGACAAGATATTTTATTTTATCAGGACCGATCGTACCGTTTGCCGGTAGTTAAGCCCTAGCCCACATTCGCGGAATGGCGAGACACATGACTCATCTCAATATGTTCTATACTATAATGCATTCACACTGATTCAATTCATTCACAGATTAAGACAGACGTATCTTTGATAAAGCCCCCAAGAAGTAAGTTTCATATTTTTATATATACACTGTATATTTAACCGAGTATGATTTGTAAACATTGACTTGACGTCATGTTCTTTCGGAGATAAATTATAGAAATTTTTTACTCATCTGCGTAAACTATATGAAAAAATTTCTTGAAGTTTTGACGGTCGTTAAATTTACTGCAGTATTAGAGCCTGTTCTTGCCTATATTCTATAATATGTTATTTGTTGCACCTTCTTCGTTTTATCTGAACATAAGTAGAAATTCTCCTGAAACGACCGTCAACTTCTAATTTATGTTCAAATAAAACAAAAGAAAATGCAACAATCAATCCATCATGAACCTCTTTAAAACAACCGGCACTACTCGAATGTGTTTTTATACTGGAATTTACAGTGCGCCTTATTCACCCACAAGTTACGTACTCCGTAGCTTAGTGGTGGGAGCACTGCTCCGGAATCACAGCGGCATAGTTTCGATTTCTACCACGGATGACCCAAGTTGCATTTTTCGCAACGTTCCCGGTTAGGTCTTACTATCGTATAATCGTATATTTCTTCGTTCTACCCAAGAGATATTTATGTGCTCATTGACTCAGCATCATCCTTGCACATGTATTGAAAAAAAGTGGTAAACATCTTAGTCGACCAAATGGTAGACTGGTAGCTAACATTCTTTTCTCCATTTTGTTGTGTAGTCGATGATGTTGTCATGGTGGACAACTGGCAAAAGAAAAGTTTTATTTGGGACGAATATTTAAAAAATTGTAATGGAAAGGCAGCTCCTGCCATATGTTTTAGACACGTATGTAATTTTACAACATCGTCCCAGTTTTTCGTTCTAAGCTGTGCATGTCCTTTATCATTACGGTTTTTATATTTTTCCTAGGCTCAAGTAATGTCGTGTTTAAAAGACGTCCATATTGGTATGAAAGTGGAAGTGATTAACAACGGGGTCGAAACTTTTAATAATGCCGAGAATACGACGTTCTGGGTCGCTTCGGTTATTAAATTCAAGCACTTCAAGACGTTGCTAAGATACGAAGGTTATGACGAAGGCGACAACGCGGATTTTTGGTTTGACCTTCGATGTCGAGATATTCATCCAGTTGGTTGGTGTGCAAGAATTAATAAGCCCCTAATACCACCTCAAGGTAGTGTTCTCTAAACTGGGGTATGGATATTGCTTGTCTGATTTCTTTGACCTATATTGTGTGAATCTGAAAAACTATACACTTTGGGTAGTAAAAAGTTGTAGTAAAAGTTCCAAATAGTTTATTCACCCTATATGTTTGTAATGAGTTAATGCTAAATGGAATAATGCTAAAAGTCCTCTCTTTCGCATGAGTTACACTGTGTGATGAAGTTGGTATCGATCACCCCACACCCCTGTCGTCATATGCCCTACAGTCCGAGTAGATAATAAAATGCTTATAGTTTTTGCTGTTTCACTATTTTATACAATATTACCACCAGCATGTTTGCCCAAATATAACAGTCAAATGCGATGGAATACTATTAATCCAATTCGTTTTTTCTTGAAGAAATCAAAACTAGGATAACTGATTGGCAGGAGTATCTATTCCGAAGACTGTCCGGTGCGAAGACGTTTTCAGCGGAATTTCTACAAAAGGTTTGCTCAAAGTTTCTGTATATACGTATAGAATACACTTTTTCTTTTTCCAAAGTCATAGACATTCCTCAAATTCTCGAGATCCATACAAATTCACATCCATTTTGTGAAACTCCTAATGTAACTGTACCTAACTCATACATAATGCGCAGTGATCACCAATTGGTGGCTTAACCCTTGTTATTTAAGTGTAGTCTGCTAGAACCCCTTTTTCTCCTTGGAAAGAGAATCCATTCATTTTTTGTCAGTTAAAACTAGAAAGAGATAATAGGTACAAGGTCTAAACAGTATCCCTACCATTTAATTGCGTACATTTTAATTCCTGTGCTTGGTGCAGTCTGTGGTATAAGGAATGCATTTCTCGTTTTCTTAGGTACAGGAGATACCTCACAATCGTTTCAAAGTTGGAATGAAAGTTGAAGTGGCGGATCGTAAGAACCTGTATTCCGTCATGTGTGTAGCGACTGTGGTTGATGTCGTTGGTGATCGTCTTCGTTTACGTTATGATGGCTTAGATCCAGAGATCGCGGAGGATTTTTGGTGCCATTATTATTCCACTGATATCCATCCAGTTGGATGGTCATCTCTCGTCGGTCATCAGCTGAGGCCACCGATAGGTACAGTAATCTAACTCTTCATCTCTTAAAAAGACTGAACCAGTTTCGACACCTTTTGAACTTCTGTTTCGTTGTCTAGGGTGGAAAAACAGCATTTCAGAATGGAACAAACTTATTGAGAAAATCCTCGCACAAGACCGAGACGCACCGCAGGAAATCTTCTCTGAGGTTTCTTCATATATCCACTGTTGTTTAATTCAATAATATAGTTGAATGAAGAATAGTCTTAAAGTAATTTAGCTTGTAGGTACACCACGTAGCTAAGTATTTTTAAATGAAGACCCGGGTTAACAGACCGAAAGTTTTGCAGTATTAAATACTTACGTGGTGTACCTACAAGCTAAATTACGTATCGACTGTCATATATGCAAACATATACAAGAATATTATATAAGAATAGTCTTGTTCAATATAAAATCACCGCGTCAGAGGATGCTCGAATTAAACATCTTGTATATGCGAAAAATAGAAGTGCGGAATCCATGGGTTACGCTGGAAAGCGACAAATGTTATCATAGATTATACTCTACCTGAGCATGTTGTATGAGAAAGCAGATAGTTACCGCGCGAGCTTGATATAGTTTAGCAAAAGTTCGAACAATGAAAATGAGCGATCTTCCCCCCTTCCTATATACATAACTGGTGCATACCAGGAAATTCAGGCTCACACTCGTGTCATCATCGATCTACTCACACCTTAAGTGTTAAACAGAAGTTTTGGAAAAGATTGATATTGCTTCTCAAGTCTTCTATATACGACTAATATTTCTATATCGGTCACAATATCAAGTATTTACCAGATTTAAACATCTTCCAAACACATGCTGTAGCTCCGAATACATATTCATGCAATGCAATTTTTTTGCAGGACGCGACAGGCACAGCACAAGGCCCATATGCGTTTGAAATAGGCATGAAATTCGAAGGTATCAATCCCTATGTACCCAACCAGATCTGCGTGCTCACAGTGATCAAGGAACTCAAATATAACTACTTCATCGCTGGCATCGACTCGCAAGCGGCGTATTTCTGCTTTCACGCCAACTCACGGAACATTTTCCCGCCAGGATGGTGTGAAGCATATGGCATTGAACTTACGCCGCCAAGAGGTCAGTATATAATACTTAATTATATGCAATTTTCACAGCCATAATATTAGCTGTAATGTAACAGATTATTCATAGCGACATTCGATACTCTAAATCGTTTTATACACGAAATGTCCCTTGTAGTGCTGCATAAGATAGTATTGTTTTTAGGTTATTAGAATATTTTACATTCAGTGGTAAAGGTATATAACTAAGTTATAATGCCAAATGCCAATGAAAAATAATAAACTTCCTATATGTTCATTACTGTAATCGTATTAAAACTTGAGTATTTATACTATGAATGAAACGTTTTAAACCTGTTCACTTCTCAGATATTGTTCTTTCTCTACTCTGTATTTCACAAATTTTGGCTGGCAACAAACCATGTTGTATACTTGGTACATACGTACAATTGTACGTGTGCTGCTGTATGATGATGTTGAAATATTACCTTATCATGTTTTTAGATTATCCGAAGAAACCATTTGACTGGGATAGTTACTGTAAGAACACCAATGGACGAAAGGCTCCCTCGTATCTTTTTCAACCTGTGAGTATATTTACCATATTTACTTGGCACTTGTATTCAAACGTATCTTATGTGTCGAGCATCCAGATATTTCAACTAACCTTGTTCATAAAATATATTTACTGAGGTTTGATGAAGAAAATCAAAATAACAATCATCCCCTCCGTTTCTTCCTTCCTTCTTTCCCTCCTCGACCGTTTAACTATGATTTACTCTGCTACAGAATCGCCAAACGAACTAATGGTCGCGTCGACATTTCCCTGTATATTGTATATGTATTGTTAGTCCCCTTCGAATATTCATGAAATAAAAGGATACTTTAGTCATCTCAAAAGGCACAATGCGGTGATCAGTGTGGTAACATTCCCCAACTTTACTACTAAAGGCTAGTTTCCACTCAGGAAAAACCACCTTTGGATCGGAACGGACAGGAAAATTTCTTTTGTCGGTAAGTCCTCAGGCGGCGTTTATAAAAAGGAAACTTTCCTGTCCGATCCAAAGGAGAATTTTCCTGAGTGGAAACTAGCCTTAAGAGCTTGGCGAAAAGTCACTCGTGGGTCGTATATATGAAGCAATTGTAGGCGCGACCGCCAGCTTCAAAGGGGTGTCTTCTTGGTCCCCTTTCGTAATTTTGCATGCGACCCCTCTTGAACCACTATTTCCTGATCTATGATTATTTATTTGAACCAGCATCGTGCGGACAATCCCTTCAAAAAGGGAATGAAGTTGGAAGCAGTTGATTTACGTGAGCCGGCGCTAGTGTGTCCAGCAACCGTGGTGGATGTACGTGGTCCTCTATTAAAGATCCATTTCGATGGTTGGGATGTGACGTATGATCAGTTCCTTGATATGGACTCGCTTGATCTTTTTCCAGTTGGATATTGTGAAATAACTGGTCATCCTCTACAACCTCCGGGGTAACGAAATTTTGTTTTGAATTGCAGGGGGCGGCTGTATAAAATCCTTAACTACCGCTTCTGATTATCCAGTTCTGATTAACTTTTATACTGCCGCCCTCAGTATAGCGACGTCGTATAGTAAATAATCCAACTTATTATCCCGGGACCTTTGCATCTTCTTCATCAAAATTGCATGCATGCATGTAATCATGAATTTTAAAAAAATCTGCAATTTTTCGTCTTGTCGGACACACATATTTTCTAAGAAATTCTATCAGTATCAGATCCATACATCGAGTAGGGGGGGGAATCATGAACCGGCTTCTAACATGACAGGCTCATGTTAGAATTCTTAAATCACTATTAGTTGTAGACACATAGTAGATAAAATGTAAAACTATCAATATTGCCTAACCAACCTTGTTCTCAAAGTATTTGTTCTGCCAACAGAGGTAATACCTGGGAACGAGGTTGCGGACTAACAATATTCTAACAATCCTAAAGTTCTAATCTAATGACTAACTCTAATCCTTACTAACTGTACATAAACATGTAATTTGGTAAATTATATATATACTGTAAACATTAAAACATTAAACATTAAAATAAAGGAATGACGACAAGGGCATATAAGTTCCATAAGTGTAAGCGAATTATAAGTATTTCTGCAACTTTTTCCTGGCATAAACAAGCAATCACAGGTCCTTTCTGGCGGAAATTTATATTCAACTTAATTTGGCTTCCAGATTCTTGAATTCCACATCTTAATTTCAACTTCCAGAACCTCTTCATAGAATTTGAACGCCTATTTCGCCTTAGCTAAATATGTCATGTGTAAATGACTTGTATGAAATTACAATGATAGGATTTTCAGAAACAGCGAGGAAAGTGGTGGATAGCAATCTGACAGGTTGAAATGATTCATGGGGTTGTTCAGAGACGTGCACGCTTTTTGTTTACGTCCCGAAAACAGTTGTTGCATGTTAACATTTTCATCCAGAATATTGAGTCTTTGCCTAATTTTTGAAATGAATAATTCCAGATCCATATAAGATATGAATGCATTTGGACGAGCCTTGGAGTACAATCAATCTTTTTCACTCTTCTTTTCTTCTATTTTTCTAACTTGAATCTTCTTAATTTCCTACTTTTTTTTATTGGGAGAAATTAACTTTTTATAACTCTGTCCGGGAATGTTAGATTTTCCCATATTTTTTTATTATATATAAAGAAAGATTTAAATTGGTATGTGGAAGTCAAGACCGATAGCGGGATTTTAATTCGGGGTAAGCGTGGGTTGATTAAATAACATAAATAATTTCCGGCCAATAGAGTTCTAATTTAATATGTTTAAGCTTATAATTTTATATACATTTGATACTGGGTGATTCTCTGGTCACAATGCTATTCTATTTTGTTGCATGCAAAATAATTATGAAGCCTAAAGAAACAGCAATGTCACGTGTGTGACCAGAGAATTACCCCGCTAATACAAATTAATCAATTACAATTAATCAACTACAATTCAACGATGTTCGAAAACCCAAACACTATAATCTGTATATTTGATGGTTCGCGAGGTTTCGCCATGATCGATCATATAACTGTAAAGTTAATTGTCAAAAGAAGTAACCTAACAGAGTAAACTGCTATGCCCTAACACGCATTGTGATCACAATCATGTAGCAGGCAATATAGTGTACATTAAATACGTTAGAAAATTTAATGATAATATAATGATAGTGAAAATTTTATCATAAAAAATAATATTATTGTTTATGAAGGCATATGTATTGAATATTTTCTCGAGGGGTGCGATGCATGGAATGTTTCATTCAGTGGGACGAAACCGCCAGTTTAATGGAACATTTCATCTCTCGGCGAACGGAGTTCCTCCCATTGATCGAATGGTATTTATATGACACCAAATAGATTCATGTTAATTTCATCATTTATGTAAACAAATTGCAACAATTATGTTATAAAATGACCCAAGTTTAACAAACACGAAATGGAGAAGATATTTCACTTCTGGAGGTGATCAAAAACAGCAAATGAATTGACGTGAATTAAATAAGGTGTTATATAAAACATAGTGCAACTGTAACTCCTCTATCTGTCTAAATTATCTATTGTTCTCAAAGACATTTGTAATTTACGTTTTGCAATGAAATTCACGATGTATTTACTTCAATCTAGACCAAGACCTGACCCGTATACACAGCCTGGTTATCAATACGAGGATCCACACATGAAAGGTATTCCAGGAAATAATCTTACAACGACGCCTTCTAAAATGAACAAACCTTTAAAGCCAGAACAGGCGATCAAGTCTAAGCCAGGTAAGAGTACTTTTTGTTCTATAAAACCTAGAATAAATTCGCATGAAACGAAGAAATCGTGGCGTGCTGCTACATACAGTAACCCTGGTGCCTATAGTGTAAAAGTATTGCCCAGATTTTCTGCGTGAATTGGATATGTAGAAAATCTTGTTCGGCTCTTCCGCCTACAAAACCATTATTACCTTTGTTCTGTATCACAGTGAAACCTCCACTGCATCCTGAAAGCATGTACTTTGTGAACAGAAGATGCTGTTGCGGTCCATTTTTAAACGCTGCGAAGCTCCTCAAGCTTCCCGACACAGTCAAGGGTGTTTTAGGGGGATCAGACAAAAACAACATCGCACGAAAATGCCTGCAGCTTCTGGTATCCGCGAGCGAAAATCCTAAAAGTATTCTTGAACTGTTTTGCCACGAATTCTACCAAAGCAAGAAGCACATCGATCTAGATTTGGCCGCTACGGTGTGCATTGAAATAAAAACGAAAAACGACAAACGGATCATGCGACGTGTGAAGATCGCTTCGAAAGCCGACACGATACGGCCGAACATCGAACGCGCATGTCAGTTGCTAGGTTGTTGCCAGAACGTATTTGCAAACGTGAAATACCCCACGGAACAATGCGATGAATGTCGCATGAAACAAACTAGCGAGTTAGACGCGAATTATACAGACATCACTCAGCAGCCATTGAGCATGCCCAGTAGCGAACCCGTATGACCCTCTGCGACTGCGCGCTATATCCATCTTTAGCTAACTGAAGATCTCGCAATTTCCATGTAAATACGTTATTACATTATGATTTAATGACCCGACCGCGGAAGAAAGGGAAACTCGATTGTGTACATATATGCGCATGAATAATGTGTTAAAAAATAGGGCGTGTCCCTTATGCGTTCTACTTGTAGTATTTTCATGCTAATGTGTGATTCTATTTTTGTCTCAAAACACAAATGAGAAAACATACACCAGCTTGAAATTTCGTTATAGTAGAATAATAAATGTCATTTATTGAAGTAAAGAGCATTGGTCATTGAACATTGGTGTTTCGTAGGTAAGAACTTGCGGTCATTTTATTTTGATTAGAATAACGGCGACGTTAAAACACTATTTATCTCAACATGATCATGATTTGAGTGCTAATTTGCATCAGGAACTGGACGGTTTAGTGAGCTTAGAAGGGTAGCACTCCATATATTTTTCCCCAATACAAAGCATTTGTCGGTACTGTTGTCCGTTGTGAAAATCCCAAAAAAATTAGAAGGCGCATTGTAAACGACGTTCTCAATACATTTGACACTGGTATTTTGCATTCTCCCAGATTACCGCAGTATAATACACCAAAAGGTAAGATAAAAACGATGTCGTGTTGCAACTCTGTTTTTTGAGATTAACTTATATTGGATGCTTTTCACAGTCTATCACGTCAAAAGATGGTATATTGACTGGTGACAAGACTGAATGATTGTCGTAGAAATAGGAGGGGGTTTTCCTGTATTATTTATGAAAGAATAGTTCAAGATGTGATTATTCAACCACTGTACTTCTATATATAAGTAGTCATTCTTCTACGCACACTAAGGCCCATATATTTCAGGAAGACAAAGGGGTTCGGTCCTTTCAGAAAATACCACACAATCTCAATCACCATAAAAATAACACAACACCAAAAGGAATACAATATATATTGAAAACACAGTCGTCACAACAATTTTCGAATTCGAACTCCGCACTTCGATGCGGCCACACAATATAGTAATAAAAAACCCTATACGCATGCAAAACACGTCAGATCAACAACTGTCAACAATATCTCAAAGACAAAGTTCATTCTAACTAATTATTCCGACATGTCTGAATTTTCTAGAGAAATCACATGACAAAATACAGGAAGCTTTATCAAACTGCATCCGATGCTGTAGTAAGTATATTTTTGAAAAATTACAGATATATCTAACTTTTATCCGTCATTATGAGCAACCAAATATTGAGCAGAATTGAGATAGCCGATGGCTCTGGTGACCCCATAACAACAGTCAATTCGCACGGAGACGAAGATTAACAATCGACTGTCCCAGGAGATGGCTTTTTCTCCACAATTGGATCAATTTGGTGCGAGCAATATCACAGCGCAGAGCAAGCCTGGCATGGCGGTACATGCTGCGGTCGGCTGAAAGCTTTCTTTATGTACATTACACTGCCTGTTTATGTTTGGCTCAAACCGTTCATACGTGCAAGGCGCTTATCTTTGCGGCGCAAAGTTACCCATCATGGCATTGTGTACTTCTATATCCTCATGGCGTGGACAATAGTCTTGAATCTTCTGGAAGTGCGAGAAAAAAGCAAATTAAAAGACGACGAACCCAATCAATTCTTGATATACACCAATGCCACGATTATGGCATTGTCTTTAATAGCAATGTTGTATATCGCGTGGGCAACTCGTGAAGAAGTCATTTGGGCCATTCATCGGATTAACTTAAGTTTCTATTTTCGCACGGGATTGTATGTCTTTGGCGTTGCAAACATGGTATATACATCTTTGAAGCTATACGATAATTTCAGCTGCAAAGAGGGTCGCAATATTTTGCTAAATATCTCACAATTTCTGTTCATTGTTAGTCAGATACTGTTTCATAATTATTTTTACCAAGCGAAACTGCCTGGTCGGGGATGGTTAATGCAGGTTTGCCTTGCGCATATCCTGGGTACGAATTTAAGCCTCTGGATTAGGACAATCTGTAAAAAAGTGTTAAACCATTCCAAAAAGAAAGATGACTGCTCCCCAATTCCATTGGGTGATACAGAGAAGTTCTTTTATCCTTTGTTTGTGGAGTATTTGCTTCTTGTCGCCGGGATGGTGTATGAACTGTGGGTGGGGGTGGTAGTACCTAGAGACACGAGAAGGCGAGCAGGGCATTGGATTGATGACGCGTATCACGGGGAATTGCAAAATCCAAACGAGACACCGACGACATTGTCTAATGGTAGCAGGCTGCCTCTTCCTGTTGACCTGGTGTCGGAAAGAAGACGCCACATATTTGCACCGAGTCTTGCGTTTAGTTTTCTGCTCGGTTTGGCAATTTGTTCAATCTTCTTTTCTTTCATGTTAGCGGCACATTATTCAGCATGGAAAGAAGAAAGGCACAGTTTCCTGTACGATAATTTCGTAATTGCCAATATATGTGTCTATTGCACTCAACTTATCGCCTGTTACGTCATCAAGGTTTGCGGCCAATCTCAGCCAGCTGACAGGTACGTAACCCACGTCAAATTTCCTCCCTCATTTGTTAATGCTAGAACAACATTTGAAAAGGTTTTCTTTACGAGCTAGCAGGGATGAACTCCTCTCCAACCTAGCGCAAACGTCAGATCCGTTATTTATTATTCGTTTCACACATACAAACTGAGCGCACATCCGTTCGTTCATGTAAAAATGTTTTAAATAGAGAGAGAAAGCGGACAGTCTCAATATATAGGACATAGAAAATCATGAGAAAAAGTGTCCTGCCTTGAAGTGCCTTTCTTGTTTTTTTCCCGCATACTGGCATTCCAATGCCATCTAGACAACCATAACCGGTTCTGTTGTATTTCAGTACAGACAGATTACTTGTATTTTAGAGTTTCAACAACTCTGCATTCTTGTTTATGTTATTTTCATCTGCCTAGTGCTTAGCTAGCACGGGAAATGCAGTTCCACCGCTATATTATTAACGAAATTCTCTACTTGAGTTCAAAATATGAACCGTCTGACCATTCTGGCCACTTTCCATTGAAATATAGTTAGAGAGGTACCCTGAAGAGCTTTAACGACAAAAACTACTATTTGTTTTTGAAAGCAAACACACATATATGCTACGACCTGAAAACTGATCGAGAACTTTGGTTTTTTTAACAGAAAACGAACCTCGTTTAACCTAGACGATTTCCTACTCTACCTCGGTTTAGCAGGAGTAATACTTTGGGAAGGATTTCATCTCTATTTTGTATCTTATAAACCCAAGCACAAAGCAATCTACTTTGTTCATAGCCTGCTTGGTCAACTCGAGTTCATCGTGCAGACAGTGATTCTGGTCAGCGCCCGCCGCCTATCAAGCAGAGAGGACAAAAATGCGCAAACAATCAGCAATATGTCACTGTTCTTGCTTGCAACAAACTTTGCCTTTTGGATTCTGAATTCTTTCTTAATCGATCAAAGGCTTAGCTATCCTGGAGAGAGTCATCACAGAGAAAAGGAAGAGAACTTGCTCTCGATGTTGCAATTTTTTGCTTATATCCTAAACCCCATTGTTATATTTTTTCGTTTTCACAGTGCCGCGTGTTGCTATCAGATGTGGTTGATTTTCAGCCGGCCCGTCATGAATAACAATTAGTTGTCTGTCGTTACTGAATCATTGATAAAATGAATCATTCGTTGCATTAAATCCAGGAACTAAAACGAACAATTTGCTGACTGATGCGGCATCATTCAAAGGAGCCTTTGGGCATTCCTAGAACATCTCTTCACAGGGTTGGACGTCGCGGGTCAGCGAACCCGCGGGGCAATTTCGTATGGGCCTCAGCAGCATTTTAAGTTCTACTGTAGCTGTGTGTCATATGCAGGCCAGTGTGTCAAAGAAGCTAAACGCGAACTATGGCAGAAGCTAATAATTGAGTAAGAAACACAGGGAGCAAATATAACGTACTGTCAGACTGAATTTTACCTTGTAGTCTATGTGTACATAGTTCCCGGTCAGTTTGCGATTAGCTCTCACTGTAAAGCTTTCTGTAATTGTAAACTTGTTTTCAGTGATACATTTTGCCGTAACAAATACTTATCTGTCCGGGCCCCTTTAAACAATTAAATAGTGTTTTAGTCACGATCGGCAACATTCATCCTGAAATTGTCAGTGGGAAATCGTGCGTTTCCAAGAGCCTAAATTTGCCCCAATTTTTCGAGGGAGGATGCCCCTTGAATCTCTTTTTCTACGGTCGCGACACTTCTATGGGCTTCTCTTTTGTGACGATTCTATTATATGCCAGTACTCGCAGCGAGTTCACGAGTGGGCTTTTGCTATTTAGTTGTTTAACTATTGCTTGATCGAATTTTAAAAAGAGATTTATAAATTCACGGACTTTCGAAGCTCCTGGCGAACCTTATTTACGAAGGTTTCTGATTATTCGTATTGACATTCCTGCAATACTGGTTTAATTTATGGCAAAGTATGACATTATTTTATTCATAAGAAATCCATTCCATCCCTATCTTTGTCAGTTGACAATCTATTCAACAGGATCTCGTGATCAACAGTTTCAAACGCTGAACTGAGATCTAACAGCACTAGCAGCGTGACGTGTTGTTTGTTCATGTTCAAAAGAATATCATTTTTCACTCTTAATAAGGTGGTTTCAGTACTGTGCATGGTTCTTCCTGTAAGCCGATTGTCTAGTAAAGTGTTGTCTGTCTGTGTAAGTTGTAATGCAATGTGCGCCAGTTTGAGATGTGCTTCCCAGCACAATCAATATAGACTGTGAAAAACAATCATTTTCTAAATAGTAGTGATGGTAAAGTGAATGGTCACATCCATATCAAAGTTGAGAAACGTACGAAATGGGAAACAACACGAAGAGCGCTTGAAGAACGCAAACTGATTATGGCACTTAGCCAAACAAGGCAAACTGCGGTCAGGATTATATTGTTCAAGTTTACCCATAAAAAATATTCACTTAGAAGACTAATGACCTAAAACTTAACTTGACAGCAAAGGAGCGTCAACGATGACTTCCCTGCAGTGTCAATGAATATTTTTGTGATAGCCACGGGTGGTAGTGTAACTAGTGTTGCCATGCCAGACCATCTATTGCAGTCACATTTAGGTATTTACAAACACTACAAATAGACAAGGTAGTTGATTCATAGAAATATAACGGGTCAACTGTAATACCGAGAATTTGACCATGCATCGTTTATAATTACGTAAGATAATTTCTTTCAAATGCAATACTCAGAAAACTGAGAAACGTCTTGTTTGCGTAAGAATCATTTGGTATTTTTATCACTATTTGGTATATTTGGTATTTTTATATGTGATAAAGTACTCGAGTACATGTTCGTTCATGCTTACCGCCTCAAATAGACCAACGCATGCATGCATGCAGCAGCGCTATTTAGTTTGTACTTGAGTATTTTATATGACATTTCAAATACATGTATTCCTCAGGTTCCGTGATAAAAATACTAAATGATTCTTAGGCAAAAAAACCTTTCTAAGTATTGCATTATAAATAAATTATCTTACATAAACCATGCATGGTCAAATTCCCTGTATTATAGTGTGACCTGCCCTGACCTGTTAATTGTTAAACGAATATATACCTCGTCTATTTGTAGTGTTTGTAAATAAATGTGACTAAGATAAGTAAGATTTGCACATGCACTGGTTTAATAGTTTGTTCAGTACCATGCATTAGGAATAGTTATATCTCTATTTGGAATATACATATATCCGAAAATATCACTGATTATAACCTCCATATAATACAAATGAGTGAACTGATGTTCTCTGACAAATTATTCAGTAAGCCGAGACGATTCTAGACATGAGTCACATGACACAATAGCCAAAATGTCAAATGGTATTTTCTTTGAATCGTGATATAAATTCCGTGTAGCGTTAATTTTTAGGTTCGTCAAGCGTTCATTTTGTACATGTATATGGTATGATATATTTATGATCGGCAATGAGCTACGGCACATTCAGCAGAATTGAGACAATCGGCTCAGACTCAGATGGTTCTAATGATAATCAATCCATAACAACAGTCGATTCACAACCAGGGTTACCAGGCAGGCGTGTAAATTGGCATATAGACGAAGAAGAATCGACTGTTCCCGGAGGTGGCTTTTTTAATACAATTGGATCAATTTGTTGCGAGCAATATCACAGCGCAAAACAAGCCCGGCATGGCGGTACTTGTTGCGGTTGGTTGAAAGCTTTCTTTCTGTGTATTACACTGCCTTTCTTTTTTTAAACCGTTCATACGTGCACGGCCCTCGCGGCGCAAAGTTACCCATCATGGCATTGTGTACTTCTATATCCTCATGTCGTGGACAATAGTCTTGAATCTTCTGGAAGTGCGAATAAAACACGATTACGAAGAGCGAGTTTATCAAGTCCTGCAATACTCCAATGCCACGATTATGGCATTGTCTTTGATAGCCATGTTGTATATCGCGTGGGCAACTCGTGAAGAGGTAACTTGGACCATCCATCGAAATAACTTAACTTTTTATTTTCGCACGGGATTGTACGTCTTTGGCGTAGCAAACATGGTATATACGTCTTTGAATCTATACAATGATTTCAGCTGCAAGGACGGTCTCAATATTTTGCTAAATATCTCACAGTTTTTGTTCACTGCTGGTCAGATAATGTTCCATAATTATTTCTACCAAGCGAAACTGCCCAGTCGGGGATGGTTAATGCAGATATGTCTTGCGCATATTCTGGGTACGAATTTAAGTCTCTGGATTGGAACGATATGTAAAGAGGTGTACACACCAGAGCCAAAGAACACTAGCGACTGCTCTCCAATTAACATGGGTCATTCAGAGAAGTACTTTTATCCCTTGTTTGTGGAGTATCTATTGCTTGTCGCCGGGATGGTTTACGAACTTTGGATAGACTTAAAAATACCGAAAGATAGAATAAGAGGTGCTCGCCATGACTGGATTAATAACGCGTACCAGGAGCAATTGTCAGGAACAACCGAGGTGTCCCTTCCTGTTCGCCTGGTATCGGAAGGAAGGCGACGCACGTTTTCACCAAGCCTTGCATTAAGTTTAGTGCTTGGAACAGCTTTCGGTGCAATCTTTTTCTCTTCAATGTTGGGGGCATATGATTCATCATGGAAAGGCAAACAACGGCATCGTTCCTTATACAATAATTTCATTATTGCCAACATCTGTTTTTATTGCACTCAACTAATCGCTTGTTACGTCATCAAGGTTTGCGGCCAGTCCCAGCCAGCCAACAGGTACGTAATCTAAATTATAACCCACATTTGCGAGGCATCAGTCTACTCAATGCTGGAGTCCCGCGATCATATTTAAGTTAAGTTACACAAGTAAATAGGACTCAACTGTCTTCGACTAGCTACAGGCTAGTATATTTCTCACCACATGAGAAATCGTTAGTGTTGGCATGAACAAATTGTTCCTTGCTAGAAGTTGTTAATTTAAAGAGGCATACAAACATGGACCTTACATGGTTATTTTGCTGTTATTTTAACTCTGTCACTAAAAGCTATCACTTTGGGAGGGAAGCTGTCACTGGGGGGGGGAGCTGTCACTGGGGGGTTGTTGTTTCGTTGTTTCGTTGTACGCTGTTTCGTACCGGCACCATTTACAGCACACGTATAGTGTGGTTCTTAGTGGCAGAACACAAATAATACCAGAAGTGAAACTAGACTGGTACTAGAGTAGAAATAATATTGTTTTCGTGCAATGGAAAGTTTGCAAAATGTACACGCCATCACACTTGCTGGAAAGATCGCTGTCTGTAGATTTCTTGTCATTCTAATTGACAATTTGAATAGTAATTTGTTGATTAACTAATTGATTAATAATGGTAATAGAACAAATAGGAGTACTGTTAATTAATTTATTGACCCGTCGTTATCATCACATGAATGTCCAGACATTAGGAAAATCGGTAAGAGGGTACTGCAAAGGAAAGCAATGACGTAGTGATAAATGGCGAATATTTCTATGATTTCTTTTAACAGCAAACGAAAATCGTTCAACGTAGACGATTCCTTGCTGTACTTTGGTTTGGCTGGAATTATACTTTGGGAAGGAGTTCATTTCTATTACCTATTTTTTGAAGAAGCTGAGGAGCCCATCCACTTTGTTCATGGCCTCCTTGGTGCAATTCAGGATGTCGTGCAGACGGTGATTCTGGTCAGCGTCCGCCGACTATTAAGTAGAGAGGATAAAAATGCGCAAACAATCAGCAATTTTTCCCTGTTTCTGCTTGCCACAAACTTTGCCTTTTGGATTCAAAATTCCTTCTACATGGAACAGCAACTTCACAATCCAGGAGAAGATGAACACACAGATGGTGAAAAGAATTTGCTGTCGAAGTTGCAAGTGTTTGCTTATATTCTAAATCCAATTATCATATTCTTCCGTTTCCACTCTGCTACGTGTTGCTATCAGATGTGGGTCATTTTTAGTCGACCTGTCTTGAATGAAAATTAGCTGACATTTGTACCTTATAGATTTATAGTCATAGAATCATATAGACCTTTCAGTCGTTTCTTATAATGACGTGAAACTGGGAACTGAGGTGTGATGCTACACGAAGTTTGATTGGCTCGATAGTTTTGTGGAGCCAATCAAATTTCGTGTAACATCAGACTTTCCCCGTTTGACGTCAGAGTGATTTTCGTTATTTTAAAATCTGAATATTGTACCTTAGTGGTGGTTACGTCACACAGTTTCTAAGGTCTATTTGCATACTAGGTAAACGAAGAATTAAATGTGACAAATCATTAATTCTGTTTATCTATCAGCGCAAGCACGCCCTCTTGCCATAAAACTCAGATTTATTACCCGGATCACAGATATAAAATGGATAACTATGGATGGATGTCTATAAATGTCAGAATACGTATGTCTCACTTCTGACTAAAACCATAAAACGCGTATATATATATAAAGCGATTTGTCATTGTGTATCCGGCTTGCTGGGCATAGTTTGGCAAAGCACGATTAAAAAAACTACTATCCAGTGGATAGCGCTATTCAGCTTTCGTACAACCTGCCCCACATCAAATGCCCAAATTACTGAATGAGCTGGGACACAAAGGGCGCATGGAGGGTGTGGCCTGGATACGGGTTGGCAGGACCTCTACCATGGACCTCTACGGGCCATTACACTGGGCCATTCTGGGCCATTCAGCCCATTCTATCCCAGTGAACCCCAGGTTTTTCGCGTACACGCATGCGCACTTCTGGCTGAATCTAGTAAATACAAATATACAATATGGCGTCAATTGGAGATGTTCGAAATGCGGCTAAGAAATTCACGCTTATACCAGCTAAGTATGTATCCATTCTTTGAACTGAGAACAGTGTTTTACATGTTTTGCTTTACTGATGGTCGAAGGACATCGTTCATCACTCTCTCGCGGGCCTTTGAGTTTCATATTTTGGGAATTTGCAAAAGGAGAAAAACCGAAATTGAAAGTAAAGGTAGTAGGGTACGACATTGGAATACGGCAATACAGAATTAGGAACCTTTACTTTATTCTAGCATTCTCTGTAGTATCCTCTTTTCTGTATTAACTTGTTAAAGATAATCTCCAATCAGCAGGCAATTCTCTTCTTTAAATACCTTGATGGTCTGTATTGATCATATTATTTATACCCTTTTTAAGTTTCATGACGTTCTTAAATTTGTGCTTTGCTCCCTCCCTAATTATCTGATTTATAAATATCATAGGTATTTTTAAATCTCTTAGCACTGTGGTTTATTTATATACTGTATTTGTGTAAAACTTTAGGTGGAAGGATTATATTCCATGTGGCAAAATTATAGCTAATGAGAGATTGGTGCCATTTAAAACTCCACTGTCAGAGGTATGCTGAATTCTACTGAGTTGAACATATACTTCTGTATCATTATTTTTTGGGCCCGTAATACACATGGAAATGTGTAACTGAATTACAAATAAGTCATGACAAGTTTGTGTCCTGCCAACCTAAGTGGAATATTTAGTGCCTGAATTTTGACATACAATACCTTTTTTAGAAATATCATTGCACAGGAGAGGAGACTCATCCAGAAGACTGCTTACAAAAGAATGAAGAGTAAGGTTTTATGGTTTCAATGTTTGTACAATGTGTTTATAGCCAAGTTTAGATCATCAGCACTTATACATCATTCTACAATGTGTTTGATTGTAGAATATAGACACCACTTTATAAACTATTTCTCCGAAAGTTAAGTCTAGATAAATTCAATTTTTATATTTTATTTTTATATTTAGATTCACCCCAAAAGATCTTTGCAAGATTTTTGATGAAAGAGGCAACAATTTGGGGCTAGTTGTTGATTTTACTAACACGAAACGTTATTATGATGCACAGGTACCATGCATTCATAAGAAACTGAACTGTTATTTCCTTTAATTGGTTTTAGCTCATAAGTTAATTTGCTTACTTGACTTTAGTTATTAGTGAGTTCATTTAACCATAGACAATCCAAAAGGCATTTGTCTCTTGGATTGTCTATGATTTAACCCATAATTCTTCTGGTCTAGCTAGCCCATTTTAAAAAACATTTTCTTCTTTCTGCATTTGAACATCATATATTGCTGTAGATGTGGTTTATTAATTTACTGGTAATTTACATTAAGTAAAGTGTGAGGAAATATTTAAACTTAGGTCTTGTTTTGTTGACAGAATCATCAATATCACTGAGTAATTTTAAATATAGTATTTTTTTTAAATTTTCCTTCAAACCACCTCTTGCTTTCCAAGGAGTTTATCAAGCGTGAAATTGATTACAAAAAAATTAAATGTGAGGGCAAGATAATACCACCTGAGAAGGTGGTCAATAGGTATTGTAGATCTTCATTATTTGAACATCATCAAAAACCAATGATCATGTAACATTCACATTTCACAGTAATGTTACTAATGTATACCGTCCTTATCATCTAAGCATGTACACCTGATCATAAAACATTTTTAATTAGATTCAAAGTTGTAACATTTGGGCGATAAAGAAAACTTGTTTCAAGCGGATTCAGTCAATAAATTTGGAAGAAATGACCTATAATTTCTATTCTAAATTACCTATAATTTCTTCCAAATTTATTGGCTGATGCGCTTGAAACAAGTTGTCTTTACCGCCCAAACGTTACAGCGTTGAGTCTAATTAAAACATGTTTTATGATCACATGTACACACTTAGATGTTAAAGACGGTATTTTGCATTTTGCATATGATTTAGTTTCTATTTTAGATTCAAAGCTGCTGTCTTATCATTTTTTAAGGAAACCCCAAATTCTGGTATGTGACTTTTCGTAGCTACATTCATTTTCACGCAAACTTTTTTTGAAGTGAATTTATTAAAGTCAAATATTGACAAACTGATTGGAGGCTATGATGCATGGCCATTTAAGATTGCTTTTTAGATTGCATTTTTACATGCTTAAGGAAGGAGAAATTCAAACAACTTAGCATCAAATGTGGTACTCCTCCTCCAACTCCTAAAATAGACTAAACACTTCTTGACGTTTCGACCTGAGGGCCTTTGTCAGGAGAGTTAGCATGAAAGTTAGTTAGTACTAACTCTCCTGACGAAGACCCTGATCAGGTCGAAACGTCGAGAAGTGTTTTATTTATTTTAGGCAGTTGTTATACCACATTTGATGCTACATACTGTAACTGCACAGTATTAAATTTTAAATTTACTGCTGTTGAAGGAGTTCAAGTTAATCCCAATAAATGTGTCTGTTTCAATATGCATTTTCGGTAAACATAAATTTTTATTACTGTATATCTTTGTGTTAATACCGATTACTTCCTTTAATTAGCTTCTGTTGTGGGAGTTCATTGTACTCATGGTCTTAACCGAGCAGGATATATTGTATGTAGGTGAGTACAGTATAGCATTTTGTAATGAAATATATCAAAAGTTTTGTAACAGGCTGGTAGAATTTAGGACCTGTTTATATGATCCCGCCTAGCCGGGACGGGACAGTTTCCGAGATCCCGCTTGTAATACAAACACTAATTAGTGTTTATATAACCACTTTTCCATCCCGCCTAGGCGGGATCCCGGCACTTCTTGCCATATAAACACTCCATCCCGCTTGGCCGGGATGATTCGCGATTAACATACATTAGGAGCATGTGTATATATTGGCATATTCGTTTTCTACAATAAAACAAGCCGTCGAAGGAACCTGCACTACAAAATAAACTCCATATAAACACGCCATCCCGCCTAGGCGAGTTTCCCGGCTAAGCGGGATGAAGACATCCCGTCCCGGCTAGACGGGATCATATAAACAGGCCCTTAGAGGACGAAGTAACAGAGATTTAAGACCCAGGTCGTTCGGTAGATATGTAACCAAGTGTATTAAATTTCCGTAGCTTAGTGGACAAAGAGTTGCACCGGCATCGCAAAGGCGTTCTTAGGACTAATAACGCCTGTTTATATTAATAAATGAATTTTAGCTGCGAATTAGGTGCGAGCTTTTTTTGATGGATGTAAACGAGTGGGTAAATAATAGAGACATCAACCTCGTATCAAAGGTCTATATCACAGCATTCATAACTATTCGCTCGTTTGCATCTACCAAAAGAAGAACATCGCAAGTGTAAACCGGCCTATGCCACTGCTGTTGATAATTTTCCTCACTGTTTCCTGATTGAATTTGGTTTGTGTATAAATTCCGCTCAAATTTAAGAGCATTTTTCAAGTATTTATCATAATTATCCGCCGTCTATTGTTCTTGGTTTGGACCGGTGATATATTTGCTATCTTCGTGATATATTCCATCTTATTTCTTTGCATTCAGATATTTGATCGAGTGTAGAGGATACTCACCAAAGGAAGCTATTGAAGGTAATACTGAATCGTGTGCTATTGCCTGGGAAACATGCACAGTATTTACAAGGATCGGATATTTAAAAAAATGTTACCTGACACATGTCTTCTATTTTGTACAGCTTTCAATAAAGCCAGGGGACATAAAATGGAAAGAGAAAACTATCTGGAGGATTTACAACAACGGAAACCCCAAACGTGTGTCCATATCGCTTCTTCAGTTCAATAAGTACACAAACTAGTGGTATCTGATTGAATATATGTAGATCCTGTTCAACTTTTACCCGAGGAATGTTATATTCGTTTCTAATTCAAGTTTTGGTATATCAGATTATCCAAACAAGATGAGAAGCGCTTGATCGAAACAGCACCACCCAGTGACGATGAATGTCCTCCCGAGAGTTACCCGCGACGAGATCATACTGACGTGCATCATCGACAACGTGGTAATAGGTATGCTCCATATTCTCCTAGTAGACCACAACATCGTGGCCCTCGGGATGGCAAGCGTGGATACAGAACGTTCCACGAGGATCGTTATCCAGCACGGGAGGACGACCGCTGGTATCCTGAAGTAGATTTTGTCGATCAAAGGTATACAAGATACTGTAGCTCGCTTCAATCGAAGTTTTGCACGGCGGTTTTTTAACCGTTTCCACAATAAAATAACCAGTGAACTAACAATATTTGTCTAAGAGTGGAGCATTATTTTTATAGAAACTGCTTTTAACTTTATCATTTTTAATTATTTTTTCTGTCATTCCGTTTTTGTCAAAACTCGTAATGTCTTTGTGTTGAACAGGATAGAAAGTCGTCGTGTGCGAGACACGCCGAGATACGGGGATAATAGGGGTCATTTGACTTATGATGTGGATCGGTATCCACATGTGGATGAAGAAAGGTTGCCAGGCTATCGCGAGAGACGCATAAACGAAACTGATCGTCGGGGTGAACTGCGATCTGACAGGAATTTTCATCGTGAAAGATTTTACCCGGAAAATTCTTGCGAACATGATGATTATTATAGAAGGCATGAAATAGACCAATGGAATCATACAAGACATCATGATTGTTACCTCAGTGCGCCTCCTCGTGGGAGAAACGATAGAAGATGGGAGGAAGAAGACTACATGGTAAATTATGATCGGTACCACAGGCACAGCAGAGATGACAGATATCATTATAGTAGATCGAGTCGATATCATAGATGAAGACTGAAAAGTTTATTGAAACTACTATAGTGGATAAGAAGTAGGCGGACGCCAGGAAAGGTATGGTTTTTAAAGTTGCCAAGAATGAAACAATGTAACTCTCGCAAGTTAGTATGCTCATTAGTTGCCTTTGTTTTTAAATAATTTTTACTTAGACTAAATTTTGCCATATGATTTTAGAACCTCTTAAACGGCTCTATATCGACGAATGTTTTATTTATAGCTGCAAGAAAAACATTTTTAGATTTATTCTGCATAAATCGAGTAAATAAAATCGTAAGAGGTTACTCCACACTTTTTGAAACCGAAAAATCATAATATATTTTGCACTTTTACTATATTAAAAAAGGTGATTGTTGTATTGCTTTCGGATGAATTGTTCACATCACATGTGTCCCTTTGACGTATATGCAAAATCTATCAAATAAATCTTACATTCTCAAAATATATTTAAATTTAATTCAACAAAGAATCCCCGTTCTCCTGGAAAGGTGCACGTGCTTCCGACGTCCATGACAGCGGACTCTGATTTGTGGGGGTCATCTGTTGTTATCCGTAAATAGTGATATTTTATTTTCAATGTACTCGTCCGTACTATCCATAAATGTTGCCAAATGTCCCATTTCTTCCAAGCCCCAAACCTCAACCCTTAAACACTCGAATTCGCCTGCATCACCGCACGAGAGCGGCTCATTGTCAAATGTATCACATCTTTCACTTCTGCCATGAGTCAGGTCTTCTTCGATGCTCAGACCCCAACCACTTCTGCAGTAAAAAATTTTTGATGCAAATTATGCAAAGCTCACATACAGGCACATAGTACATATTAGGTTTTTCATATAGCTTTTTTGAACATGGACTTCTACCATGAACCTGGAATATGTACATAAGATATTGAACCATAAACATAGAAAACGCACATGGACTTTTGACATGAACATAAAATACATACGAACATGGATTAGCTTAGAACATGGAGGTAGAAAATAAACCTGGAATTATACTATAAAGATGGACACAGAAAATAAACAAATACCAGATGTTTCACCCTTGCAGAAACTTGTCACACCTTTTAGCTCGAGCTAAAGTAACCTCATGCATGGTTCAACCTTAATTCTTTTAGGAGGTTTTGTAAAAATTCAATTTTTGAAAGCAACATGCGCGAGGACACTGACAAAAGATTGAAAAGAATTTTGATACCGAGTAACCTTCGGAGTAAACGTTTCTTTCGGTTGAACATGAACCTTAAACCATGAGCATTGACTTGAAGCATGGAGAATATAAGACGATGCATGGTATTAACCCCAATGACTTATCAACAAAATGCAAATTTTGTATGCATTTTGAGGGGCAAAAAAACAAACAAACAAGCTCACCCCCCTCCCACAACAATTCTTTGTGGGTCCGCGAGCATAAAAAATGCTGGTGAGCTGAGGTCCTTAGTTGTGAGCGCACGCCACGTGAATCTTTTAAACTCTGGGAGAAAGTGGAACAGAAATGTCTCCCCATTTCCAAAGAAACCATTTTGGTGCTCAAAGCGTTCAATCCATGGCGCCGAGAGAAATGCACCAAGAATCTGAAGATAAAAAGGTGATGAAGCACATTATCGCCGGCGTTGTGATATTCGAAACATTGTATGTCCACAGATCGTTAAGAGCCGGTGGATGAAATCACAAAGTACGGTACTTGTGTATTCAAAATTTACCTCCTCAGTTGTAGTTTTTACCATTAAAACTGTATAGTGTTCTTCTTGACATTTTTGATAAAAGGATGTTAAACTGAAGGGAAATAATGGTTATCAGATACAGAAAAACACTCGATCCGCCCTAGTATCTGACCGCCTAGCTTTTACTGAGTATATTCAAAGCAATGTACGTATACATGCATGCAGCAAAATATAGCTATACTATCCAGCTACAATATATTATGAGCCTACCTTGTTCCATGAACTTCGGTGGAAAAAATACAAGTCAGTTTGCAGAGTTGACGCAAACGCCTTGGCAACGCTGCAAAAAGTTCTTGAACCTACACCAAAAATATTGGAATAGTACACGCCTGTCGACAAGTAATAATTTTGCAGCATGTTCTAATGTCGAACGCTATTTCTTTCATACCTGAGATTGGGTTAACAGATCTGAGCCTACAACTTTACCACGAAAGACAGTTTCACGTTCAATATTAGGAAGTGATAAAACTCCTGAATGTTCGAGGGAAATATTCGTTTGTCTTAGTTGGAAAATAATTTGTCTTGAGACACCCAGGATTTTTAGAGATTGCTACAAAATAAAAACTGTGATGGTAAACTGTGATGTTATGTTGGACGAAAATCACCCTTGAATGATTCCCTGTTGAATCAGTTGTAACACCTCTTGAATAAAACATTCACGCCTACACTGATAAGTTGCGATGATTGTGCGGAGCTCATGGATGTCACCTCGCCAAATATTTTCTCAAGTTCATCAATGTTGGTATTTTCTGAACAAAAATAAGCAGATCAATCAGGGTTGTTAAATGGTTCTCTGGTATCACTTCAAAAAAAATCTTCATTATGGTTAGTTAAATTCTAGTCAACTCCAAAATAAACGTCCGTAACTGCCAGTTATGTCAGTAGCTATCGTTAACCAGGCAAACCACCTTTTTATACAAACAGCATATTTGTTTGAGGAAGACGTGGTCGACGACTGTAGTAGCATATATTATATGCAGTATTAGATAACACGTGCAAGACCATGCGCGGGAAGAAATACCTAAATTGTGGGATTAGACTGACCGCAGAAAACAGACTGGATTACCTTGTGCAATACATAATGAGGGTGGCTTTGGCGCGTAGGCTTCGCTAATTGAAAATCAATATTGAATAGACGGTCGGTATACCTTCATTCTTGTGGACATCGTAGACCTGCTCGAAAAGCACAAGCCCAATACGATAAAAAACTTTGTCTCCATCCAAGAGAAAGTTGTCGATGAGATGAACCTAAAATTACGTTCGTTACTTCAGAGTTAGCAAGAATGTGTCTGTGATCAAATTTCAATTTTCATGCAACATACCAGGGTCCAAAAATCAAGATATTTGAATATCCACTGAAGCCAATCTACGCAGTATATCCTATTTTTCCAGTTTACGTTCTCTTTTTTCTTGAAGAGTGATTTCAACCACGTATACACTGGCTTCTACCCTCGAAAATAAGTTGCCATTGGCACTGTTAACGCTGTTCTAGCCAATAAATTTGATAATCGCTAGGCTGCATTAAATTATTGCAAAATGAGCTGTAGCTACCTTCCACTTCTTAAGGGTATCTTGAAAGGTCTTCGCAGTTATACAGTAATCGGTTGCGGATTTATCTAACTTGTATTTTCTTGAGCCAAGTAACGATTCCATACAAGCAAAACAGTCTTCCTTGTCCATAAAATGCATAAAAATACAGACGAGTTGTTGAAGGATCGGACAGAACGTTATATCGCAATGAAGTTGTGAAAGGACGGCAAGAACGTCTTCACATTTCTTCCAGCCTTCGTCTGTTAGGTAATGTTTTTCTATAAAACTTGCATTAAAAAAGTGGTCCGTTCCTGTGAACAAGGCGTACTCTGAAAGATAAATTACGTAAACAAGTTTAGCAACATCACAAAAACAGATTGCTAAACACTGCAGAATCTTAGGTAGCCAAAGGTTGCCGAGAAGCACATTTGTCTAAATCACTGACCTACATGGCTACACCGGACCTTTTCTGTATAGGTCAGTGGTCCAAATCCATTGTCACATACTAATCGTGCATTGACGATACTGCGCCTCAGGAATTGTTTCATGTAGAAACCTGATTTCACGGTTAAATTTTTTTATCCACGTGTCGAAAAATTTAACGAAGCTTTGACGCAATTACCGGAAAAGTCTATTAGTCATTAGCAGGGTTTCCACAATTATTTGCATATGGCAAGGAGGTAGTAATGACAAAAGATAGAGACAAGGAACTTTTGAAAAGAATGCATAATTTACCCTATTAAGACTAATTCCTCCCTCCTTAGTGGTTGTCATTTTGAAGGAAATTTCCTTTAATTGTGGAAACCCTGGACTCATTAGTGACCCAAATACTTAATTAGCCATTTCCCAATCGAGCAGGGCAATGTGTCTAGTCACCAAACCTCAAAGCAACTATGGACTGTTTGGAGGGACAGGAAATGTAAATCTGAAATAATTTGTCCCTTCAAACAGTCCATAGATGCTTTGCGGTTCACGACTAGACCCAGTACCCTGCTCGATTGGGAAATGGCTAATAGGACCAAGGGCAGTTTTCAAAACTGCCACTTTTCCACTAGACGAAATTCTTCGATTAAACAAAATTTTTCGCTTGAGTCAAGGTGCAGATGACAGATAAGATATAGAATTCATAAAAAGCTCATCTGTGATCAAGGTGAATGTGATTCTTGAAGTAACATATGGCATATGATTTACATTTTCTAAAATGGATTTAGCACTTATGAGACATATCAAATCAAATGTGCTGTCCAAACTGGGCTTGTATTCAAGAAAGCAAATATTCACAGACAAATTTATGTAGTGCATGGTGAATATTGATTTTTTGTGCAGCCATGCATTACCCTATGCCCATATATTGCCAAACCACAGTGAAATGCCAAAGCACAATAGCAATTTGGATTTTGCTATCTGCAAATTTTCTATCCTGTCAAACCTAAACCAGTTACAGTACTCTTGAGCTCTAAACTCTATGTAAGAGATTTGCCCTTTCAAGAGAAAAAAGGTGGCACTAAAAAAATTGAAGGTAAGATTTTGCATTGTGTTCAGGGGCAAACTATGGGTTGTTATTTATAACTAAGTAAATGCATGCTTTGGGCAATATAGTGATTAAATGTCCTGCAAACCCAAGAGAAGCCAGAGAGACTTTGGCTAAACCTTGTGATGTGTACATGTTGTGTTTGTATATATATATATATATATATATATATATATATATATATATATATATATATATATATATATATATATATATATTATATATATTTTATATATTTGACTGAACATGAGGCAGTCTTCACTGTGAATTAAACATCAGACTAAGGGTTTAACTGATTTTTGACTGAACATGAGGGCTTTACTGTGAAACATCAGACTGAGGGTTTTTGGTAATGCTAAACCTCAGTCTGATGATATTTCATAGTACAGACCAAACAAGCGAGTTTGTCAAAAATTAGTTGAAAATATATAATTATATTGAATATATAAATATATATATATATATATATATATATATATATATATATATATATATTAATATATATATATATATTCCATCTTTCCGATTTTACACTGGTTTTCTGAGTTAAAATAAGAAAACACCGGTATTCACCGGTAAAGTCTTCTATAAAGCAACAGATTCAAATTATGTCGTTACATTACATGTTACATTCAAGTGTTATTCGGTACCTAAATCGTCTTTTATATCCTGAAAGAGAGTTGGCGTGGTTTCAGAAACTTTCCGGGAACCACTCAGTGTTCTCCATGTATTGGGTCGAAGAACAGGCGACAATCCTTGTCGTATATACACACGTAATTTTTTATAGTGTATCGATTTCGATGACTTGTCAAATGATTGTCCGCATCGAAGTATTGCATCTACAATAGGAACCATGGAATTTTTGTCAGCTTCGTTTGTCAAATGATCCCTTGGTACTGATTTATTAATCCAAGAGACATCGGTAAACCCAGCCATTACAGAGGCCATGGCATTATTATTGTATCATCCGTAACAATATTATAAATTTGCATGACTATTAATCTATTATTATTAAATAACTAGCCACATAATAATTAACTAATTGAAACAGTTTTTCTGATAAAAATTCCATGAATCGAGCTTTCAGGAAAAAAAAGAAGACTGTTTGTTTGGTTTACAACTGAAATGTCGTTTCATTGAATTTAATATCAGAAAGCGTTTAGATGTAATTAAAAATTTTAAAGTCACATAATTTATTGTGCCAACCACAAGCATCCAAGGCAATGCGGGGTCAATACGAATATGAGGGCCAGTGACGACACACTGTGCCGATCACACCACTTTTCTATGGTAACATTGTAACACGTAGTAACACATATAACACACATCTCTTGTCTTCGGTGTAAAAGCGGTTTTTTGATTGGTTCCGAGCACAGCCTCGTACCCAGGTACCCACATTGCCATCGTCGTTTCCAGGTTTTTCGCGTACTGCGGTGTGCCTTTTGGCGGAGCTAGGCCCTGGGGACGAGGATGCCTTTTGGCCAAATTGGCCATAATTAAAACACCTGGGAACGTGGTTAGGCGAGATTGCGTTGATAAACTCTTGTCTATTTTGAAATTTTTACTTACCATTGGATAAAATCGATCGTACTAAAAAGGGTATTTATTAAAGTTCGAGGTTTTGCAGTCATTTACCAATTTGGAAAGACCGAATAAATTTAGAAATCGTCCCTAAATTGGCCGAGTTGGTATGCGACTACATAATGCGACTACATAAAACAAAACTAGATGGTGGCCAACCTTTTATCCAGGATTTTTGACGGATACGTAAATTTGGGATTAATGACCGATAAATAAATTGTGATTCATATATATAGCTCATATTGTTGAAATATAAAGTACACAACTTTTCATAACGTAGTCACTAAATCAAACTGACTTATTAATACGACTAACAATCCATGGAAATGATGAAATGAACGTCCAGACTCCAGCAGTTGGCATGCAATTTCTCTCATAAACTGTTCACGAATCACGATGTGGTTGTAACGAAGATTATTTTTCGCAAATAATTCTATTCTTCAACGCGAATTCTTATTTTGCCTGTAGGCCTATGAGCAATTTTTCTACATAACACAGCTCATCCTTTTGGGTTGTGTGGAAACATATTCTGTTAAAATGTAAATTCACGGTCACCGTCCACGCCCCTTTTTAACCGAAGTGCTCTTTTACAAAAATTTGTTCCCACTTCCCCTCTCCTTCGCCCAGTGTCCTCGCGTGTTCACGTTTTCCACACACTTCTGACTTCCACATTACTATATTTAAAACAGTAATATTAAGAGCAGGCTGTCATGTGTACGTTACTCCTCTCCTGGCTTTTTGTCATTACGGTACATCGATTGGTTCAACCAGTCGTTCCAAAATGCTGAATTACTTTAGCCTTTGCATTTTAACCAGATCACACGGTAGTTAAATCTTCTTTAATAGCAACGTTATATCCTAGTTGTTTTAAAGTTCTTACTTCAATGATATTCATAACATTAAGTGTACAAACGTATCTTTATCTTATCTAACCGGAATATGTCAGTGAATACGCATATAAATCTCATTCTAAAACATTCACGAATGACGCCAAACAATAAAACCAGGGGCCGATTGTTCGAAAGGCGTTTAGCTTAAACGGCGGATAAGTTCAAAATGGAAAACAAAATTATTTATTTATTGGGCAATTGAGCTGAAATATTTCGATGTAAATAGTTTAATTGTCAATGGAAGAACATATTTAATGCATAAGATGCAGGTTCATTCATTCACAGGATCTACGAGAATATTTTCACCGTTTAAGCTAAACGCCGTACGAACAACCGGCTCCAGTACATTCGTTCCGAATATATTTCTTCTAGTCATAGCGTGTCCAGTGGCAAGCAGCAATGGTCATGCTGTGCGTTCCGCCGCCGAGATGTAAGGATTCTCCAGAAAGGGCGTAAAATTTCTCTGAAAGTCTGTTTGAATGAACGAGACATTATGACATAGATAATTGGGTTACCTGCGCTGTTACAAACCATCAAAATTCCAATCACTTGATACAGCAAATAACGCTGTAGTAATACTTTGCGGCTCATTATGGCAACGATGTGTAAGATCCAGGCAGGACACAGGGTTATAAGCAACACGACCACTGTGGGTTTGAGAAGACGTAATGTTTGCACACTCGGTGAAAACTGACGCCGGATGTTAGAGTCTTTCTGAATTCGTAGGCTACCCCAAAGCACTCTTTGTATCTTTCGAAACATGTAGAAGATACATACGAAGCAAAGCACATATAAAGCCTTCTCTGAAATTACGAATATTACATATTTCATTGGCGAAAGAGTGTCTTTGCATCGCTGCGTCTTTTGGTCCACTTCACGGAATGGGATATCCAATGCTACGTACAATGCAAGCACGGTCACCCAGGTTGACGCTAAAAAAATTATTGTTCTTCTCATCGAGGGGTGATATTTGAGCACATCAACAATACAACAATATCTATGACGTGATATTGCGACCAGAGTGACGATTGAAACGGTGAGAAATGTGCGGGAAAAAGGTGGGATAAGTTTACACATGATCTCTCCAAATATCCATTTTCCCTCCGCGTAAATTTGAACGACTTGAACGGAATGACGTACAACGAGCACGCCAATATCTGAGACAGTTAAATTAATAAACAAAAGTCTTGTGATGGGATTTTTTATGGTTTTGTACTTGGTTAAAGCAATTAAAAGCAATATGTTTCCCACGACACCAATAAATACGATTATCCAATCCAGTACGACAAGAACAAGCGTGTACCATTTCCATGAAATTGCCATTTTGATTTTACACCGATGGAAAACGCGACAATTGGTAGTGGTATATATGAGAAATGATAAAAAACGATTGTAGATATCAATAATGCACAAGAAGTGGTTTCTCACATTTGATTGGTCCTCGATAGTGTATAGTCAGTCACTGCATGATACGGTCTTGAGATCATGCATTTAAGATAAAGAGCAAGCCTAAAAATAAAGTAATATGAGTTTGCTGAAAGTACAGGAAATGAATGTAAAGCATGCATGATCAAAATGTCCGATAAAGTCTCAAGTAGAAGTCGTGCGTGCCATTCGGAATAACCCATTCCATGCCGACGTGAAAACAAAGTCTGGTTCTGATATGAAACCGACAGTCAGCGATGGCTAATGTCGGACCTTTGTCGGTTGTCACTGACACTGACAAATGAAGTGCTTTGTTGTTTTGAATAAATTTTCTTGGCTGTACATCGCCGACGCCGATGCTGGTGATATATGAGAACTAAGCTTAAGCCTGGTTCTCGTAAATCACCGATGGTCTGCGATTGCTATCGTCGGTGATCACTGGAGAATAAAGTGCTTTGTTGATTTGTATAAATTTTCTATGTCACCGGCCAGCAACAATTAAAATACATTGCTAACTGTCGGTGATTTACGAGAATCAGCCTTAAAACCCTGGTTCTCATCGTCGCAATTCTTCGTACGACGCTCTACGCTGCATGCATTTATAATATCTGTAACCAATGAGGGAGGATTTTTATTCCGACATTGTGTTACTATATAATTCATAATATGCAACAATCGTGAGATTCGTTGCAATTCGGTCAAACAGTGCGGTGAAGATAAAGTGTTGATAAAGTGAAGATAAAGTGCGTCTAGATACTGTAAAGGCGGTTTTCCACTCGGCAGAATTTTTCAACCGAACGAAATTTTTCGCTCGATTTTTTTTTCAATTGTGTGAATTCGACCGTAGCGGATTCCCTTCACCGCCACCGGTCACAATGAAAAAGAAAATCGAAAAATTCCGCCTAGTGGAAAACCGCCTTAAAATGTGTATCAATCAAGTATATCCACAGTTTTTCCATGCGTAAGTTATTACATTTACATAGCTGGGATAAATACACGAATGTACTTAACATCAGGCGTAGCTACATGTTTGTTTCTTTATACCCATGCAGCTCTAGACCTTTAGGTGACGGAGCTTACTGAGAAAAATTCCAGCCTAGTTTTGAACAGCCTTGCAGGCAGATTGCAAAATCATTGCAAAATTGGATCAAATTGCGACGCTCTATTCTCAAATACATGCAGTTAAGCGACACAAAGTTAATCTGATTATAGACGTGCTTGACGTGGCACACCGATTTCAAAAGACACTGATCACAAAATCATATCAATCACGCTAAATTTGCTTTTAAACCAGGTTTCGATCTTTGTGTGATATTTTAGTAGACTTTTGAATCGAACTTAAGAGAGCGATGCCTCTAAAAATTAAAAATATACCATGGCCATGCACATACATACCCTTATCTTCGGACCACGAGAAGGTCTAAAACGGCCGTCTGTTTCAGTTTTCTAACGGCGTGAATGAATTGATCGTTCACTGACGTAAACTGTGAGTCGAGCAGGCAATCATATAGACTGTAGTGTTCTGATAAAATGATATTTTCTTTGTATATTTTCACTTCGTACTGACCTTGTTGCTCTACCGACACACCGGCTTGAAGTGTCCAAAACGTGTGTGCTGCCAGCTGCTCCACTGATACATTCATCATCGGCGACATCGCAAATACTGCGATGATCGAATTTTCTACAAAGACAAGCTGGATTGGTATATGATAAAGTATATAACAAGGCACTAATCATTATGTCAAAACATAATCAAAACGGGATGGCTGTTATCAGTATTCCATCCGGCACGGAGACAATTGGTGTTGATAAACCCGAAACTGAAAAATTATTCTGTGCTGATATAAATCTTTATCTTACTTTTTTCCCTCAACTCAATAATATCCCCAGAAAAATTCCATTGATTATTTAATTTAATCGAAAGCGAAGTATATGCGACACTGCTTCTTGCCCTTTCAGAGAATCTCTTAATTTTGGTTGTTCTGTTGAACTTGATCAGCGGTATAAAAGTATTATTTGATTAAAAAGTATAATAGTACATTATTCATTCATTGTACATTTGTAATGTAATGTACTGTTTGACATAACTCAGATCAAACGGAAATTCGTTGCCCACATGATGGAAGCGTGTCTACGAAGCCGGAAAATAGACAAAGGGCGCGGGTTGTCCTTTTCCACGCGAATTAATTTTTATAGAAAAAAATATATTATTTGGCCGGGTGGTTGGTATATTTGCAGATGGTTCTTGATGTGCTCGAAATGCCTGTATAAACGCATATATAATATATACATATATATATATATATATATATATATATATATATATATATATTTTATAACCTCATATTTAAGTATGTATACGTATATACATACACATACATACACGTATATACATAATTATTTGAGTATAGACGTTTATTATACTTTTAGTGTAAGTGTACTTATATATGTCATAAACTTTCGTGGTTCTGCTGCCTTCTTTTATTTAACGTCATCAACTATGCATCATCACTATGGCAGTTGATATTTTTCATTGGCTGACGAAACTATTAACTTTTTTTCAATGGTCCACCGAAAAAAATTAAGACGTTGCATGGTCCAATACTATAAACGTCATTTGAAAATCGCATTTAACTGAACGAAGCAAAGATATTATCTCAGTTAAGGCGATTAAGTTAAAAAAAATCATAAAAACACACTCCACAAAATATACTTCAGCAAATTCATTAAAATTTATATATAGTCATATACATGTCACATAAGCATAATTTAATCATTTGTATACGTACAAGTAATATAAATTCCCGACTCGATTTTCCATCAAACATAATATTAGCGGTTTATCGAGCGAGATGCCCAAATTCATTAAAACCTCTAGACTTTATTTTACATCAGAACACATGCTGAACCTTTCACCACCATTGATATGCAATAATTTCACGTTCGCGGTTCGCTTATGCCCAACCGTAAAGCCATAAGCTGATATACCACTATGAGGTAATATTGTAGCCAATGACAATCGAATTTATTGTAGCCAACGGGAATCGAATTCTTAATATATAAACATTAATGCCCAACAAATTGCTTTTAAAGAGCCATAACACATTAAGAAGTAGTATAATTATATTTATTTAAAAAAAGACAGTGACATTTCGTATTGACTCTCTTGAGAGTAATGCATGGTTATGTTATATATATAGAAAAAAATATATACACGATATTTCGCATACATATATAACATGCATATATCATATGCATGGTTTATTAAATGCATGCATGCATGGTTCACAATTTTCTGTACAAAACAGGCGTATAGGCAAGGTTTATTAACAGTGGCGTAGCTACCGGTCCTGCTCGTCCTGCCCAGCAGGACTAAAAATTTCCCCAAAATTTTGAAAAAACCACTCCAAAAAAATTTATGAAATATTTTTGAAGCCTAAGCCTTATAAATTCCGCAATTATATTTTTCGATTCGTTTCTAGCAACAGTTACCACTCGGAAGCTCGCGCCCGCAAATATAATCGATCCCACGCATTGATGCTTCAGGCCTAATAACATATATGACATATATATGATATATATATATATATATATATAGATCAATGGCTCACTCCTGCTATTTTGCCAAGGCAGGAGCTGCTATAATATTCTATAGAAGAAAATACTCAATTCTGATTGGATAAATGGCCTCTTACTCACTCATAATTGGCTGGTTACAACTCCGCACTCCTGCTATCTCGACAAGGCAGGAGCTGCATATTGTATTGCCTTTTCTTGCGAGGTTTCCGCGTGAGTACACACACTTGAGCGTAGTTTGCATAGTTATTGTCTTTGAGCGAGTGTTTTTGTAATGGCTTCAGCAAGCGTGACGAATCTAGCTTCAACTGAAGCTGATATCATAAATTCTTTGTTAAGAAAATCATTTTCTGTTCGAGCAACCGCGGAACAAAATGTTATTGTTAAGCAAAGGCCAATGCCGAATTTGAGTATTAGTGCGAGAGGGAGATCTTTTCAAATGGCTTGGTATGAAAAGAAGGATTGGCTTTGTGGCAGCACAGAGTTAAAGAGATTATTTTGCTGGCCGTGTCTTTTGTTTTGCCCTGGAAAGTCGCCGACTTGGAGCAAGAATGGTTATAGCGACATGCATGGCTTCCTCTCTGATTGCAAAAAGCATGAAAAGGCGAAGTCACACATGGCTGCTTTCAAGACCTGGAAGACGTACGGTTCCGGTGCTCGAGTGGATTCTCTTATCTCCCAAGCAAGAAGAGACGAGATACAACGCCACAATGAGGAGGTAAGGCAAAACAGAGAAATTTTAAAAACCATAACCGAGGCTGTTTTGTATTTATCCAAACAGGAGTTGGCGTTTAGAGGCCATGATGAATCTGAAGATAGCTTGAACCGCGGTAATTACAGGGAGTTACTCGAGTCCTATGCTAAGTTAGATTCTGTATTTGAACGACGATTGCATGGCAGACTAGCTGAATCTGGTCAGGGTGGAGATTCACGTTTCACTGGGGTCTCTCCTGAAATACAAAATGATTTAATCTGTTGCCTTGATTCCATTATTGAAGATACTATTTTTAAGGAGATTAACGAGTGTACCTTCATCAGTGTGCAGGTTGATGAAACTTCTGATGTCTCAACTAAGGAACAGGTAAGCATGATAGTCCGTATGGATAAAGGTTGTGAGATAGTAGAAAGACAATTGGGATTTGGAGATGTCAGCACAAAGAGAGATGCTGCTGCCATATCCCAGTTTGTGAAGGATAAGCTTAGTCCCCATTCCAACATCAAGGATAAATTAGTGATGCAAACCTATGATGGTGCTGCTGTTATGTCTGGTCATGTTAGTGGTGTCCAGGTTCGAGTGCGTCAAGATTATCCTTTTGCATACTTTGTTCATTGTGCAGCTCACAGATTAAATCTAGTTTTGTGTCAGTCTGCCTCATCTATAGCCCCTGTTAAAGTTTTCTTTGTTGATATAGGAGCATTTTGTACTTTTACTAGTAATGCCCCTCAAAGAAAAGCCTTTCTTAATTCTCATCAAATAGAGTTCCCCAGCCCTGGTGATACTAGGTGGTACTATCGATCTCGTGTGATAAGTGTCTTGCATAGAAATTACCAGAAACTTCATGACATTTTTCTTGGAGAAGTGGATGAGCCTGGGAGCTGGGATGGAGAATCATTGGGAAAGATACATGGTTTGCTACATAATATTAGTAGTTTTTTGTTTTGCTTTTTGGTCTGTGTTTTTCAACAGATTTTCCAACAATCATCAATCCTATATGAAATTCTGCAAGGCCAACAAACTGACTTTAACTATGGTATGGTAAGAATTCAGCGTTTTGTAACCTTTGTTTCTTCTCTTCGTAGTGATGATAAATTTTCTGAATTATACCAAGAAGCAGTAGATATATTGGGCCCACCAGAAAGCAGACTTGAGAAAAGACACAACCATAAGCAAATTTATTTTGAGATTATCGACTCCATTGTTAGTATGATGAATGAGAGGTTTCAGGATATGAAACAATATGCATTTTTAGATCTTGTCAATCCAAAAAAATTTGCATCTTGGGGTGGGGTGGTACCACCTGAGAAAATTAATTTACTAAAAGAGATGTATGGGCCCCTTTATGATATCTCCATGCTTGAGAGCCAACTTTCTTTCATTTACAGGGATCAGGATTTTCATAAAGACACATGTAATGAATTACTAACCTATATTTTTAAGTTTAATCTCCAATCTAGTATTCCTGAAGCTGTCAAATTAATGAAAATGAATGTTGTCTTGTCAGTAACTAGTGCTTCTGTTGAAAGGTCATTTTCCTGCTTGAAAAGGGTAAAGACCTATTTGAGAAATAGAATGAGTCAAGGGCGCCTTAGTTCTCTTTGTAGGATTTCAATCCATAGAGACATTCTAAAAGAAAAAGAAGATGCCAATGTGCTACATAGTGAAGTTGTGGAGAAGTTTGTGGAGAAGCCAAGGAGACTTGCCTTTCTTTACAAATAGTAGACAGGTTAAGTATAAGAGACATTAGCTGTTGAATGTAAGTATAACTATTTCATTACTAGTTCATCCCTGTTAAATGGGTTCAATTTTTATAATTCATTCATCATGAGCAGTCCTTTGTGCACTCTTGCACCTTATTGTAATAGCCTGTTATATAAAATATTAAAACTTAAAAAAATTATTTGTATATACATTTAATTGGTCCAAGGGGAGATATTCACTGCTGGTGTGGTGACCCCATGGGCCATCTGTTCACACTGTATTGAATAGTTACTATTCATTCATTAATTGCTTATGAGTTATGAGCAGTTTTTTGTGCACTCTTGCACCTTTTCACTTCATGTAATATATGTTAAAGAAAATATTAAAATCATAAAATATATTCTTCTAATTTAATAATAATAAAAAATCTTTACAGAGGAAAGCTTCCATCACCAATAGTGCTTTTCAGGAAGGTCCTCTAAATTGGTTCTAGGGGAGATATCCACAAGTGTGGTGACCCCAATATATAAATAATGGGCCATCCCTGTTCATATTGAATTGAATATTTACTTTAAATTCATGTATGAGCAGTCCTTTGTGCACTCTTGCACCTTTTCATTGTAACCTATGTGTTTAAGAAAGTATTAAAAACATATAAAATCTTATATATTTTTTCTCTTAATGGGGAGATACCCACACTTAAGGTGTGGTGACCCCAATAAATATTCATTCATCATGTATGAGTGGTCTTTTGTGCACCCTTGCATAGTTGCACCTTTTCACTGCAATATACATATGTGTAATGTGTTTAATAGTTCTTAGTGACTTCTTACTTCTTTTGCATTTACCATTCTGTTCATACTGATACTGTATTAGATATTATCTATATTCTTACTTTTCATCATGTTATGAGCAGTTACTAGTGCATTGTGCACTATTGTACGTTTCATTGTTCTCTGTTTCTTCATTCTCGTTAAATGATATTTTGAAAACAAGGTGACATCGTCTTTGTCAATCGTGAGCCAATTTGCGCTAAGTGTGTGTACTTGCAATTTGAAAATAAAACGAGGAGTAATGGGCCATGGCATATTTAGTTGCAGCAATACAGAAATGCAATTATGCAACTCTTTTACTTTCTGGCTATGATGAGTGTTGTCTATTTGACTTCTACAGTGCAAAAGCTTTATTCTCTGAGCCATTTATGGTCTATCAGAGTTGCAGGGTTAGGGCAAATTTTTTGTTGATACTGCCCCCAGAACGCCGCAAATGCTGTTTCCAGGCTTCCAGATATCAAAAATTTTCTGGGGGAGCATGCCCCCAGACCCCCCTAGGATGCTCGCACCTTCGGTGCTCGATGAGCAGGACCTTCATCGAGGTGCTGGCTACGCCACTGTTTATTAAGATAGACCTTCATCGCAAGGTCAGATAAGATTAATTATAATTCACGTACTTTGTTCTTGAGCATTACGAAACATAAACGCAACCGACTGTTATTTTTGTAATTTGAAAACCTGCAGTATAAAATATTACTGATGTAAATTTTTGGGATACATTAGCAATCAATACATTTACGAATAAATTTCACGCCCCCCCCCCCTCCCACAAATAATACATAATTTCGACAGAGAACGAACCGATCGACGAATGCAGTCGAATAAAATATTGAACATCACGAATCGCAAACTACAAGAACTGCGCATATTATCTATAGTCTTCCTTTAATCGTGAACATTTCAAGGCGCGGTTGATGCGGTAAAATCTTGCTGAATGCCATCAATTTTTTTACGGAAAATAAAGACATGCAAATAAATGACACAAAGACACTTGTCTTGGAAAATCAATGGTCCCACCCACTAAACGACGACTAAATGGAAACTATAGTCTAAAGGATACCTTCTGTAAGAATTACGCATTGCATGTAAGCCAATTGCAAAGTCATGTTGAATGTGCTGCGTATCTATCGAGTTTATTCGATATGTCATTAATAACCACAGGGTCAGGGTCGAAGGATGCTGACCCTATTATAAAACAATTATACCAAAGTTGGGTCGTTCTTGTCATTGATGGCTGATAGCCAACTCGGCTTTGCTACTTACGCGATGCTTAGAAATGGTTTTGTAATGACGTGAATCATGAACATCCTTCTCAGTCTAACCATCGTCGTCAACGGATCATCAATCATGATTGTAAAAAGCCGAGGACCCATTTCAATTGGTTCCCATCTTTTCTAAGCCTTACTCTTCGTTTGCCGGAAATAACAATAACAACATAGCTATGATTAAAATAAAATAGATGAGTACATATCATGCATGGTTTCAAATTATATCAATGCATCTAAAACAGCACGCAGCAAACACTGATAAATGAAATATTGTTTTTCTCCTGGTTGACTCCATTATCTCAACTGATGAAGTTCGTTGCGGTTGAAGATTATCAGCTGTTGCTGATCAGTTATCTAGGAAATGGTCATGTGGGGGAAGTTTCGAGTTGTGAGGGCTTCATATTAGAAAATTTTGATGGCGTAAAAAAATAAATCTCACAGTTGACATTGTTCGATCGGATTCTTTATTCTACTCCTGAGTATACGTCGTGTAATATACGTTGATACAGTTTTAATTCGGCTGATATCTCTTCCAGAACTGCAGATTTGATAAAATCTTTGAATGCATAAAAAATGCTTATTGACGTCGCATATAGCTACCTGTTTTCTCTTTAGGGTCAGAGGGCATCTGCTTCTCTTTTCCTTTTTCCATTATCTCTTCTGACCTTCTTTAAATGACTGATGACCAAATTTATCGTAGATTAGTGGGCGCATAAATTTACTGAGTATAAAAGATTGTTTTATTTTTATGCAGGCACGCCTTACGAAATTGAACCTGAAAGGGGGGGGGGGAAGGAGGTGATTCGCGCGAGAATATTTATTGATTAGAGTCACTAGACCTTCTACTAGAATGGCTAAAAAAGCACCTCCTGCATGAACCTAAAGGGACATGCACATCGTATTTTTTCTACCTAGATTCAGGGTAAAGAATAAAGAGAATAAAACGATGCCTTGTTTTTGAAAATATGATGGAGGAATCATATTGAAACACAACTGAGCCATGCCTTGTTATGTGTGGAAAGTGTTTCATGCAAATATCCAGCAAAATCTCAACGTAAGGGCTGCTATCCCCACTGTGGCGTTTTTTTGCAGGTACGTGTGCACGCACGTGAAAGCTTAAAATCGCCTAAGTTGTTATATAATCAATTTTGGCAGAAAAAAACATACCGAACAACAACGAGAATCTAATTAACCCTATGCATCTATTCAATCGTTGATTTTATAAGTATCATTTAGATGATTTTAAACTTTTACGTGCGTGTACGTACGTACAAAGAACGCGACAGTGGAAATACACTATGGTGGCCCATTGTTATTATTGGAAATTCAGTAGATAATTTTATTTTAAAACTATAACTCACGAACAAAATTAAAAAGAAAAAAAGAAAATATATAAATTAAAAAAATATTTAAAAATAAAACATAAATATAAAGATATATGTTTAAAAAATTAAAAAACAAACAAACCAAAAACTAACATGCGATTTTCGTTTTGGATTCACTATATAATACACCCATGCAATCGCTTTATATAGCTTATGGTTATACACTCTATACTGACATATTCAACATCACGGCATTTATTGAGTGAAATGTTCTTATCAATTTTTTCACGTTTGCTTTAAAGTTTAAAAAAAGTACAATGATTAATGTCATGCCTATAACATGCATGTGAACTATACTGGTTTCATTTAATATGGATTTAGTTCAATTAGCTACTTCGCCTCGTCCCCCTTCACTCGCGTATAGCCTTTTGCCTTTGGATTTCTGGTGCAAAAAGAATAGATTGAAAAAAACACCAGAAGAACAACAGTGAGCAGTGAATAGCAAGACAACGTTATCTTTGTTCCTACGCTTGTAAACAGATAGCCGGTGATTGCAGTGCCAACCTCCTTTCCAATGCCATGGAATGTTAAACTCACTGCACCTGTTTGTGGAAAAAAAAACCCGTTAAAAATGCGACTGATTTTTGCCGCAATTTCATGCGCTATTTTCTTCTTTTGATAAATGCCAACGAGTGAATATTAACAAATGTTCATGCAACTAAGAGCTCTTAGTCGTTCACATCTATTAAAAGAAGTATTAAAATAAGTCCTGAGGTATGAAAGTGAGTCTTCTTGCCATTGTTAGGATGACTATGCTATTGTTAGGATGACTATATACACGACCACCAGAATCATGCATGCTGCTAAACCCATTTCAATTCCTTCATGAATAAATTCATGTAAAAACCACTAAGTGAAGATAACCTTTTATGGTATTTCCCCATATAGTCCAACCAACTGTAAAATAGTTATATCAATTCAGTGGCTAACGAAATATGGATTTTTCACATTCAATAGCAAATCCTGTCGAATATATGAAAATGAACTAAACTTTATATGGTGATTCTTGGTGACTTGCAAAATTCAGTTCTCATGCAGCCTTACTTTAAATTCTAAAGTAGGCAGTAGGCGTACCTTGGAAAAAGGCAGTGGACGCATCCGAAGAAGTGTTCGAAAAATGGACAACAAACGATGCAAATGATAGGACGTATGATGCAGCTTGAAAATTATCAATCAGGATAACAAGCCAAGCATTTTCGATAAACGCCAGTGCCAGAAAAGACAACGCGAAGATGAGCAATGAAAACCCGATGACTTTGAGCTCCCCCACGCGTTTAATTATGACACGAGACAGTAAAAACCAAACAGCTGCGATTGGACGTCTCAGCAAGCCGGCAACAGCCATTACAATCGAGCTTCCCCCAAGCTTTTCTATGTACCAGAACTCCCAGCGAGTTTGAAAGGCCGAGCACAGACCAGAATGACAACAAATCACAAGGATTAAAATATAGTGGGGATCAGTCAAAACTCTTTTAACCTCCTCGTAATCTATCACTCTATGCTCAAGGTATTCAAATTTCATAAATGGCAATGTCACGAGTGTCAAAACTTGAAAACCAACGACAAAAAAGAAAATAACAACATAATCCGGAGCCAGCGCACCACAAACATTGTGTTGGAAGTGGTACAGATATATTCCAACGATAAACAACGCCAGACCACCGCCGATTTCTCCCCACGATGCATAATAACCGAATTTTGTTTTATTTTGCTGTAAATGCGTCATGGCTGCGACTGTAATAAGTGTGAAATTAAGTCTTTTCAACAGGTCGAAAATTCCACGTAGAGCCATAAAAATAAGGAAAAATCTAAGACGATTCTCTTCTTTCTCATTCTGAGTCTTTGAGGGTGATGTCAATTGTGAATCATTTAATTCGGTGAATGTTCTGTTGAATACATTAACTACAGTGGTATTATCCACCATCACGTTTCCCGTGTTTCTATTGCAAATTGGTTCGGGTGTATCAGCAGCAAGAAAGAGCAACACACTAGGGATTGATAAAAGAACAGAGAAAAATAGAAAAAGCTTTCTTGCTCTGAACTTGTCTGCCAGATATCCAAGCAATGGCATACCCACTGTTTGGGTTACAAGACCAAGTATTGGTGCCAAGCCAATGAATGAAGGGCTGTACCCAATTTGCTTAAGATATAATGGAGTGTATTCTTCTATTATAGACACACTTGAACCAAAGAGAAAGAAAGCCATACTAACAGCAACTCCACCCACAGTGAGAAAAGACTTTGCTTCATTTTCATACTCGGCTGACATGATTTTCTTTTGGCTGTTAAGAAATATGAGATTAAATTCAGCCACAGTACTATATTTGTACCTTATATAACTGCAGATCAAATCTGGCTACACAAATAAATATTGTATTGTGCCATTATTCACACCTAAAGGGATATCACAAATTGTTTTTCATAAAAAACATGGAAACAACATTGACTCTTAAGGTGGCACCCTATGTTGAAAATGAGTAATTTGTCTTACACCTAATCCAAAGATGTGTAGAATGAACAACTGTTGTAGAATGTTTAATTGTGCATTTGGCCAAAGAATGGCAAATTTAGGCAATTACTATTTGATATTTTTATGACATTTTGTTTCAGGCTATTGCCAAATTCAGTCTCCCAATTCCTACCAAAGATATTTGGATGAGTGTATGCATCCATATATGTTCAATTGTTAGGTTCTTACTGGAGATGCTGATTTGATGTAACTGCTAATTTTTAAACTAAAGCCAACCACTGACCAGGGCACCAGGCTCATTTGGGTTAAATTGTTGCAATATTTATAGGAACAGGATTGAGCAAAGTTGTGCTGGCCATATTTTTTACGGTTGTGAACAATATTGTTAAATGTTGTTGACAAGTGTAAAGCATAAAATTGGTACGTTTTTAAACCCTATAGGCGAGGTAAGGAGGCTTTTGCTCCCATTATCCTTGGGACCTAAATATTCTGGTAGATATTGTACATTTGAACATTTCCACAACAATAACAATAGGTACCACAGAAAAAAGAGAAACGTATATCGATTATGCATCAAATGTGGTATAGCAACTGCCTAAAATAGACAAAACACTTCTCGTCTATTTTAGGCAATTGTTAACCACATTTGATGCTTTTATATTTTTTAGATATGATAACATGTGGCACTTCGCCAAAATTATGCACTCAAGGCACGTCCACAAAAGTAAGTTCGATCATAGGCAGCCCGGTCAATGCGGACATCGTATACTATCTTATGTGTATAATTATGCTAAGGCTGGCAACTCTTTATGCATTATATTTTTTGTGAGAAGTGTGAGAGAGTTGCCAGCCTTACGAGATAAGATAGTATACGGTACACGACTACCCGCATTGACCGGGTTGCCCGCTGCCTATGGGCTATGGTAAGATTTAAGATTTAAGAGTACAAAAAGAATATCTTACTTCGATGACCTTCACAATAACGGCTTCTGCGAATATGCTAGGCAAGCCGCCAGCGTGTTTTAGGTTTCGTCGTGTGTAGTGGACAATACCCAGTGAACTGTAATTGCGTTCGAGTTCGACGAAGGAGAACGCTATCTAGCCGTGCATGTCATATCGAGATTTGCGATGTCAGATTTGCCTCGTTCTGATGTGTCATCATAGTAACTGGAGACCATGTGCTCTCCATAGAGATTATAAATAACACTTGGCGCTCGGCTTAGCACTCGGACTTGAATTTGCCATTTTGCCCCCCATTATCGCGCTCCCTTTTTCGACCAGTGAACTCTATGTTTTCGACTGATGTTTTCGATACCAATGCCCTCTCTGGTGTTATTTAGAATCGCTATAGTGCTCGCTCTATATTGAAGCATATGACTATGAGCCATCACATACGCTGTGAGCCTGTGACGTTATAATATTAACATTTTTGTTAATGATTGTTAACCGAAATCAACACACTCCGAACGCACATCACTAATCTGTGATTACTGCTAGTAAATAACATTTTCATTTCCTTGGCGATACCACTGATCTGAAGCACAGATGAGCTATATATAGTTCATCTGTGTCTGAAGTGGGCGATACCGATACCGAAGTATCGATACTTTCGAGTTCCGAGAACTCAAAAGCTAGTATCGATAGGTGTGGGAAGGCAGACGAAGCTGTTCATTCGGAAGAAGGTCCTCAGATACACGATGATACGCAGAAAGAATATAACAAGCCGAACACATGTATGGAGAGGTGATCACTGAAGCAGTAATTAGATTAAAGTACAAATCGAGCAGCTTAAACTAGGTATTGAAGAAAACAAAGCCTCTATATCTAACATTAAGGCTTTACCTCTAACTATAAAATCAAAATCTGGCAATGAAAGTCTTGAAATGTACAATCTTCGTCGCGAAAACGAAAAACTTCAACGGCAGAATGAAAATATCCTGAAGGAAAATGCCGAAAATACTGAATGCATGCATGAATAATCTCGCTAAGTAATGTTCTGATTTAAATACCATGGTCATGTGCCCGTGGGGGAAGTTTCGAGTTGTGCGGGCTTCTTATTAGAAAATTTTGATAGCGTAAAAAAATAAACCTCAGAGTTCTCATTATTCTATCGGATACTTTATTCTATATACTCCCGGCTATACGTCGTGTAATATATGTTGATACAGTTTCAATTCGGTTGATATCTCTTCCAATCTCTTCTAGAACTGCAGATTTGATAAAATCTTTGAATGCATAAAAAAATGCTTGACGTCGCATATAGTTACCTGTTTTCTCTTTAGAGTCAGAGGGCATCTGTTTCTCTTTTCCTTTTTTCCATCATCTCTTTTGACCTCCTTTAAATGACTGATGACCAAATTTATCGTAGATTAGTGGGCGCATAAATTTACTGAGTATAAAAGATTGTTTTATTTTTATGCAGGCACGCCTTACGAAATTGAACCTGAAAGGGGGGGGGAAGGAGGTGATTCGCGCGAGAATATTTATTGATTAGAGTCACTAGACCTTCTACTAGAATGGTTAAAAAAGCACCTCCTGCATGAACCTAAAGGGACATGCACATCGTATTTTTTCTACTTAGATTCAGGGTAAAGAATAAAGAGAATAATACGATGCCTTGTTTTTGAAAATATCAATGGAGGAATCATATTGAAACACAACTGAGCCATGCCTTGTTATGTCTGGAAAGTGTTTTATGCAAATACAGTGCCTTTTTAAAGAAATTTTCACTGGTGGGGCAATGCAGGAAAAAGGCGAAACGAAAAATGAGCCGACGAGGTTTGGCGAACGCGCGAGACAGAAGGAAACCTATGTTTAAATGCAAACAATAATTTTAACTCTTTGTAGTTATAGTTGTACAGCATTTAGGAAAAAAATTTGGCCACAAAATCTCTTTGTTTATATGTTTCAAGACATGGCCTTGCACTGCGTCGGTCTTTTTTGCTGCATGAAAAAGGATACAACGGCTGGCCTTGGGTCATATAAAGCAGTAGGGACACCCTTCCAGGCTATAATCATTCTATCATTTAAAGTTTTCTGATTTGTGGCAAGGTTTAGAAAGCTAGCATTCTATTCGATTGATTCTATGAAATCTATCGCTACTGTGAAATATTTGTCGAAGAACATTATGCATTACATGCAAGATGGCTGTGGAGAAGGCCGTATGGAAGGGCATAATCTCTTTATCAAGTAAATCAACAGCAATTCTCAGAGCAATCATGGGCAATACTGTGTCGTAAACGTGGGCAGAAATGTAGTTACTGGCGGGGCAAATGCATTCTCTGGGGGGGCGATATATAGTTAAAAAAGGCACTGTGCAAATATCCAGCAAAATCTCAACGTAGGGGCTGCTATCCCCACTGTGGCGTTTTTTTGCAGGTACGTGTACACGCACGTGAAAGCTTAAAATCGCCTAAGTTGTTATATAATTAATTTTGGCAGAAAAAAACATACCGAACAACAACGAGAATCCAATTAAACCTATGCATCTATTCAATCGTTGATTTTATAAGTATCATTTAGATGATTTTAAACTTTTACGTGCGTGTACGTACGTACAAAGAACGCGACAGTGGAAATACACTATGGTGGCCCATTGTTATTATTGTAAATTCAGTAGATAATTTTATTTTAAAACTATATTTCACGAAAAAAATTAAAAAGAAAAAAAGAAAATATATAAATTAAAAAAATATTTAAAAATAAAACATAAATATAAAGATATATGTTTAATATTTAAAAAACAAAACATAAATATAAAAATATATATTTAAAAAATTAAAAAACAAACAAACCAAAAACTAACATGCGATTTTCGTTTTCGATTCACTATACAATACACCCACGCAATCGCTATATATAGCCTATGGTTATACACTCTATACTGACATATTCAACATCACGGCAAATGTTCTTATCAATTTTTTCACGTTCGCTTTAAAGTTTTAAAAAAGTAAAATGATTAATGTCATGCCTATAACATGCATGTGAGCTATACTCGTTTCATTTAATATGGATTTAGTTCAATTAGCTACTTCGCCTCGTCCCCCTTCACTGGCGTATAGCCTTTTGCCTTTGGACTTCTGGTGCAAAAAGAATAGATTGAAAAAAACACCAGAAGAACAACAGTGAGCAGTGAATAGCAAGACAACGTTATCTTTGTTCCTACGCTTGTAAACAGATAGCCGGTGATTGCAGTGCCAACCTCCTTTCCAATGCCATGGAATGTTAAACTCACTGCACCTGTTTGTGGAAAAAAAAACCCGTTAAAAATGCGACTGATTTTTGCCGCAATTTCATGCGCCATTTTCTTCTTTTGATAAATGCCAACGAGTGAATATTAACAAATGTTCATGCAAATAAGAGCTCATAGTCGTTCACATCTATTAAAAGAAGTATTAAAATAAGTCCTGAGGCGGGTATGAAAGTGAGTCTTCTTGCCATTGTTAGGATGACTATATACACGACCACATGTTGCTAAACCCATTTCAATTCCTTCATGAATAAATTCATGTGAAAAACCACTAAGTGAAGATAACCTTTTATGGTATTTCCCTATATAGTCCAACCAACTGTAAAATAGTTATATCAATTCAGTGGCTAACGAAATATGGATTTTTCACATTCAATAGCAAATCCTGTTGAATATATGAAAATGAACTAAACTTTATATGGTGATTCTTGGTGACTTGCAAAATTCAGTTCTCATGCAGCCTTACTTTAAATTCTAAAGTAGGCAGTAGGCGTACCTTGGAAAAAGGCAGTGGACGCATCCGAAGAAGCGTTCGAGAAATGGACAACAAACGATGCAAATGATAGGACGAATGATGCAGCTTGAAAATTATCAATCAGGATAACAAGCCAAGCATTTTCGATAAACGCCAGTGCCAGAAACGACAACGCGAAGATGAGCAATGAAAACCCGATGACTTTGAGCTCCCCCACGCATTTAATTATGACACGAGACAGTAAAAACCAAACAGCTGCGATTGGACGTCTCAGCAAGCCGGCAACAGCCATTACAATCGAGCTTCCCCCAAGCTTTTCTATGTACCAGAACTCCCAGCGAGTTTGAAAGGCCGAGCACAGACCAGAATGCAAATCACAAGGATTAAAATATAGTGGGGATCAGTCAAAACTCTTTTAACCTCCTCGTAATCTATCACTCTATGCTCAAGGTATTCAAATTTCATAAATGGCAATGTCACGAGTGTCAAAACTTGAAAACCAACGACAAAAAAGAAAATAACAACATAATCCGGAGCCAGGGCACCACAAATATTGTGTCGGAAGTAGTATAGAGATATTCCAACGATAAACAACGTCAGACCACCGCCGATTTCTCCCCAGGATGCATAATAACCGAATTTTGTTTTATCTTGCTGTGAATGTGTCATGGCTGCGACTGTAATAAGTGTGACATTAAGTCTTTTGAACAGCTCGAAAATTCCGCGTAGAGCCATAAAAATAAGGAAAAATCTAAGACGATTTCCGTGTTGCTCATTTTGTGTCTTCGAGGGTGATGTCAATTGTGAATCATTTAATTCGGTGAATGTTCTGTTGAATACATTAACTACAGTGGTATTATCTACTATCAAGCTTCCTGTGTTTCCATCACAAATTGGTTTGGGTGTATCAGCAGCAAGAAAGAGCAACACACTAGGGATTGATAAAAGAATAGACAAAAATAGAAAAAGCTTTCTTGCTCTGAACTTGTCTGCCAGATATCCAAGCGATGGTATACCCACTGTTTGGGTTACAAGACCAAGTATTGGTGCCAAGCCAATGAATAAAGGGCTGTACCCAATTTGCTTAAGATATAATGGAGTGTATTCTTCTATTATACACACACTTGAACGAAAGAGAAAGTAAGCCATACTAACGGCAACTCCACCCACAGTGAGAAAAGGCTCTGCTTCATTTTCATACTCGGCTGACATGATTTTCTTTAGGCTGTTTAAGAAATATGAGATTAAATTCAGCTACAGTACTATGTTTGTACCTTATATAACTGCAGATCAAATCTGGCTACACAAATAAAAATTGTATTGTGCCATTATTATTCACACCTAAAGGGATATCACAAATGTTTTTTCCTAAAAAACATGGGAACAACACTGACTCTTAAGGTGGCACCCTATGTTGAAAATGAGTAATTTGTCTTACACCTAATCCAAAGATGTGTAGAATGAACAAACTGTTGTAGAATGTTTAATTGTGCATTTGGCCAAAGAATGGCAAATTTAGGCAATTACTATTCGATATTTTTATGACATTTTGTTTCAGGCTATTGCCCAAATTCAGTCTCCCAATTCCTACCAGAGATATTTGGATGAGTCTATGCATCCATATATGTTCAATTGTTAATTTCTTACTAGAAATGCTGATTTGATGTATTCAACTGCTAATTTTTAAACTAAAGCTAACCACTAACAAGGCTCATTTGGGTTAAATTGTTGCAATATTTATAGGAACAGGATTGACCAAAGTTGTGCTGGCCATATTGTTTACGGTGAACAATATTGTGAACAATATTGTTAAATGTTGTTGACAAGTGTAAAGCATAAAATACGTTTTTAAGCCCTGAAAGCGAGGCAAGGAGGCTTTGGCCTCCATCATCTTTGGGACCCAAATATTTT